CTGAGGGAAGGAGGTTCTCACCCAAGATTTGACGGTACATGGCCCCGTCCATCGTCCCTTTGATGCAGTGAAGTTGTCCTGTCCCCTTAGCAGAAAAACACCCCCAAAGCATAATGTTTCCACCTCCATGTTTGACAGTGGGGATGGTGTTCTTGGGGTCATAGGCAGCATTCCTCCTCCTCCAAACACGGCGAGTTGAGTTGATGCCAAAGAGCTCCATTTTGGTCTCATCTGACCACAACACTTTCACCCAGTTCTCCTCTGAATCATTCAGATGTTCATTGGCAAACTTCAGACTGGCATGTACAGTGGGGGAAAAAAATATTTAGTCAGCCACCAATTGTGCATGTTCTCCCATTTAAAAAGATGAGAGAGGCCTGTAATTATCATCATAGGTACACGTCAACTATGACAGACAAAATGAGAAAAAAAAATCCAGAAAATGACATTGTAGGATTTTTAATGAATTTATTTGCAAATTATGGTGGAAAATAAGTATTTGGTCAATAACAAAAGTTTCTCAATACTTTGTTATATACCCTTTGTTGGCAATGACACAGGTCAAACGTTTTCTGTAAGTCTTCACAAGGTTTTCACACACTGTTGCTGGTATTTTGGCCCATTCCTCCATGCAGATCTCCTCTAGAGCAGTGATGTTTTGGGGCTGTCGCTGGGCAACACGGACTTTCAACTCCCTCCAAAGATTTTCTATGGGGTTGAGATCTGGAGACTGTCTAGGCCACTCCAGGACCTTGAAATGCTTCTTACGAAGCCACTCCTTCGTTGCCCGGGCGTTGTGTTTGAGATCATTGTCATGCTGAAAGACCCAGCCACGTTTCATCTTCAATGCCCTTGCTGATGGAAGGAGGTTTTCACTCAAAATCTCACGATACATGGCCCCATTCATTCTTTCCTTTACACGGATCAGTCGTCCTGGTCCCTTTGCAGAAAAACAGCCCCAAAGCATGATGTTTCCACCCCCATGCTTCACAGTAGGTATGGTGTTCTTTGGATGCAACTCAGCATTCTTTGTCCTCCAAACACGACGAGTTGAGTTTTTACCAAAAAGTTATATTTTGGTTTCATCTGACCATATGACATTCTCCCAATCCTCTTCTGGATCATCCAAATGCACTCTAGCAAACTTCAGACGGACCTGGACATGTACTGGCTTAAGCAGGGGGACACGTCTTGCACTGCAGGATTTGAGTCCCTGGCGGCGTAGTGTGTTACTGATGGTAGGCTTTGTTACTTTGGTCCCAGCTCTCTGCAGGTCATTCACTAGGTCCCCCCGTGTGGTTCTGGGATTTTTGCTCACCGTTCTTGTGATCATTTTGACCCCACGGGGTGAGATCTTGCGTGGAGCCCCAGATCGAGGGAGATTATCAGTGGTCTTGTATGTCTTCCATCCTCATGAAAATGCAAATCAATTTATAACATTTTTGACATGTGTTTTTCTGGGTTTTTGTGTTGTTATTCTGTCTCTCACTGTTCAAATAAACCTACCATTAAAATTATAGACTGATCATTTATTTGTCAGTGGGCAAACTTACAAAATCAGCAGGGGATCAAATTCTTTTTTCCCTCACTGTATCTCTGTGTTTTTTAAATAAATGCTTTCATGCTATTCAGAGATATTGCTCAATACTTATTGCTGATGGTAACTACTGATGCACAGTCATATAGACTACATGTTCCTTTACAGTAATGCTCTGGACCAGTCCCTGCATTACTAGAGGTGAAACGTATCTGATTTTACAAGTGAATAGAGTTTCCTTCTCATCCAGTTCTTAGTGAGGTGGTGGAACGGGTAGAGGGGGTGATGGTGCAACACACATCCTTAAGCCTGAGCCAATGTACGTACAGTGGCTTGCGAAAGTATTTACCCCCCTTCGCATTTTTCCTATTTTGTTGCCTTACAACCTGGAATTAAACTTGATTTTTGGGGGGTTTGTCTCATTTGATTTACACAACATGCCTACCACTTTGAAGATGCAAAATATTTTTTTGTGTGAAACAAACAAGAAATAAAACAAAAAAAAACAGAAAACTTGAGCGTGCATAACTATTTTTTTCATTTCACTTCACCAATTTGGACTATTTTGTGTATGTCCATTTTATGAACATACACAAAATAGTGGCGAGTGGCGCAGCGGTCTAAGGCACTGCATCTCAGTGCTTGAGGTGTCACTACAGACCCCCTGGTTCGATTTCAGGCTGTATCACAACCGGCCGTGATTGGGAGTCCCATAGGGCGGCGCACAATTGGCTCAGCGTCGTCCGGGTTTGGCCGGTGTAGGCCGTCATTGTAAATAAGAATTTGTTCTTAACTGACTTGCTTAGTTAAATAAAGGTTAAAAAAAAAAAATAAAATCCATTTCAATTACAGGTTGTAATGCAACAAAATAGGAAAGACGCCAAGGGGGATGAATACTTTTGCAAGGCACTGTAACTAACTATTCAAGTAATTTCCTTCAATGCAGCCTCCACCTGTTACACACCAAGTATCAGTTCATGTCAGAGCTGCTTCCCACTTCTCCTTATCTGTAAAAATAGAGATGTACACTACTGTACCAAATACTGTATCAAGTACAAACTCATCCCATCTCTGCCTAATTCCAAGCCTTCCTGTATGTACATGTACAACCTCTATCAAGAGATCTGAGCCTTTATGGATGTTCACATGCTCTGGAACTACAGGGTCACCCCTTCAAGTGCTACACAACTACATCAAGCTGGTATTTTGAATGACAGATTGAGGTGTGTTGAGTACCAGCTGCCTCGGCCAGCCAACCAGCCCACACCCTACAGATCTACTCCCATCTGCCCATCTCAATTTGCCAAGAGTTGATAAAACAACATGTAATTTGCTGTGTGTTGTCTTGTCACTTTTGGTTAAAACCTGATTCAAGACAGTCCTTTGCTAATGATTTCCATGCCCTTCTGTGAACCCTATGTTCACCTGCATATCGCACAAGCGAGTGCGTGCTTGTGACCTTGCTGTGACAGAGCAGTGTGTTTCCTCAGTAATCTGCCCTGTGCACTCATGCAGACAGACAGACACACACACAGGCAGGAGACCTGAGAATTTCAATGGAATGTGTCAGGAATGAGGAAGTGTGGTGGAGGCCTCAGTGAGACAGAGTGTGTAGTAGAGTGGACAGGGGTGGGGAGGCTAGCTCTCAAGCTGATAAACACCCATAGGAAAACTGTTTAAAATCCTAACCAGCCATGGGTGTGAATGTGGGGTTATGAGGGTGTGAGAGTGGACATATGTATTTATCACAATGTCAAAATATCTAAATGTGTTATTGAAGTGTAAAGACATCTGTTGACTCTTTATGATTACTTTATTTCATTGGGTAATATAGTATGTATCATAATGACTCTGACTACTTCATTTAATTGGGTCATAGTAAGTATACACTACTCAAAACTCAACAAAGAGAGAGGTGAAATATATAAAAAATTGTTTATTTTGTTGCTATTTGTTTCCCCATTGACATGGCACCATTTATTGATCTGAGAGTGGGCATTCAGACTTACCTCTAAGACCTGAACATAACTTGCTGGGAACCATCCCCTGACTCCATCCAGCTCTCCTTCCCACCAGCCGCCAGGCAACGGCTGAACTATCTTTATGATTTCTCCCACTTCAAAAGTCAAACCCTGCTGATGTTGGTCCCCGCTGAAGGAGTATAAACTTTTGCAGTATGATCCAGACATCGTTATCTTCTCCGGTATAACGTCGGGTCCGCGCGTAGATTTACACAGACGGATCCCCCTCCTCGAGATTCACTTGGCTCTTTCAGAGTAGAATTTTCAGAGTATAATTTTTTGTCAAACTTGTAATGTTGATTAGTTAGCGCATCAATGACAACAATCCAACATGTTGCGAATCTGGTTAAAGTACTTCTTGAGTGAATGAAAAAGTGTCCCTTGTCAATAGAATCCTGTAGCGCAGATGCGTTCTGAGCGTGTGTATATGGGCGCTTCTCCGCTTGTGTGAACTCCCTTTAGCAAAGTCCACAGTCAAGTCTGTGCTTCTTCAATTACTCTTGCGCTTTGGTATGAGAAAACTCGGTACTCGCATCCGTTTTTTTGCACATGAGTTATGTTGTGGGGATTAGGAATCAATTAGCAACTTTCACCAAGGCTGGGCCTCTTGAAATGTAATGGACTTTGTCAATTGAATCACTTCTCCGAGACGTGATTGTTTATGAAGGTTTGACAACGCGACCGTGTAAAGTAATGTGACGTTGCCATAACATGTGAACTGTTGAAAAGGAGCTCCACGTATCAATTATATGCACGTTCAATGAATGTAGGCTAATGAATGCAGCTACGTAGTCCTACTTTTGGAATTTGTGCCACAATTTATTTAGCAATTAAACTTAGTGAAGATCTCACAATCATGGTAGGTGAGCCTATGCTCGTTGTAACATAGAGTATAGCCATATTTATTAGGTCGAAAATAATCTTAGAGTCGCAATCTTGAAGTGAAGGCAAGCTAGAGAATACAACGGGTGTTAACCACAAGGCGGCGCCAATACACTTTTACATTTACATTTTAGTCATTTAGCAGACGCTCTTATCCAGAGCGATTTACAGTTAGTGAGTGCATACATTTTCATACTGCCCCCCCGTGGGAAACGAACCCACAACCCTGGCGTTGCAAGCGCCATGCTCTACCAACTGAGCTACAGGGGACTTCAGGTAGAAATGCATTATTCTTTCCAAAGGAATTTATATCATAGGTCTACACACATAAACCCATATTATATTAGTTTAATAATACAGCATACAGTAAGCCAAGCATGCATAGTACATAAGTCATTCAAAACTCCTATTTTAGGAGTCTTCTGAGTCATATCTTCTCTTGTCTTCACTATTCTTTGCTCTGTTTGAAAAAATAAAGGTTTGATATCATTCACTACCTATGAATACTGTGGCATTACTAAACAACATTTTCTATAAAGGTATAATTTCAAACAAACCTTTGAGCCCATGTCTCTGCTCTTGGCTCTCATCTTGTTGACCTGGGACTCAGCAAGATCAGCCCTCTCGGATGCCTCCTCCAGATCATGTTGCACTTTCCTGCACTTAGTCAGGTGGGTGTTAGCCTGCTCTTCCTGTGGAGAAGTTCAGCATCAACAAGGTTAACATCATAATTAAATAAATATGCAGCCATTTTGAATTGGGTTATAGATGACAAATAATTATTTTTCTTACAGCTTCCTCAGCCTGGCGTTTGAATGCCTTTACTTTCAGCTGCAGCTTGTCCACCAGGTCCTGGAGTCTGAATACATTCTTCTTGTCCTCCTCTGCCTGGAAAATATTGTTATTATTACCATTTTGTCTTCATCCACCTACCCCACATCATCGTCATCGTAACCATCATTATCATTAAACTACTGTAGTAGTAGTCGTAGTGGTAATATCAATGCAATATGGTAATCCTCTACCTGGTAGGAGAGTTCCTTCACTCTCCTCTCATATTTCCTGACTCCTTTGATGGCATCAACTCCCCTCCTCTGCTCAGCCTCCAGTTCTCCCTCCAACTCTCGCACCTGCAACCCAGAGGGTCAAAGGTTGGAATCTCACTCTTTCAAATATATTTGTTTAATTAATATGCACTTCATTTGAAAAATCGATTTGAAATTCAGATGCAGAGTTATTATAGACCTAGAGATTTTCCTACCCCTGTACTCAGTCAGCACCTCCTCTGGATTTAATCAATTTGAGAGCGAAGCATTTGCATATCAAAATAAAATAGCTGTTATTGACTCACCCTGGTCTCCAGTTTCTGGAGTTGCTTCTTGCCTCCCTTCATGGCCAAGTTCTCAGCCTCGTCCAGACGGACCTGCAGGTCCTTGACCGTGACCTCCAGGTTTTTCCTCATCCTCTCCAGATGAGCGCTGGTGTCCTGCTCCTTCTTCAGCTCCTCAGCCATCATGGCTGCCTGCATTAGCACACAGAGAACAAGGACAAACAGGATTCAAAGAGCGATGTCTATGACAGGGGTTCACAGTGTACTCAGTGAAACCTCTGGTTGTCACTCACGTCTGTTATGGCCTTCTTGGCTTTCTCCTCTGCATTCCTGGCCTCCTGGACAGAATCCTCAACCTCAGCCTGGAGTTGGGTGAGGTCAGCATCCATCTTCTTTTTGGTGCTTATCAGGTTGATGTTCTGAAACAGAAGTTCTTAAACTTGAGAAGTTCTTCCTGACTTGACCGATGGGAATAGATAAGGCCTCAACTGTAATTTACATGATTATATTTCCTTAGAGATATAAGCCACTGACACTAACCTGGGAATGCAGCAGCCCCACTCTCTCACAGGCTTCAGTCAGCTCCTGCTCGGCCATCTTGCGGCTCCTCTCTGTCTGCTCCAGGGCAGCCCTCAGCTCCTCCACCTCGGCCTGCATCAGGGAGCTCCTGCGCTCCACCATGGCTGCCTGCTCCCTCAGCTCCTCCTGGCTACGCAGAGCCTCATCCAGGTGCAGCTGGGCATCCTGACAAACCAGCCACAACCATGTCTTGATTAGTTCTATGAAGCTGCAACTGAAGTGCAGCAAGGAAGTAGAGGTGTGGATCCTACTTCTAACACCAATTCAGCGAAGTTGGGGGATAGTGGTACTACCATGCTCTGTTATGATGCCACACATTACCCTGCTCCAAAATTTACCCCCTGGCTGTTTGCATTAAAAGAGACCCATACCTTAAGTTGTCCCTGGACATTCCTCAGCTGTTTCTGGGCCTCAGCAGACTGCCGGTTGACATGGCTCAGCTGGACTTCCATCTCGTTAAGGTCAGCCTCCATTTTGCGTTTGAACCTGAGAGCATCATTCCTGCCCCTGACCTCAGCATCCAGAGTGCTCTGCATGGACTCGATCACCCTCTGGCTGTTGCGTTTTAGCTTCTCCATCTCCTCATCCTTCTCCACCAGCTTCCTGTCCACTTCGCCTTTGACCTGGGCCAGCTCCAGGTGTACACGTAGGATCTTTGATTCCTCGTGCTCCAGAGAAGCCTGAGGGAGATAAGGGTGGTGATTGAAGAGCACATGCATTGAAGTGTACATGTAACTATAAAGAATACAACCTACCAAGTTTCATGCGCAGAACTGAACCACACCAACTTTACTCATCTACAGTATTGTTGAAACACAGTACCTCTGCTTCCTCAAGAGCTGTCTGGATCTCTGCTTTCTCAGTCTCTATAATCTTCTTAACCTTCTCCACTTCATGGATGCTCTTCCCAGTCTCACCAACCTGATCACTCAGGTCTTTGATCTCCTCTGGTGATCAAATAGAAAAACAGAGATTTGGTCTATATTTTTATCAGTTGCCTTTGCCTATAGGATACTTTTTAAAGTCAAAGAATGCCAAAGCTACATTCTAAGCCATACGCTGCAGGATCTTGTTCTCTCTCTTCATGGTCTCCAGCTGGTCCAGACATTCCTCATAAGAATTCTTCATTTTGAAGAGCTCAGTGCTCATAGCACGAGACCCTTTCTGGGAACCTTCCAGCTCAGCCTGACTCTCCTCATACTTCTGCTTCCATTCAGCCAAAATCTGAGGAGACAAAACGTTTGTTACCAAGAAATAGACTTCTCAACTTAAAACGATTTGATTCCTCTCCAAGTAATTTAATACCTTGTCAAAGTTATTTTGCCTCTTGTCCAGGTTAGCAGCCCAGGCATTATTTTTCTCCTGATCAATCATCAGGTCCTCCACCTCTCCCTGCAGCCTCTGCTTGCTCTTCTCCAGAGAAGAACACTTAGCATTCACAGCCTCAATCGTCTCTTCAGCATCCTGAAGACGCAGGGCAAGCTTCTTCCTATTAGATAAGTTCAAAGTTATAGACAGCCATAGATAAAGAGATTTCAGCAAATTCTGTTTGATATTAAGAAATAGAATGGCCTCCATATTGGTATCAACAGTTCCAAAAAAACACTGTATGCAAATCAGAATATCTTTGCAATGAAATGTTTGGTGACTAATCGTACTTGGCCTCCTCCAGCTCTTCTGTTCTCTGGATGGCATCAGACTCGTATTTGGTTCTCCACTGAGCCACCTCTCCATTGGCCTTGGACATGCCACGCTGCAGCTCTGCCTTGGCCTCCTGCTCCTCCTCGAACTGCTCCCTCAGCAGGTCACAGTCATGGCGGGACGATTGGAGGGCATGGGCTAGGGCATTCTTGGCCTGCAAACACATCCAGTAAAGGGAAATGTTTAGTATAATAATATAATAATATGCCATTTAGCAGACGCTTTTATCCAAAGCGACTTACAGTCATGTGTGCATACATTTTTAGGTATGGGTGGTCCCGGGGATAGAACCCACTACCCTGGCGTTACAAGTGCCATGCTCTACCAATTGAGCTACAGAGGACCACAGTATACAGTGGGGGAAAAAAGTATTTAGTCAGCCACCAATTGTGCAAGTTCTCCCACTTAAAAAGATGAGAGAGGCCTGTAATTTTCATCATAGGTACACGTCAACTATGACAGACAAATTGAGAAAAAAAATTCCAGAAAATCACATTGTAGGATTTTTAATGAATTTATTTGCAAATTATGGTGGAAAATAAGTATTTGGTCACCTACAAACAAGCAAGATTTCTGGCTCTCACAGACCTGTAACTTCTTCTTTAAGAGGCTCCTCTGTCCTCCACTCGTTACCTGTATTAATGGCACCTGTTTGAACTTGTTATCAGTATAAAAGACACCTGTCCACAACCTCAAACAGTCACACTCCAAACTCCACTATGGCCAAGACCAAAGAGCTGTCAAAGGACACCAGAAACAAAATTGTAGACCTGCACCAGGCTGGGAAGACTGAATCTGCAATAGGTAAGCAGCTTGGTTTGAAGAAATCAACTGTGGGAGCAATTATTAGGAAATGGAAGACATACAAGACCACTGATAATCTCCCTCGATCTGGGGCTCCACGCAAGATCTCACCCCGTGGGGTCAAAATGATCACAAGAACGGTGAGCAGAAATCCCAGAACCACACGGGGGGACCTAGTGAATGACCTGCAGAGAGCTGGGACCAAAGTAACAAAGCCTACCATCAGTAACACACTACGCCGCCAGGGACTCAAATCCTGCAGTGCCAGATGTGTCCCCCTGCTTAAGCCAGTACATGTCCAGGCCCGTCTGAAGTTTGCTAGAGTGCATTTGGATGATCCAGAAGAGGATTGGGAGAATGTCATATGGTCAGATGAAACCAAAATATAACTTTTTGGTAAAAACTCAACTCGTCGTGTTTGGAGGACAAAGAATGCTGAGTTGCATCCAAAGAACACCATACCTACTGTGAAGCATGGGGGTGGAAACATCATGCTTTGGGGCTGGTTTTCTGCAAAGGGACCAGGACGACTGATCCGTGTAAAGGAAAGAATGAATGGGGCCATGTATCGTGAGATTTTGAGTGAAAACCTCCTTCCATCAGCAAGGGCATTGAAGATGAAACGTGGCTGGGTCTTTCAGCATGACAATGATCCCAGGAGTGGCTTCGTAAGAAGCATTTCAAGGTCCTGGAGTAGCCAGTCTCCAGGTCTCAACCCCATAGAAAATCTTTGGAGGGAGTTGAAAGTCTGTGTTGCCCAGCGACAGCCCCAAAACATCACTGCTCTAGAGGAGATCTGCATGGAGGAATGGGCCAAAATACCAGCAACAGTGTGTGAAAACCTTGTGAAGACTTACAGAAAACGTTTGACCTGTGTCATTGCCAACAAAGGGTATATAACAAAGTATTGAGAAACTTTTGTTATTGACCAAAAACTCATTTTCCACCATAATTTGCAAATAAATTCATAAAACATCCTACAATGTGATTTTCTGGATTTTTTTTTCTCATTTTGTCCTGATGAAAATTACAGGCCTCTCTCATCTTTTTAAGTGGGAGAACTTGCACAATTGGTGGCTGACTAAATACTTTTTTTCCCCACTGTATGTGTCTTAATGTTTTTTTGACTTGATGCGGACATTTCAATCAGTTGTGTTTCTGTACCTTAACCTCCTCTTCAGCCAGCCTCTTCAGTTCTTCCACCTGCGAAGTCAAAGCCTGTTTGCTTCTGGTCAGCTGAGATACCAGCGATTCTCTCTCCTCTAGCTGACGAGAAAGCTCACCATTCTCTGTTTGGAATCTTGCTTTTTGGACAGTGATGTCAGTGACGTTTCGCTGACTTTCATCGCTTTTGGCCTTTAGCTCGCTGATTTGGTCTTCAAGGCTTCGGCACATTTTCTCCAGGTTACTCTGCCAGAACAAAACATTCTTTATAACCACAAATATAGGTTTGAAAATGCTCAATACATCATGTTAACTTGTCAACTTACCTTCAATTTGGACACCAACTCCATGTTGCTGACCAGGTCGCTGATCTCCATTTTGTATTCTCCCTTCTCCTTCTCCAGCTTCTGCTTGACGCGCTGCAGGTTGTCGATGTGCTCTCCCATCTCGGCCATACTGTCTGCATGTTTCTTACGCAGGGCAGCAGAAGTAACCTCATGGTGCAGAGTTGACTCCTCCAGGTCTCTTCTCAGTTTCTGAAACTCGGCCTCTCGCTTCTTGTTCATCTCGATCTGAGCAATGGTGGCTCCACCAGCTTCCTCAAGCCTCTCACTGATCTCCTCAAGTTCCCTGGTGAGATCAGACCTCTGTTTCTCCACCTTAGCCCTGGCAGCACGTTCAGCCTCAATCTCCTCTTCCAGCTCCTCAATACGGGCCTGGAAGAAACAGAACAGTTGATAAAAAAATCATTGGACGCATTGTCGGCATTTGCACTACATGTCAATATCATTGCTTGAAACATTTGTTGCATTTTGATACCTGATGTTCCTTGAGTTTCTTCTGCAACTGGGCACCAAGGGCTTGCTCATCCTCAATTTTCCCAACAAGATGACAGATTTCAAAGTCTTTCCTATAAAGTTAAACATTAATTGAAAGTTATTGAAATTTGGATAAAACTTGATCCAGTAGAATGTATACAGAATGTAAGTAGTATTTCATCTTACTTCTTCAGCTTTTCATCCGTTTGCTGTTTTTCATTCTCCAGATCCATTATGGATTCCTGGGCATGTTTTAAATCTCCCTCAAACTTCTTCCTGGATCTCTCAAGGTCCATGGAATGTTTATTCTCTTGTTCAAGAGAGCCCTCTAGCTGTAACATCACATGGAAGAATTTTAAGAATATACCAAGGTTAGGACGTCATGACATACAGTAGGCCTATGATGTACTGGACTTGTCAAACTCACGTCGTCCACTTGCTGTTCCAGCTTGGCCTTGGCTTTAGTCAGAGTGTTGACTTTGTCTTCCTCTGCCTGGAGATCATCTAAGACTTGCTGGTGGGCTTCTTGGAGGGCTTTCTTCTCCTTGGATACTTTAACAATGGTTTCGTCCAGTGTTGACACCTCTTCAGTCAAGTTTTTCACCTGTTCACACAAACACAAAAGTTAATAGTTCTCATACTGATAAAATAAATAGCTTCAATGTATACTTTATGCCGGGGAAGTTGCTTTAACCTTGTTTTCAGTTGCATGTTTCTCTTTCTCCACTTTAACCAGGGTGAGCTCCAGATCATCAATGTCCTTTTTTAACTCAAAACACTCATCCTCCAGCTTCCTCTTCTTGGCAGTCAGCTCAGCGTTTATCTCCTCCTCTTCCTCCAGCCTCTCACTCAGCTCTTTAGCTTTGGCCTCCAGCTGGATCTTGTTCTTGACGAAACTCTCACATCTCTCCTCTGCATCTGAAAGGTTCTCACTTTCCTACAGAATCATTTTCAAAACATGTTTAAATCAAATATTATATTTATTTTTCATCAAAATTAGGGTTGCTAAGGGGGGAATGTTACTGGTAACTTTCACAATTTACCAGTAAACTACCAGAATTTTGGAAACTTTAAAGGATTACAGCTCATTTTTATAACATGTAAAATATATAAAATTATAAAATAAGATGTTTTAAATATGAAAAATAGAATGACAGAGCTGTAAAACATTATCCTAAATATAACCCATCAACTTACTGAATACCGTCGGTGTTTAATATGAGGGTTTCAACATAAAATAACCTTTATATTTTTACATGCTTTTATTTATTTTACAATGTCAATATAGCTTTGTTGTAAATGTTTTGGGGCCTAACTGGAGAATAACATACCGAAGCTACTTGTAACTGAAGATCGTTCTTCTCCTGCAGAAGCGTGACCATTTTCTCCTCTAGTTCCTTCTTCTTGGCTTCAGCCTTGGCCAGGTTCTCCTTGCACTTCGCAAACTCTTCCTTCATTGTGACCATTTCCTTCTCTGTCTCAGCACTTTTCAGCAGGGGCTTGATCTTGAAGTACAGCTTCATCCATGGCCAGTGTTTCACGTTCATGAAGGAGCGGATGTTGTACTGGACGATAAAGATAGATTCTCTGTGCAAAGAATAAGAGGCTATTACATCATCCCCATGGTCAGAAAAATGAAATATTATAGCTTTACAGATAATTAGTCAAGCAGATCAGTCCTACTGAGTCAATTGAACAGTCTTACCTTCGCTCCATCATCTTTTTGAACTCCTTCCTCATGACGAAGCCTCTGCAGAGTGCTTGAGTCATTGTAACCAAAGCTGCCAGCTTCTCGTCTCTCATCTCCTCCAGAGTTCCCAGCAGCCCAGCCTTAAAAAACACCTGAGAGACAAGAGGACATAGTTGGGCCGTAGAATAGGATTTAGATTAAATGCTAATGTTAACATTGTGGTTTGTGATTGTGAAAAAAATTGGGCTCCTCTTACCTTGGTGTGCCCAAATTTGTACTGAGTGTGGTCCACATCAATTGACCCCAAGAGCCTCTCTGAAGCTTTCTTGTTGTCAATGAACTGGCCATCGGGGATAACACTGGCATTCAAGACTTTGTATCTGTTACAAACATGAAAGATATATGCATTAGGTATGTCATATTTTTTCAAAGGATTTAAATGCATAGCATTTTTGGTGAACTACTATGGATGATTGTATACCTTTGCTTGAAATCACCATACAGGATTCTGCTCGGGAAACCTTTTCTGCAGATTCTGATACCTTCTAACACACCATTACACCTCAGCTGGTGGATCACCAAGGCATTCTCCATGAGACCTAAGATGTTCAAGATTTTAGCTGCATTTTTTCTGAAGAGAATGATTGTTAACTGCTACAGTGAGCTCCAACAGTATTGGGACAGTGACACATTTTTTGTTGTTTTAGCTCTGTACTCCAGCACTTTGGATTTGAAATGATAAGGTTATAAGGTTAAAGTGCAGACTGTTAGCTTTAATTTGATGTTATTTTCATCCATATCGGATGAACCGTTTAGAAATTACAGCACTTTTATTTTTTACATAGTCCCCCTATTTTAGGGTACCAAAAGTATTGGGACAAATTCACTTATATGTGTATTCAAGTAGTCCAAAGTTTAGTATTTGGTCCCATATTCCTAGCATGTAATGATATTTGTGCATCTGTAACTTTCTCACTCATTATTATTCACAATTCATTCAGGATTATCCGTAATCCTTTTAGAATGCACATTCATGTAGAAGTGTTTAGAAACATATTATATTCTTATTTACAATAAAACAACAACAAAAATTCACTGTCCCAATACTTTTGGAGCTCACTGCATTTCGTACTTACACTCAATAACCAATGCTTTAGTTTTACCTGGAGTCTTTGACTCGTTGGGAATCAAGCAGCGCACAAAGTGAGGATGAGTGCATCTAAGGTTTGTCATCAGCTTGCCCAAGTTCTCCTGTGGGATGAAAGTAATGTGTTTGAGTGAAAAGTTTGAGTCTCAATACCTCGTTTGTAGTCAGTATTTTCACTACTTGATGAATCCCCCTACCCTAAACAAGGCAGACACTGTTTGGAAAGAGCCACCTTTCTTCTTGGCACCTTTCTTGCTAAGATCTGTCAATGAAACAAGCAAGGGTTGTGTGAATATCTAAAACATAATGTTGTGTAAACAAGACCATGTTTAAGAGGTAAAGTTATAGATCCCATACCATCGGCTTGTGTAAAGCTTGCATATAGGAGAGACAGCAGTTTAACTGCAGACTTCTGATACAGCTGGACCACAGACTCGTTCAGCGGGTCCTTGTTCTTGTCCAGCCATCCACAGATGTTGTAGTCTACAGTTCCGGCATAGTGCACCAAGGAGAAGTGGGCCTCGGCCTTGCCTTTGGCAGACTTGGGCTTCTGAAAGCAGCCAGTCTTTCCCAAATGCTGGTCGTACAGCTTGCTCTTGAAGGTGGTGTCTGAAGCCTTGGGGAACATGCACTCCTCTTCAAGGATGGAAAAGATGCCCATTGGCTGTTGTAGAATGAGGTTGATAAGAGGTTGATACGAGATACAACAGTAGTGTAAATTCTTCTCATATGACATTAACAATTCCCATTACACTTACCTTCTCAATGAGCTCAATGCAGGCAGCCAAGTCCATTCCAAAGTCTATGAACTCCCACTCGATTCCCTCTTTCTTGTACTCCTCTTGTTCCAGCACAAACATGTGGTGGTTGAAAAACTGCTGCAGTTTCTCGTTGGTGAAGTTGATACACAGCTGCTCCAGACTGTTGTACTGTAGAAAGTATTTGATTGACATACTGTATTTCAATATTGCAGAGACTGTATCATTAGATGAAGTACAGCGCTGACGACATTCAATACTTACATCAAATATCTCAAACCCAGCGATGTCCAGGACACCAATGAAGAACTGCCTTGGCTGCTTGGTGTCCAACATCTGGTTGATGCGGATAACCATCCACAAGAACATCTTCTCATAGATCGATTTTGCCAGGGCCATAACTGAATTATGGACCTAAATGTGAAACAACAATACAACAGAATTGTAATAATCCTAATGGACTGATTGATATGAATTTTTCGGTAATATTAAATAGATATGGTGTTTCACCTGCTGGACTGTCTGTCCCTTGGTGACATATTCATTTCCAACCTTCACTCTGGGGTAGCAGAGAGCTTTTAGCAGGTCTGCAGAGTTCAGGCCCAGGAGGTAGGCAACTTTGTCAGCCACTAAAACAATGACAGCAGCAGTAGAATAATTTTACATCTCTATTACGTAAAGTTGACCACCCTCAAGGGACCATCTGTGAGATGAGTCACATGTTGTATTTTTAATTTCAGATTAAGTATATATACAGTGAGGGAAAAAAAGTGTTTGATCCCCTGCTGATTTTGTACGTTTGCCCACTGACAAAGAAATGATCAGCCTATAATTTTAATGGTAGGTTTATTTGAACAGTGAGAGACAGAATAACAACAAAAAAATCCAGAAAAACGCATGTCAAAAATGTTATAAATTGATTTGCATTTTAATGAGGGAAATAAGTATTTGACCCCTCTGCAAAACATGACTTAGTACTTGGTGGCAAAACCCTTGTTGGCAATCACAGAGGTCAGATGTTTCTTGTAGTTGGCCACCAGGTTTGCACACATCTCAGGAGGGATTTTGTCCCACTCCTCTTTGCAGATCTTCTCCAAGTCATTAAGGTTTCGAGGCTGATGTTTGGCAACTCAAACCTTCAGCTCCCTCCACAGATTTTATATGGGATTAAGGTCTGGAGACTGGCTAGGCCACTCCAGGACCTTAATGTGCTTCTTCTTGAGCCACTCCTTTGTTGCCTTGGCCGTGAGTTTTGGGTCATTGTCATGCTGGAATATCCATCCACGACCCATTTTCAATGCCCTGGCTGAGGGAAGGAGGATCTCACCCAAGATTTGACGGTACATAGCCCTGTCCATCGTCCCTTTGATGCGGTGAAGTTGTCCTGTCCCCTTAGCAGAAAAACACCCCCAAAGCATAATGTTTCCACCTCCATGTTTGACGGTGGGGATGGTGTTCTTGGGGTCATAGGCAGCATTCCTCCTCCTCCAAACACGGCGAGTTGAGTTGATGCCAAAGAGCTCCATTTTGGTCTCATCTGACCACAACACTTTCACCCAGTTTTCCTCTGAATCATTCAGATGTTCATTGGCAAACTTCAGACGGGCCTGTATATGTGCTTTCTTGAGCAGGGGGACCTTGCGGGCGCTGCAGGATTTCAGTCCTTCACGGAGTAGTGTGTTACCAATTGTTTTCTTGGTGACTATGGTCCCAGCTGCCTTGAGATCATTGACAAGATCCTCCCGTGTAGTTCTGGGCTGATTCCTCACCATTCTCATGATCATTGCAACTCCACGAGGTGAGATCTTGCATGGAGCCCCAGGCCGAGGGAGATTGACAGTTCTTTTGTGTTTCTTCCATTTGCGAATAATCGCACCAACTGTTGTCACCTTCTCACCAAGCTGCTTGGCGATGGTCTTGTAGCCCATTCCAGCCTTGTGTAGGTCTACGATCTTGTCCCTGACATCCTTGGAGAGCTCTTTGGTCTTGGCCATGGTGGAGAGTTTGGAATCTGATTGCTTGCTTCTGTGGACAGGTGTCTTTTATACAGGTAACAAACTGAGATTAGAAGCACTCCCTTTAAGAGTGTGCTCTTAATCTCAGCTCGTTACCTGAATAAAAGACACATGGGAGCCAGAAATCTTTCTGATTACTTATTTCCCTCATTAAAATGCAAATCAATTTATAACATTTTTGACATTTTCTGGATTTTTTTGTTGTTATTCTGTCTCTCACTGTTCAAATAAACCTACTATTAAAATTATAGACTGATCATTTCTTTGTCTGTGGGCAAACGTACAAAATCAGCAGGGGATCAAATACTTTTCCCCCTCACTGTACAGTATATTCATATTATGTATACATATTCAAAACCCATGTTTACCCTCAGTGCCGTCTGGCTCTGCTTGCTCCTCTCTCTGCTTCTGCTTGAACTTCATGTTCCCATGATGCATCACAGCACCTGTCAGCTTGAAGATGCCCATCTTTTCATCCAGCGTGAAGCCCAAGATATCAATAGCAGTCTAGTAGCCAAATAAATCAGATATAAGTAGATTCAATGTTAATAGAAGAGCAGGAATCTAAATATATACTATAAGCAGATTCCACATGATGTTGTATTATGCTAATCGCATTATGATACATGTGCAAACATGATTTGTCAAGTTATTGATCAAATCAAGAAGACCTACATCGGTGGCGACCAGTTCATCTTTGTCTACGATGCTGGTCACAGTGATCTGCCCCTGACTGATCATGGGGAAATCATATGGATTGGTTGTGATGAGCAGCATCTCTGTGGAGATCAATATAGTCATTAGTGATTTAGAATTCAATCTCAATACTCCGCTTCAATGTCAGGATGGACCATTGGGGATGCCATTAATCATGTGATCCTTACCTATCAGCTCTGGCTTGTGGTTGGTCATAACTTGATAGAAGATGTGATAACTTCTCTCATCAGCAAGCTGGAATGTCACTCTGGACTTTTCCAGCAAGTCTGGGGAAAGAGTCAAGAGTGGCAATGCCTTCCATAACCTCTAGTCTAGACCATGCACAGAAAAACACAGCGTAGACTCACATGTCTCAATATCAGCTGAGGCTAGCTTTCCAGTGGTTCCAAAATGAATCCTGATGAATTTACCCTGTTTGAAAGAGAATAATTTATGATTGCTGGTTTGAACTGTAACACGTCTTAAGAATTATATTAAAGATATCGGTAATATGCTCAACTTACAAATCGGGAGGAGTTGTCGTTCCTCACAGTTTTGGCATTACCATAGGCCTCCAGCAGGGGGTTGGCTGCAATTATTTGATCCTCCAGCGAGCCCTGTAGAATAATTGCTAACACTTTACTTCACAAACCACTATTTATCTGATTTTTACTTGTTAAAATGGCTATTACATACATTTGAACTAGGTTTTTGTCGGCTGGTACCAGCCTGGTATCACAGGGCCTCTGTCACGATCGTTTAAAGATTCGTGGAACCAAGGCGCAGCGTGATAAGCGTACATTTTTATTTAAGTACTGAACACGACAAAACAACAAACAAACGATACGTGAAGTCTTGAGGTTACACAAAACAAACCTATACAGAACAAGATCCCACACAGACTGGTGCCAAACGGCTGCCTAAGTATGGTCCCCAATCAGAGACAACGAGCTACAGCTGCCTCTGATTGGGAACCACCCTGGCCAACATAGATCTACACGATCTAGACACTAAACATAGAAAACTTAACATAACACGGAATATGAACACCCTGACTCAACAAATAAACGTCCCCTGAGTCAGGGCGTGACAGCCTCTCACCTGCATTTTGCCACTGGTAGATTCTTTCTTCCCAGACACTGCGATTGTCGCAAAGTACTGGATGACACGCTTAGTGTTCACAGTCTTCCCTGCACCAGATTCTCCACTGATTTCAGATAAAGATACAAGGGTGGGAGAAGAATAAGATGCGTTGAGATAGGTAAGATAAGTGGTACTTGTGGTACAAAAATATGACGGTTTGTTAATATAGAATGCAACTTACGTGATAAGGACAGACTGGTTCTCTCTGTCTGTGAATACAAATATTTTTTGAAGGTTTAATGAGAGGGATATATTGACATTATCAGGTAATTCTGCTGAATCAAGTTTTTCATTACAGCCAAATATCAACCTTACCAGTGAGCATGAACTGATATGCGTTGTCAGAGACAGAGAAGATATGAGGTGGGGCTTCCATGCGTTTCTTCCCTCTGTAGGCCACTACCACCTCCTGGTTGTAAACTGGTAACCACTTATAGGGGTTTACAGTGACACAGAACAGCCCAGAGTAGGTCTGAAACACAGTATGATGCGCATCATTAGTAACCAATTACTTTTGGCTCATCTCATTGATATTGTATTGGAGTGAATGATAAAGAATTGTATATACTATGCAGTGGTGTAAAGTACTTAAGTAAAAATACTTTAAAGTACTACTTAAGTAGTTTTTTGGTGTATCTGTGCTTTACTTTACTATTTATTATTTTAGCCAACTTTTACTTTTACTTCACTACATGCCTAAAGAAAATAATGTACTTTTTATCCCATACATTTTCTCTGACACCCAAAAGTACTCGTTACATTTTGACAGGAAAATGGTTCAATTCACGCACTTATCAAGAGAACATCCCTGGTCATCCCTACTGCCTCTGATCTGGCGGACTCACTAAACACAAATGCTTTGTTTGTAAATTATGTCTGAGTGTTGGAGTGTGCCCCTGGCTATCTGTAAATGTAAAAAATATATATATAATTGTGCCGTCTGGTTTACTTAATGTAAGGAATTTGAAATGATTTATACTTTTACTTTGATACTTAAGTATATTTTAGCAATTCCATTTACTTTTGATACTTAAGTATATTTAAAACGAAATACTTTTAGACTTTTACTCAAGTAGTTTTTCACTGGGTGACTTTCACTTTTACTTGAGTCATTTTCTATTAAGGTATATTTACTTTTAATCTAGTATGACAATTGAGTACTTTTTCCACCACTGATACTACGTAATGTCAACCAGTCTAGACTCACGTAGATCATCCATGCTGCGTAACGCTCTTTGAGGTTATACAGCACAGTGGCCTCGTTGAGGTGGGTCATCATAGCCATGTCCTCAATCTTATCAAATTTAGGAGGATTCATTGGATACACGTCATCCTCTGTCACTGTTACACCCTTGGAAAGTTAGACATGAGAGTTATTAACATGTAGTACTACTTCTGTTAATTACTAACATATTGTATTAGTTATTATTACAACGTACACTGAGTATACAAAACATTGACCAGGTGAATCCAGGTCAAATCAAATCAAATTGTATTTGTCACATACACGTGTTTAGCAGATGTTATAGCGAGTGTAGCGAAATGCTTGTGCTTCTAGCTCCGACAGTGCAGTAATATCTAACAAGTAATATCTAGATGAAAGCTATGATCCCTTATTGATGACACATTAAATCCACTTCAATCAGTGTAGATGAAGGGGAGGAGACAGGTTAAAGAAAGATTTTTAAACCTCGAGACAGTTGAGACATGGATTGTGTATGTGTGCCATTCAGAAGGTGAATGGGCAAGACAAAATATTTAAGTGCCTTTGAACGGGGTATGTTAGTAGGTGCCAGGCGCACCGGTTTGTGTCAACAACTGCAACGCTGCTGGGTTTTTCCACACTCAACAGTTTTGCGTGTGTATCAAAAATAGTCCACCACCCAAAGGACATCCAGCTAACTTGACCCAACTATGGGAAGCATTAGAGTCAACATGGGCCAGCATCCCTGTGGAACGCTTTAAACACCTTGTAGAGCCCATGCCCCGACAAATTGAGGCTGTTCTGAGGGCAAAAGGGGGGGTGCAACTCAATATTAGGAAGGTGTTCCTAATGTTTGGTATACTCAGTGTAGTAATACTGTCTATATGAATCACTTGTGGAGTCAAACACTCACTTGTCCACCAGTAATCTTTACAGTGACTTTGCCAGCGTCTCTCTTCTGGATGTTGCCTTTGCGGTACAGCTCTTTGCTGTCGGTCACATAGCAGGCTGTCTTGGCATCAAATGGGATGTTCTGAGCGGCAATCCTCTCTCTCTCTGGTTTCCGGAGGTATATGGCTGCCTCGCCGAAAATGGCCATCTCTGCGTCCGTACTCATGGCTGGGCTTTTACTGTGAAGAGAAAGCAGAGTTTCAAAATATGTCCAGAAAATTCACTTTCTCTGATGGAGAGACATCCAGTGACAGGAATCAATTAAAAAGACCAGCTGAGAGAGGACTGTAAAATAATGCATCTTCAACCTTACCCAAATCCAGACTCACTGAGAAAAGGTTGTTGTTTTGTTTCCCTCACCTGAGGAGAAATAGGAACCATTATTTTAAATTCATTCTTGAATTAAATCAAACATTTGAAAACATCTTAATGGAACCTTTTGTTGATAAAAAGCTTTAACATAGACAGTCAGTAGTGCACAAACCTCTATAGGAGAGTGTTACTCACCAGAGTTCTCCCTCATACGGATCCCTCAGTAATTAAAGGGACTTTTATTGAGTTAATTTGGTCCGCCCCTCAAATCCTTCACCTTGTTTTGGGAAAGTAAGCCACCCCCCTGATTAGTTCTCTGTCATCTCTCATTATGGAGCTTATTCTGGGATCTAGTGGCATAGTGGCCAGACAATGGTTTTCAGAGGCAGAGGGCAGACGTTACAGAAACTGATGGATGGAATTGGAAAACTGTGAAACCTTGAAATAATTTGCATCTTAAAATTGTTTGGGGGGATAGCTATTCATTTCAGATGAAGCAAAGATAAGGATACATATGTGATCCTATTCTAAGCATGATCTTAATTGGTCCTTGATGTATGTGACAGGAAATGGCATTTCAGCATTTATATATTTTGCCAGGCATATAGATGTTCCATCTATAATGTATGGTTCCATCATTTATATTTATAGTTTAAAACATCAATCTAACGTAAATCAATAGCATGGAGATATTAATCTGCTAATCTGTTTGTATTTGGGCAGAAAGAGCACAGGACCTTATTGGAAATCGAATTAAAGCTCTAGTGTAATCCTGCAGTATGTAAAACATGCAGGATGGGTATTATACTCCAATGTCAAGCTTAAGTTCCAATCTGGTTTTCAGACAATTTAAATTCCAAAGTTATGATGAGGACTTTTGAGACACTGAATGTGTGTGTTTATAACTGGACCACAGAAAAATAAGACAAACACAGGTGGGATGCATCACCCTAAATATGATAGTCAATCACTGTGCACTAAACAGATAGTTCTAAAGAAGGCATCACACAGCTAATGACACACAGCTTTAACTCAGCGATAGGAAATGTCTTCGTGCCTTTCTGATCAGGCTGGATTGTCTTTCGATTATGGGGCCTAATCATGACTAATCCTGAGATAGCATGCGAGCTTTAGGCCCGTGGGCCTTTTGTGTGTGCGTGTGTTCTGTATTGGACTTTGACATTGGAGAGGATGCCTATTTTGGATGTCATGGGGAAGCCCAAAATGTCACCATGCATTCTCCTGAGGATCTCTACTGATCTCTGAAAATCCCAGACTCTCAAATGAAATTAAAACTATATGCACATGGCGGTCCTGCCGGGTCTAAATTGAGCCTCAAAATCCACACTGTTTGGCTAAGGGACTAATGATTGGGATGATTGTGTTACACTTGTTATACTGTTGCCTTGTTTGGCAAGATAATGACAATTTTAAAAAAAAACTATAAAACGTAGGCCTGATTAGATCACTGGAGCATCTGTTTATGCAAAAAAGATAAGAGCGAATGTTAAATGTTTTGTATCACACTTTAAAAGAACACCCCAGAAACAGTTTTCATGCACTTGCTTCATTTATTTTGTACTATAGTTCCACTAGGTTGTGCTACAGTCACTACATAAGCAGATCCAGACATCCAGGCAGGCAGCCAAGCAGGCACAAATCCTGGGTCTTCTAACCACTTCTGGGTCTTCTAGTCACTCAGATTCAGGCTGGTACATATAAAAAATATGTAATACAAATGTTGTTTTTTATTTTCATTTTTTTCTAAAAAATAATACACACATCAATCAATCAATGTAGTAGTGAAATATATGAATACTTATGTTTTTGTATTGTATCGTATTGTACCTTCCCGGCATCCCTGCTCTTGGCTCTCATCTTGATGACCTGGGACTCGACGACGTCAGCCCTCTCCTCTGCCTCCTCCAGGTCATGCTGCACCTTTCTGCACTTAGTCAGTTGGGTGTTGGCCTGCTCTCCCTGGAACAACACCACCAGACCATAATACAATAATTCAGTGATTAACAATAACAACCAGGTACTTTCTCATTAGGTCATAGGTCATTGATCTAAGCTTACAGCTTCCTCAGCCTGACGTTTGTACGCCTTCACTTTCAACTGCAGCTTGTCCACCAGGTCCTGCAGTCTCTGGACAGTCTTCTTGTCCTCTTCGGTCTGCAAGCAGAGATCAGCAGATCAGTCATTGAGGTAAAGGAATTAGATCACTTCTGATTGAATCAGATTCATCTGAACTCATTTCTCTACTACCTTACTTACTTACTTACTTACTTTATTGTCCCCATGGGGAAATTTTGTTGCAGTGTCATGTACACATTTAAAGTGGCGTTAAATACAAAACAAGATTGACAATACAACTTTCAATAACAGTCACGCACCAATAAAAGTAAGAAATAAGAAATAAAACATTTAAAACATTTAAAACAAAGACTAGCCTGCTGGCCTTACGGGGTCAATGGGAACATTTGCCCGAGCTATTTAAGAGGGATATCACACCTGGCACAAATGATTGTCTCGTTCTATTTTTCCTGCTGAGGGGTGCCCTATACCTACGCCCAGAGGGGAGTAATTCAAAGTCCAGGTACAGGGGGTGACTTGGGTCTAAAATGATTTTGTGAGCCTTACGGAGGGCCCTGACCTTAAAGATCTCATCCAGGCCTGTCTGTTTGACTCCAAGTACCTTACTTGCTGTGGTAATAATCCTTCTCAGCATGTTTCTCTGACTGACAGTGGCATTGCCAAACCAACAAACAATACAAAAAGTTAAAATACTCTCAATAAAGGATTTGTAAAACAGAGTCAATATAGTACAGTCTATATTAAAAGAACCCAACTTTTTTAGAAAGTACAGTCTCTGTTGGCTCTTTTTGTAGATCTGGTCTGTACATTTACTCCACTGAACAGACCAGATCTACAAAAAGGAAGGTGAGCTCCTTGACTCTCCTCTCATATTTTTGGACTCCTTTGATGGAATCAGCTCCTCTCTTCTGCTCAGCCTCCAGTTCTAATTCCAGCTCACGCACCTGCCAATGAGTAGATCACATCAAGTAATAAACACTTGGTAAAGAGTCTCAGGCTTCCTCTGGGATACGCTTCCAGTATAGCAGCTAAAAACCTTCAATGATTTCACTGTGCCTCCAGTCTACATTTTTGTCATTTAGCAGACGCTCAGTTAGTGAGTGCATACATTATTAATATATATATATATTTTATTATTTTTTCATACTGGCCCCCCGTGGGAATCGAACCCACCAACTGAGCTACATCCCTGCCGGCCATTACCTCCCCTACCCTGGACGACTCTGGGCCAATTGTGCGCCTCCCCATGGGTCTCCCGGTCGCGGCCGGCTACGACAGAGCCTGGATTTGAACCAGGATCTCTAGTGGCACAGCTAGCACTGCAATGCTGTGCCTTAGACCACTGTGCCACTTGGGAGGCTAGCAGCTCTGGGAGAAACACATTCCATATTGACAGGATCAACAGCACCATCTGCCGGTATGTCTTCAGATTAATCTAGAGTATTTGAGTCCCAGTGATACTATGATAATCTTGTGAAAAGGGGATGGGTTACCCGAGCCTTCAGTTTCTGGAGCTGCTTCTTGCCTCCCTTCATGGCCAGGTTTTCAGCCTCATCCAGGCGGTGATGCAGGTCCTTGACTGTAACCTCCAGGTTCTTCTTCATCCTCTCTACATGACCGCTGGTGTCCTGCTCCTTCTTCAGCTCCTCAGTCATCATGGCCGCCTGTGTAGGGGAACATTTCATCACATCATATTGTTGTTGGTTTTATATGAAATGATATGGAGGTAAGATATTGTGAATCTTTGCTTGATATGACACATACATCAGTGATGGCTTTCTTGGCTTTCTCCTCTGCGTTCCTAGCCTCCTGGATGGCATCCTCCACTTCCCCTTGCAGTTGACTGACATCTGCATCCAGCTTCTTCTTGGTGTTGAGAAGACTGGTGTTCTGTTAAAGTATGGCATTATAGATAATGTTATTAGATGTTACAATAGTGGCATGGGAAATCTATATAAACCAAGGAAATGCTACATATTTGTGAGTATACCTGGGAATGCAGCAGCCCCACTCTCTCACAGGCATCAGTCAGATCCTGCTCAGCCATCTTACGGCTCCTCTCCGCCTGCTCCAGGGCAGCCCTTAGCTCCTCCACCTCAGCCTGCATCATGGAGCTCCTGCGCTCCACAATGGCTGCCTGCTCCCTCAGCTCCTCCTGGCTACGCAGAGCCTCATCCAGGTGCAGCTGGGCATCCTGAGGAGAGAAATAAACTAAACTTTGTAATAAAGTTAATTAGTAAGACATTATAGATTCATATTATGTAGAAATGCTTTGAATGCATTACCTTGAGGTGGGCCTTAACGTTCCTCAGCTGTTTCTGGGCCTCACCAGCCTGCCTGTTGGCATGGCTCAGCTGAACCTCCATCTCGTTGAGATCGGTCTCCATCTTCTTTTTGATCCTCAGGGCATCGTTTCTGCTGCGGATCTCAGAGTCTAGGGCCGACTGGATGGTGTCGACGACACGCTGGTTGTTAAGTTTGATCTGCTCCATCTCCTCCTCTTTCTCCGCCAGCCTCCTGTCCACCTCACCTTTGACCTGGGTTAGCTCCAGCTGGATACGAAGGATCTTGGATTCTTCATTTTCCAAAGAGGCCTAAAATAATATGCTATTCATGCTGAAATTATTCCATTGTTTATTGACATTTTCAGGACATTTCTCCATTGGCATCAAACCTCAGCTTCCTCCAGAGCAGATTGGATCTCAAATTTCTCTGTTTGCTTCTTGTTCTTCTCCAGTTCATGGATGGCTTTGCCATTCTCACCAACTTGTTCTGTCAGATCAGAGATTTCCTCTGGAATAACATTATAGTTAGTTACAGATCTGAAGTTTAAACCTGCAGAGTCACAGACTATTGTGTAGTTAGCATTTACATTTTAGTCATTTAGCAGACACTCTTATCCAGAACAACTTACAGTTAGTGAGTGCATACATTTTCATACTGGCCCCCCATGGGAAACGAACCCACAACCCTGGCATTGCAAGTGCCATGCTCTACCAACTGAGCTACACAGGACTACATACGTTGCAGGTTCTTGTTCTCTCTCTTCATGGCCTCCAGGTGCTCCAGACATTCCTCGTAGGAGTTCTTCATTTTGAAGAGCTCAGTGCTGAGGGAACGAGACACTTTCTGGGAACCTTCCAGCTCGGCTTGACTCTCCTCATAATTCTGCTTCCATTGAGCCACAATCTAAGGAGGGTTTGAAAGATCTTGGTTAAAGGTGGTTGACTTGATTTTAGCTTTCTGGCAAAACATTGGTAGTCCAATTTAGTGTAGTCTATTACTTAAGGGTCAGAATCGGTGTCTGACTGATAAACTTTTGTTTTATGGAGGTCGCTACATGTGAATTCAATACAAGTCTATTACCTTGTCATAGCTCCTTTGCTTTTTATCCAGGACAGCTGCTTGACCATCTGCCCTCTCCACATCAGCCATGAGGTCCTCCACCTCTCCCTGCAGCCTCTGCTTGGTCTTCTCCAGAGAGGCACACTTGGCGTTCACAGCCTCAATGGCCTCCTCAGAATCCTGGAGTCGCTGGGCAAGCTTCATCCTGAGGATATAAATGTCCTTCTTTAGTGTAGAAACAATGTTTCTTGGCCTCGTGAAGGTGAGCAGTACATTTCTAAAGTACAATATTTAAAAGGCCTGTATCTTCTGACTCACTTGGCCTCCTCCAGGTCATCAGTACGCTGGATGGCATCAGTCTCGTATTTGGCTCTCCACTGAGCCACCTCTACATTGGCTTTGGACATTCCCCTCTGCAGCTCAGCCTTGGCCTCCTGCTCCTCCTCAAACTGCTCCCTCAGCATCTCACAGTCATGGCAAGATGATTGGACAGCGTGGGCTAAGGCACTCTTGGCCTTTACAGAAACAAATTAAAGTAGATCAAGCAAGCACCCTTTCACCAAAAGATGGGAGTTGGTTATGATTTGGAGGTTAGAATTTTTAAGAATGTGTAGAGCTGTGTACTTTCTTATACTTTTTTTAACTCTTTAGAGGCCTGGATAGGAATTCATTATTCAAAGTAGAATATTAAAACAAACCTTGGTTTCTTCTTCAAGCTGCCTATTCAGCTCTTCAGTTTGTTGAGTGAATTACATCTTGGTCCTTGACATCTGAGAAAGTATTCCGTCTTTCTCGTCAAGCCGGCGGGTAAACTCGCCTTTCAGATAAAGGATTACAAGAACATTTGTTAGAACAGGCCCTCTTTTATTGTGGTCCAAGTGGTGGATAATTGCCAACTCAGCATGTTGTATTTCCTACCATTCTCAGTCTGAAGTCTTGCTCTTTGAGTGTTGAGATCAGCGAGCTGGCGAGTGTTCTCATCATGTTTGGCCTTGTATTCACTCAGCTGGTCCTCCAGAGTATGACACATCTTCTCGTAATTTGCCTTTGAAAATAATAAGCAATGAAATCTGTTTTCATGATTTTAAAAAGTATGAATGCATCTTTCTGTAATGGAATGATATTGTTATCTACCTTGGACTTGGACACTGATTCCATGTTGCTGACCAGATTATCAATCTCCATTTTGTATTCACTCTTCTCTTTCTCCAGCTTCTGCTTGACACGCTGCAGATTGTCAATGTGCTCTCCCAGCTCTGCCACAGTGTCTGCGTGTTTTTTACGCAGGGCAGCAGAAGTAGCCTCATGGTGCAGAGTTGACTGCTCCAGGTCTCGTCTCAGTTTCTGAAACTCGGCCTCTCGCTTCTTGTTCATCTCGATTTGAGTAATGGTGGCTCCACCAGCTTCTTCAAGCCTCTCGCTGATCTCTTCAAGTTCCCTGGAGACATCAGACCTCTGCTTCTCCACTTTAGCCCTAGCAGCACGTTCAGCCTCAATCTCCTCTTCCAGTTCCTCAATACGGGCCTGGAAGAAAGTATTGAAGGAAACATGTTAAACACATAAAGGTCTTAATCTTGAAGGCAATATTTTCTCATTGAGTACCTGGAGCTCCTTGATCTTTTTCTGAGGTTGTGCCGATGAACTTTGCTCGTCCTCAATTTTTGTGAGAATCTGGCTGAACTCAAAGTCTTTCCTGCCAAGTAAAACCATATGATTAGAGTTTCTTAGGTTGAGTTTCTATCAAATCACATTTTCTAGAATATGAATGGATGAATAACTGAAGTGTTTATTGTACTTCTTCAGTCGATCCTCCAGCTGCTGCTTGTCATTCTCCAGATCCATTACAGATTCTTGAGTCAGTTTCAGATCCCCTTCAAGCTTTCTCTTGGACCTCTCCATATCCATCCATATCTTTTTTTCTTGCTCCAGAGAGCTCTCAAGCTGTAAAAAGAAGTAGGAAGTATGTTTAATAGTTAAACCTATCCAGAATAAAGCTAATAAAGCTCAAGGTTTAGACTAACATCATCCACTTGTTGCTCCAGCTTGACTTTGGCTTTGGTCAGAATGTTGACTTGGTCTTCCTCTGCCTGGAGGTCATCCAAGGCTTCCTGGTGGGTCTCTTGGAGGGCTTTCTTCTCCTTGGATAATTTGCCAATCATCTCATCCAAACCTGACATTTCTTCTGTCAGATTTTTCACCTGCTGGTTTTTCAAAAACAGACAGGTCAGTGAATAAAGTATATAACCTTTTTTAGAAAACAGATACGTTCATGAAAGACATTAACCCTGTTTTCAGTGGCATGTTTCTCCTTCTCCACTTTGGCCAGAGTGAGTTCCAGGTCATCAATGTCCTTCTTCAGCTCAGAGCACTCATCCTCTAGCTTCCTCTTCTTGGAAGTCAGTTCAGCATTGATTTCCTCCTCGTCCTCCAGCCTCTCACCCAGCTCTTTGGCTTTGGCCTCCAGTTGGATCTTGCTCTTGATGAGGCCCTCACATCTCTCCTCTGCATCCACCAGACCTTCACTCTCCTGGAAAGAAAATGTCTCATCAAACGAAATATAATATTCTGTTGATATTTTCTATTGCATCCTAATAACCTTGCTTTTTGATGTGATAAAATTCCTCTGGATCTCTAGAGCAAGTCATTAAATGTTGTAAGAACATTGTTTCCTATCCTTTGGCACTCAAGAACTATACTTACAGTCTGAACTTGCAGTCGCAGGTCATTCTTCTCCTGGAGCAGGGTCACCAATTTGGCCTCCAGCTCCTTCTTCTTGGTCTCTGCTTTGACCAGGTCGTCCTTGCACTTGCCAAAATCCACTTTCATGGTAGCCATTTCCTTCTCAGTCTCAGCACTCTTTAGGAGTGGCTTGAGTTTGAAGTATAGCTTCATCCATGGCCAGTGTTTCACATTCATGAAGAAACGCATGTTGGACTGAACAACAGAAATGGATTCTCTGCAAAGACATAACTCAGATTTAGGATCCTTACATTTTAATGTACTCCATACCATCTCAGGGACAGATTATGACTTGAGGTGTTTATAACTGAAATGTTCTTACAAATGTCTCATTGACATCAATGTATGCAATGCATCTCCTGTTTGGTCTCCAATCTATCATCATGGCCTTCACCTCCTCTTCATCATCATCCAGTACTCTGTCCTCATTAGGAAGCCGCGACACAGGGCCTGGGTGATTGTGATGAGGGTGGACAGTTTTTCGTCCCTCATCTCCTCCAGCAAACCCAGCAGGCCTGCCTTGAAGAACACCTGCAGGAGACAGACATGGAGGCCATTTTGAAATTACCACACCTGATTTTTTCATACCAAAAACGAATCTGTACAGTATTGGTACTACAATTTACATTGTAGTCATTTAGCAGATGCTCTTATCCAGAGCGATTTACAGGAGCAATTAGGGTAAAGTGCATTGCTCAAGGGCACATCGGCAGATTTTTCACCAAGTCAGCTTGAGGATTCAAAACCAGCGATTTCTCAGTTACTGACCCAACGCTCTTAACCGCTAGGCTACCTGCCGCCCCTACCAGGAGTGATGATGTTCACTAACACTTGCCTTGGTGTGTCCAAACTTATACTGATTGTGGTCCACATCAATTGACCCCAAGAGCTTCTCTGCAGCTTTCTTGTTGTCAATGAACTGGCCATCAGGGATAACACTTGCATTCAGTACTTTGTACCTAGAGGGAAAAGGTTTGTAGAAAAGAGATTGAACTGTTTGTAGAATTTTTTTTAATGAGTTTCAATAAAATAAATAACAAATTGTGTGTACTGTATGTTCAAAAATCCTATTACCTCTGCTTGAAATCCCCATAGAGTATTCTGCTTGGGAAGCCCTTTCTACAGATTCTGATACCTTCCAGCACACCATTACACCTCAGCTGGTGGATAACTAGATGGTTCTCCATAGCACCTACATAAGGAACAAATCAAAATAATGAGCAAAAGCCAAATAACCTGAAGTAGACACCAATGATATGGTGAAAATGTTTACCTGGCGTCTTACTCTCATTTGGAATCAGACATCTGACAAAATGGGGGTGAGTGCTTTTCAGGTTTGTCATCAGCTTTCCCAAGTTTTCCTGTTAAGGGCAACAACTAAATGTGTATTACAATAATTTTCATCAAACATGTAGGAGGGAATAATGAGAATACAGAATGTGTTGTTCATTCTCTACTGACCCTGAAGACGGCTGACACTGTCTGAAAAGAAGAGCCCTTCTTCTTAGTACCCTTCTTTGCTGCACCAGCACCACCACTATTTTCTACAGTACAAAACATTTCCAAAGACATGAAACCACTTCTGACTGTAATTCCACACAAAATGACAGACAGGAATGTGTGAGTGAGTGAATGCATTGTATGCACTTCTATGTCCCTACCCTCAGAGGCAGAATAACTAGAGTAGAGGAAAGAGAGCAGCTTCAAGGCTGCCTTCTGGTAGAGCTGAATGACTGTCTCATTCAGTGGGTCTTTGTTCTTCTCCAACCAGCCAGTAATGTTGTAGTCCACAGTGTCGGCATAGTGCACCAGGGAGAAGTGAGCCTCTGCCTTGCCCTTGACCGGCTTGGGCTTCTGGAAGTTGTTAGACTTTCCAAGGTGCTGGTCATAGAGCTTGCTTTTGAAGGTAGTGTCTGAAGCCTTGGGGAACATGCACTCCTCTTCAAGGATGGAGAAAATGCCCATTGGCTGTGGATTAACAAACAAATGACAGTGCCGCGTTTAGATCTTGAATGAAAGTGTAAAAGTTGTTCTAAATTCTATGAAATTGCTATCACGAATGAAGCTAGTATTTCTCACTTTCTCAATAAGCTCAATGCAGGCAGCCAAGTCCATTCCAAAGTCTATGAACTCCCACTCAATTCCCTCTTTCTTGTACTCCTCTTGTTCCAGCACAAACATGTGGTGGTTGAAAAACTGTTGCAGTTTCTCATTGGTGAAGTTGATACACAGCTGTTCCAGACGGTTGTACTGTTGAGAAAGTCAACAAATACCATTTCGATTGCTATCTATTGGGCCAATGTTATGACACTGGGGAATTATAAACACTAATTTTTTGACATTTCACTTACATCAAAGATTTAAAACCCAGCAATGTCCAGGACACCGATGAAGAACTGCCTTGGCTGCTTGGTTTCCAACATCTCATTTATATGGATGACCATCCAGAGAAACATTTTCTCGAAGACAGATTTAGCCAAGGCTCCAATAGAGTTGTACACCTTATAAGCATATTACATGAGTCAACAGCAACAAGTTGAATTTGAGACCTCTAAAACAACACAAGATGGCAAATACCTGCTGAACAGTCTGTCCCTTGGTGACATACTCATTTCCAACCTTCACTCTGGGGTAGCAGAGCGCTTTTAGCAGATCTGCTGAGTTCAAGCCCATGAGGTAAGCTGCATTGTCAGCCACTGAAATAGAAAAGAAAGGACACCAGAATATGTGTGTGTTGTCATTTTCAGTAAGCATCAGCTCTAATAAGTTCCCACCATATTAGAGCAATTCTATCAGATCTGTGAAGGGGAGTGAACAATGGTAGGAGGGAGGGAATAACTTTCTGGAATGACATGCATCCCATGTTTTTACCCTCAGCGCCATCTGGTTCCGCCTGCTCCTCTCGCTGCTTCTGCTTGAACTTCATGTTTCCATAATGCATCACAGCACCAGTCAGCTTGTAGATGCCAATCTTCTCCTCTGCAGTGAATCCCAGGATGTCAATAGCACTCTTGAAGCACATCAGTGGACAGTGTTTTTTTTTATGAACGAAACAGAGCATTTGCAAGGGATCCTGATCAAATCAGAAATTAAGGGACAAATTCATCACATTTTCTGCCATTTGAGTTTGATTGCATTTAGCCCAAAGTTTCTCTACTTACATCAGTAGACAGCAGTTCATCACTGTCATCGATACTAGCCACAACAATCTCCCCTTGGCTGATAAACGGGAAGTCATAAGGGTTTGTGGTGATGAGAAGAGTCCCTATGAGCTCAGGCTTCTTGTTGGACATGATCTGGTAGAAGATATGGTAGCTCCTCTCTGCTGATAGTTGGAACGTCACCCGGGATTTTTCCAGGAGATCTGCCAAATACAAAGAGAACATGTTTGTGCTGTGTATCATGTGTATGTCACAGTGTATCATAAATGTTTCTGAGCCAAATGTGGCATACAACTTACGGTAACACTTTATTTGGATAGTCCATCTGTAGATGCTCTACAGACTATCAGTAACATTTTAACTAACTATCTACTAACCCGAACCCTAGCCCTAACCCTAACCTTAACCCTTATCCTAATCCTAAACTTAACCCTTACCCTTACCCTAACCTTAACCCTTACCCTAACCCTTATTCTAAACCTAAACTTAACCCTTACCCTAACCTTAACCCTTACCCTAACCCTTATTCTAAACCTAACCCCAACCCTAACCGTAACCTTAGCAAGCAGTTGCTTATCAACAGATAGTCTGTTGATAGTATGACCTGGAAAATCCGGACTATCCAAATAAAGTGTGACCCAACTTACAAGTCTCAATATCAGCGGAAGCCAGTTTTCCTGTAGTTCCAAAGTGAATTCTGATGAATTTTCCCTGAACAGAGATAAAACAAGACAGTAATTACCTTGATGACTGAATTATGACAAATAAGTGACACCATATGACATAGACAGAAATACTAACTTACAAAGCGAGAGGAGTTGTCGTTCCTAACAGTCTTGGCATTTCCAAAAGCCTCCAGCAGAGGGTTGGCTGAGATGATCTGGTCTTCCAGGGTTCCCTACAGGTAAGACACAACAGATCAACCAGTCAGCCAATCAAGTAACATTAATTCAATCAGTCATAAAATACAGCAGATTATCTGTCTGTTTAGATAGCCTACTAAAGGCATGTTCTTTGTGTAGTAGTCTGAACATTGTTTCTTGAGAGGAAAATAAAGATGTTGAGTTCTACTTGCATGAATTTTGCCTGGACCCTCTTTCTTCTTGTCCCCATTTCCAGACACTGCGATTGTCGCAAAGTACTGGATGACACGCTTGGTGTTCACAGTCTTCCCTGCACCGGATTCTCCACTGAGAGAAACACAAAGCCCATCCATAAAAAACACAATGTTTCTTCCTGTTGAAGTCTGTGGATTTTCAAGTTCTGTTACTTACGTGATCAAGATGGACTGGCACACTCTATCTAAATGAAAAGGAAGCATCACAATCATGAGAAGAACATACTGTATATGAATAGACGATGAACTAATAAATTACATTGAAGAGCTTGAATCCTACCAGTCAGCATAAACTGATAGGCATTGTCGGAGATGGAGAAGATGTGGGGTGGAGTTTCCTGGCGTTTCTTCCCTCTATAGGCCACTATCACCTCCTGGTTGTAAACTGGTAACCACTTATAGGGGTTCACAGTGACACAGAAAAGCCCAGAGTAGGTCTGAAAACACAGCAGTGATTGTAATGTCAGTTTAAGGAGAGTAATGTGGAAAGGCTGAGCTATGGAAACAAGCTCACCATCAGACAAAAAACTGCCTTCACTCATGTCAAATGTGACTCACGTAGATCATCCATGCTGCATAACGCTCTTTGAGGTTGTACAGCACAGAGGCCTCATTGAGGTGGGTCATCATGGCCATGTCCTCAATCTTATCAAATTTAGGAGGATTCATGGGGAATACTTCATCATCCTTCACTGTTACAGTCTATGTTTAGGAAGAAAATACGAATAGATTTTTGGAAAATACTCGATCTCGACTGTTTACATATTTTTTTAATATGGCACTGTACTAGTTCAATTAGACGTAACTCACTGCTCCCGCTTCAGTCTTAACGGTTGCTTTGCTGCCCTCTTTGCTTTGGAGAGTGCCTTTGACAAACAGTTCCTTAGGCTCCGACACAAACACAGCCGTCTTGGCATCAAAGGGTCTGTTCTGGACTTCTATCCTCTCCCTATCAGACTTCCGGAGGTATGGGGCAGCCGGCCCAAACACCCCCATCTCAGCATCTGAGCTCATCTTTGTAAAGCACCCTGGAGGGGACTGGGGGGGACAGAGATGGAAGTATTTGTCAATTGAACTGAAGAATAAAATTGACTTTTAGATCACAAGAGGCTGCTGAGGGGAGAACAGCTCATAATAATGTCTGGAATGGAGCAAATGGAATGGCATCAAACACATGGAAACCATTTGTTTGATGTATTTGATACCATTCCAATTATTCCGCTCTAGCCCTTACCACGACCCTGTCCTCCTGAGTTTTAGACACTTACCTCTGATGATAGAATGAATGTATGAGATCCTTTCAGTAATGTGTGTTCCTATAAAAGAGAACTCAAATCACTCATCAAATCATAAGATCACAGTAAACATGTCTAGCAATGCTTTAATTGGCATGTAATGGAAGTTAACCAAGGCACAAGTACACTATACTTCACAGAGTTTAGAGGGACTTACCAATAGCAGCTCCAATCGAAAAATTTAGATGTCTGTTTCTTCTCCTCCTTTTATAAGACTCCTTTTGGCTCAAGCGGAGACTGAACAAACACCTATATTTGGGTCAAAGCCCCTTGAAAATGTGTGGCTTGAGAGAGGTGATGAGATTGGTATGCGATATTAAGGCAAATTAATGTCACTGAGCTTTTGTCACAAATCTGCAGGGAGCAGCTGCAGCTCAGGGGGGCGATCTCATAGGACACACTCAGAGGAGAGTGACCTCTGGCTGGGGTTCATCTTTGGCCAGCAGCCTCTGATGCTAGGGCCTCCAAGGTTTTGATAGTTACCTTGTTGACTCTTCTATACAGAGAAACAGAATGCAATACTTTCTTAAGAATCACACAGATCTTTGTATTACCAGAGGTGTCAGTGAAAGCTCCAAAAGCTTAATGGCTGACTTAAATAACTAAAATCCATCTGAGTGTCTTGTGATTGCTGTGATTGGGCTTATGAATAAAAGCATAGCTGGTTTCTCCTTCAATATACATTCCTTCAACAGACATTCCTTTAGGCTCTTCACAGAAGCCTCTGAGATTAGTGGACGAGGCCATGGCTGAGATTTGGTCCCCCAGGCCCAGCATCTCACTATGAATCAGCTTTGAGGACAAAAGGACAACACCGAAGATGTGTGTTGTATTGTGCTGTACTGTACAGTAGGCAAGTCCTCGTTGATAATTATTGTACTTTAGAAAGCCATAGAATATTATGTATAATTACATATTGTAGTTAAAAAGCCGAATCCTTCATGCTTCTCTTCTAACAGACAACTGCCTTAGTATATCTAATTTGTTAGAGGGCTAATAAGCAATGGAGTCAGGGCTGAAAAGCAGCCAGTAGTTCTGTCACTCATTGCAAGTTTAATCATGTCATCAGAAGGAGTTAAGAGAGATGATAACTGGTAAGAGAAGTGATAAATCATGAACAAGCATGCTGTGAATCAAATCAAATCAAATCAAATCAAATCAAATTTTATTGGTCACATGCGCCGAATACAACAGGTGCAGACATTACAGTGAAATGCTTACTTACAGCCCTTAACCAACAGTGCATTTATTTTAAACAAAAAAAGTAAGAATAAAACAACAACAAAAAAAGTGTTGAGAAAAAAAGAGCAGAAGTAAAATAAAGTGACAGTAGGGAGGCTATATATACAGTAAAATAAAGTGACAGTAGGGAGGCTATATATACAGGGGGGTACCGTTGCAGAGTCAATGTGCGGGGGCACCGGCTAGTTGAGGTAGTTGAGGTAATATGTACATGTGGGTAGAGTTAAAGTGACTATGCATAAATACTTACTTAACAGAGTAGCAGCAGCGTAAAAAGGATGGGGTGGGGGGGCAGTGCAAATAGTCCGGGTAGCCATGATTAGCTGTTCAGGAGTCTTATGGCTTGGGGGTAGAAGCTGTTGAGAAGTCTTTTGGACCTAGACTTGGCACTCACCTAGACTTGAACCCTCAGCTTAATTGAATTAATACATTCCTGAAGTGCCAGCTGTCCTAAGGATGACAGTGAGAAGGGATCTTAGGGTGGGGATGCACCTCATTCCAATAAGTTATCTCCTCTACCCCTGCCCTTGTTCATTCCCCTTTGTGAATATCAGACGTTCGTGTCAATGTGAGCGTTTTCAGAAACTCTGCCACTGAGAGAAAAATAATTGCATTGTTTCTGATAAGTCTGTAAGCATGTATTTATTTCCTGAAATATGCCAGATTCAAGTGAGCCCTGGCCAAGAAAGCAGCACACACATATTTATACATGAGACACAACACAACATAAAACATAACTACGAATGGAAGTTAAAACAGTGCAAAGTGCATAAAATAACTTAAAAGAGCAGGTTTAAAAACATGTGCAATCTATTGTCAACAGCCCTCCAATCAATCAGAATAAAATGATGTAGTTTTAAATCCTTCTGCAAATTGTTCCAAGATGATGGGGCAGCAAATCTAAAATGACTCTTACCAAACTCAGTTTTTGTGTTTGGAACATTATATAAAATACAGTTCTTTGATCTCAGAAGAAAGTGTCTACCTGAGGCGGAGTAGGGGGTTGCTTTCTTGATCTTGACAATATCATTTGTTTTGTTTTCTCTGAGTTTAAAGGCCCAGTGCAGTCAAAAACATGATTTTCCTGTGTTTTATATACTGTATATTTCCACGCTATGAGGTTGGAAGAATACTGTGAAATTGTGAAAATGATGATAATTCCCTTTTAGTTTGAGTCAATGTGAGCGTTTTCAGAAACTCTGCCACTGAGGGAAAAAAGAGCATTGATTCTGATAAGTCTGTAAGCATGTATTTATTTCCTGAAATATGCCAGATTCAAGTGAGCCCTGGCCAAGAAAGCAGCATACATATACACTGCTCAAAAAAATTAAGGGAACTCTTAAACAACACAATGCAACTCCAAGTCAATCACACTTCTGTGAAATCAAACTGTCCACTTAGGAAGCAACACTGATTGACAATAAATTCCACATGCTGTTGTGCAAATGGAATAGACAACAGGTGGAAATTATAGGCAATTAGCAAGACACCCCCCAATAAAGGACTGGTTTTGCAGGTGGTGACCACAGACCACTTCTCAGTTCCTATGCTTCCTGGCTGATGTTTTGGTCACTTTTGAATGCTGGCGGTGCTTTCACTCTAGTGGTAGCATGACACGGAGTCTACAACCCACACAAGTGGTTCAGGTAATGCAGCTCAACACCGTGCAGGACGTTTGGCATTTGCCAGAAAACACCAAGATTGGCAAATTCGCCACTGGTGCCCTGTGCTCTTCACAGATGAAAGCAGGTTCACACTGAGCACATGTGACAGACGTGACAGAGTCTGGAGACGCCATGGAGAACGTTCTGCTGCCTGCAACATCCTCCAGCATGACCGGTTTGGCGGTGGGTCAGTCATGGTGTGGGGTGGCATTTCTTTGGGGGGCCGCACAGCCCTCCATGTGCTCGCCAGAGATAGCCTGACTGCCATTAGGTACCGAGATGAGATCCTCAGACCCCTTGTGAGACCATACGCTGGTGCGGTTGGCCCTGTGTTCCTCCTAATGCAATACAATGCTAGACCTCATGTGGCTGGAGTGTGTCAGCAGTTCCTGAAAGAGGAAGGCATTGATGCTATGGACTGGCCCGCCCGTTCCCCAGACCTGAATCCAATTGAGCACATCTGGGACATCATGTCTCGCTCCATCCACCAACGTCATCAAGGCGGTGACCCGATCCTGTAGGTTCATGCTCTACAACATTCGGAGAGTACGACCCTGCCTTACACAGGAAGCGGCACAGGTCCTAATCCAGGCACTTGTCATCTCCCGTCTGGATTACTGCAACTCGCTGTTGGCTGGGCTCCCTGCCTGTGCCATTAAACCCCTACAATTCATCCAGAATGCCGCAGCCCGTCTGGTGTTCAACCTTCCCATGGTCTCTCACGTCACCCCGCTCCTCCGCACACTACACTGGCTTCCAGTTGAAGCTCGCATCTGCTACAAGACCATGGTGCTTGCCTACGGAGCTGTGAGGGGAACGGCACCTCCGTACCTTCAGGCTCTGATCAGTCCCTACACCCAAACGAGGGCATTGCGTTCATCCACCTCTGGCCTGCTGGCTCCCCTACCTCTGCTGAAGCACAGTTCCCGCTCAGCCCAGTCAAAACTGTTCGCTGCTCTGGCACCCCAATGGTGGAACAAGCTCCCTCACGACGCCAGGACAGGGGAGTCACTCACCACCTTCCGGAGACATTTGAAACCCCACCTCTTTAAGGAACACCTGGGATAGGATAAAGTAATCCTTCTAACCCCCCCCCCCTTACCCCCCCCCCCCCCCCCCCCCCCCACCTTCCGGAGACATTTGAAACCCCACCTCTTTAAGGAACACCTGGGATAGGATAAAGTAATCCTTCTAACCCCCCCCCCCTTACCCCCCCCCCCCCCCCCCCCCCCCCCCCCCCAAAAAAAAAAAGGTGAATGCACCAATTTGTAAGTCACTCTGGATAAGCGCGTCTGCTAAATGACGTAAATGTAAATGTAAATGAGAAACTGCTCTTTGCTAAAAAGCTATTTTGGTTTATTTGTGACTATTTTAATTGAAAAGAATCACAGTAAGGTGCTTAATTGTAACCCAGAAATGATTTGATATTGAGATTTAAATGTCTGCACTGGACCTTTAAGACCAATTTGAGCTGAAAGAGGTTATGTTGGAAAACATTAAACACCTCCTGCAATTTGAGAAATACCCAATCTAGTGTGGGAGAAGTGCTATTTTGGTGTCATCTGCATATATATATTCAGAAGGCATGATAAAAGAAAGACATTGATTGCATTGGATTGGCATCATATGCTGTTTAAAAAGCTTATATTTAATGCAACAGATGGTAAAAATCTCTAGGCTTATGAGTTAATGTCAGGTCAAGTTCAAGTTGTCTAAATAAAGCACTGCTTAGCAGGGTAGTTCAGTCCATAATCAGACTCATAGACACACTATTATCTGATAGTCAACAATAAACAAACACTGGTATGAATTGACCCTTCGCTAAGCCCTGCCCCAGAATTTTGGGCAATCAGTCCTGATCCCTCGGCAAAAACAGAGTTTTAAAAATAAAAATAAATGCAATGGCTAAATAATTTAACTGTGCACCAGTAGTACTTGCTACTGTGATTACTGAAATGCAGAGCATGTTGGAGTATTTTTCGAATCCGAAATTATACTTTTGTTACATTGTTTACAAGCTCAATTAGTTAGCTAGCTCTCAGTGTCATTGACCACCAAACATTGCTAACGCCAGCTAGCTCGCCACTTAATATAAATTGTTTTCTCAAAATGTATGTTAGCTAGCTAAGTTAACCATGTTATGAATACAGCTCCCATCTACTGTTGACATCAGGATACGTTTTGAGAGCACTCCTTAGCTCCAAAAGTGGTTATAACTTTGACTGCATGCTAACAGTGAATTCAGAGCCATTCAGTGGCTAGCTACACTACAAACTTAATTTTACCAGGTTCCTGCGAAGCAATTGAAATGACAATCCACCACAACATACGAGTTTCATGATTAACAAGGGGTAGTCTGTGTTTAATTTAATTGTGTATTAGAAAAGCAGTTTAAGATTATTGTGAGGGGATTTCGCCAGACAGTGGTTGAATGGGGAAATTCTTCTTCTTTGCTATCATGACGTTCGCACATTTTGTTTGTGCATGCCGCCACTTACTGTGCGGTAGTGTGTGTTCAATCATGTTACATTTGTGATACAAAATGCTCCTGCACCATACCAACGGCCTGGGAGGATGGGACACCACCCCTCAACACACCCTGTAATTCTTCTTTGGTCAAATCTCGTATACCCTTATACTTCTCTGCAGCTTCCACCACAACATCTATTTTCTGTGATTTACGTTCCATTTCTGCGGTACAGTTGATAACCATTGCTATAAACGCTAAGAAGCCAACATTACTGAAGCATAAATCACTCATTGGCCTATCCCTCTGTGCTGGCACAAACCTACTACTCACTAGGATCCTTTAAGGATCCCTCACTCTTGACCCATCCTCTACTTTCTTCACTGCCTCAGCATACGACACCCTCAGCACTACTCTGACTCTGGTCACTTCAACCTGCCTCTCCCGCACCGGACACTTCTGATCCCCAGCAACATGGGCACCCCTACAGTTGACACGCACACCTTTATCCACCGAAACTACACAATCCTCTGTCCCATGCCCTCCTGCACACTTCCCACATTGTGGAATCTCCCTCCTACACACTGCTGCGACATGACCATAAATGTTGCACCTGATTCTGCACAAAAGCTCTAACAGGATAACTGATATATCCTGACATGACTTTGTCTGGTAGAGACTCTGACTCAAAACTCCAAAGGACTGACAGTGACTCCTCTGTTTCATCACGCTCCCCACCGGGTCTGTGTCGCACCAAAGTGCGGGCGTCACAAACACCAGGAATTTTCTACTTCAATTGCTCCATCTCCACACCTAACGCTACCCCAGAAATCACTCCTTTCAATGGTGCCCTGTTCCTAAGCGCAAAGCAAGAAACAGATCTTGACCCAAGTTACGTGACATGGAGTGCCTGCTCTTTCTGGTCAGAAGAAACACAAACAAATATCACAAGTCCACTACAGGTTACCTTCACTGATTCACCTTTCTCACCCACCCTGAAACCACAAATGGATTTGCCAAAAGGCAAGGGTCCACTTTCTCCAAAAATGTCACTCCTACTGGACCAGATTCATCTTTATCATGTCCAACGATGCCAGGCTCGGGTTCCATGCTCTTCACCACACCTTCCACCTCACTTAACTCGCCCTCATTCACTTCCATTTCCCCTCCAGAACTTGGTCTGGTGCACAGCTCACTCTGTTTGCACTTGACACCAATCTTCTTCGACACCCCATCTCCATTTTTAACGCGATATTCCTCAGATTCATATCCAACCTCTGTTTTCCTCATTCTCTTCAACCCCCTCTTCCTCTTTTTCCACCTCCATTCCTCCTAAGAAATCCACGTTTCTGTGTCCCTGTCCCACGTTTCTGTGTCCCTGTTTTTTTCCCCATGATTCCCTGAATGGGGAATTGGGATTCCTGGAGAATGTTGTTTGAGGTTGCAACAGTAAATAAGGGGGGCAGGACTTAGCGAAGGTCAATTGTTTCTTATGATCTTAATTCAACATGAAACAACCTGAATAGTGTGTGAGTTCAAACACACCTCTAGATCTATGTGATTAATATAAACATGTAAAGACAAAATTAATCAGATTTTGTTGATTGTATGAAAATATTGATCCATATTATTAAAAAGATGTAAGCATCAGGAAGCATCGTAGCCTACAGTGTTCAATGGCCAATTAGGTGTGGTATTACTACTGTGAAAACATGGGGGGAGGGGGGTATCACTTTCACTTTTTTTTTATGAGTCAGTAGAGCCACATTACTATACCTGCTAGATTTGTCTATGGCCCTGTTCAATATTTCAAGACACTCCCGTGCATTTGGTGGTTGTACAGTACTTGTCTGTTGTTTAAGTAACCTGCCATGCAATCACAACACTGTATCTGATACTGCGCATTCACAGCGCAGTTGGGATGTTCGTGAACAAATGCACTGACAGCAGTCTGAATTACCCTTCTTCTAGCAGCATATTATGCTGGCAACAGGATCGCGGATATTTTTTTCGCAAATAAGAGTTCCCCTGCAAAGACATGCTAAACTTGGGGAATATCGATTTTTTTTTAGCAATCAAGTGCATTACTACTGTTTTTCACTGCATTGCAACCACCAATTTGTCCCATTTTACTATGTATTATTTATACCAGCGTGGGAAATACTCAGTAGGTTCGCTACTAACCAAATAAGGTTAGTTTTTGAGGGGGACTGAGTCGCACAGCTTTACTCCGACCCCTCCATAGCCCCCAATGCATTACACTGTAATAGACTGTACATGGGAAACATATTGGTTTGTAGGGAGAACTTTTCTACCTGCCTCAGCTAAAGTGGGGTGGGAAATACTCAGCAGGGTCTCTACTAACCAAATATGTGTAGTTTTGGAGGGGAACATTGTCATACATATCCAGCAGCGCTTCTTTCTCCACCCCCCTATAGCCCCCAATGCAAACAGTTAGAGACCCTATTGAGTATTTCCCACCCCAATTTAGCTGACACAAGTAGAGAAAAGTTGTCTCTCTACAGCCCAACATACCAGTGTCAACATAGTATTTTTTCATTTTTGGTCTTACATTTTATTTATTTTTACTATGGTTTTTATTTGTTTTCATAAATTGCTTATTGCATTTTCTTGTTGGCACAATAAAAGTGGCCATTTGATTAGATTCCACATATTTGAATGGAATAGATATTCACAGTAGTTATTCACGTTGCAATGTTTTGAAATGCGGGCTTTTATTTTGAAGGTTTCCTCATTACCATACAACGTGACGTTATCATGTGTGCTGCTGGCAGAATACTAGTACAGTTGGACATGTAACAACTCTCCCGGCGTTTTAGAAACACTGTAACCTAACTGTATCAATTGACATTGAAACAATGTACAGTATCTAGTACAAGAGGACAAACAGTCACAGAATATCCTGGCAACCTTCACTCCATTCTACACAAGTAGGTAGAATAAGCAAGCGTTCTGGCAGCGGTCAAAAATGTTAGAAGGTTAGCTAGCTTTCTCAAGTGGACTAAAAGTAGAAGTTTGATAAATAAAATCATGACAACAGGAATGGAGAACTGCGCCCAACCACTGTTTACATTTGGAATAATCGCTGACATTCAATACGCCGACATTGACGATGGTTTCAATTTCAAACACTCAAGGAAACGATACTACAGGAACAGTCTTCGCCTATTGCACAATGCACAGGAGAGGTGGACCGCGGAAACTGTCAAGCCCCGGTTCATCCTTCAGCTTGGTGACATTATCGATGGCTTCAACAAGAGGCATGACGCATCAGAGCGGGCCCTGGAAACGGTGATGAAAGAGTTTGACTCCTCTCCGGTTGAAGTCCACCACGTTTGGGGCAACCATGAGTTTTATAACTTTAGCAGAGACACCCTACTGCGGTCGGTTCTCAATAGTACTACAGATTCTGAAGCAGGAGGGGGGCATCTCAGCATCTGTGGTATCTATGCATATCATTTCAGTCCAGCCCCCAAATACCGATTTGTCGTTTTGGATGCCTATGATGTGAGCCTACTAGGGAGAGAGGAGTCCAGTGTGCAATACCAGCAGGCTATTGATATTTTAAAAGCCCACAATGACAATGAAGATCTGAACCACCCCCCAGGTAGGTCTGCTGTTAGTCAGGAGGTATGGACCTTTAGCACAGGTAGTGCACCTGCCCTGTTAACTGCAGGGTTGCTAGTTTAAGCACTGTTCCCCCACAAGCGTAATACACTAACCTCATCCCATAACTTATGATCAGACTAAGCTACCACCAGTAACTACTATTTTATTGATACTGCACAATTCCATGTAGCTTGACTGTGGATAACCTAAAGCCACAGTAGGCCTAATGCTCAGAATAAGAGGTGTTTCACATGAATTGAAGTATTTGACACCTGTTTAATAATGTCTTTCTCCATATGTTTTAGTACCTGTGGGGCTGGAGCAGAGGTTTGTGAAGTTTAATGGAGGATTCAGTCAAGATCAGCTGGACTGGCTGGAAGGAGTTTTGTCGTTGGCAGACAACAAACTGGAGAGGGTCATCATTGTCAGTAAGTCAAGTCATGAGGCCTACATAACAAATGTCATAGCATTCAGTAATGTGACTCTAGACGAATTCTAGACAAATTGACTAAATCATTTTGACTGTTTCCTTGTACAGGCCATCTCCCTATCCACCCCAGCTCTACAGATCATATCTGCCTAGCCTGGAACTACGATGCGCTGCTCTCCATCCTCCAGGCCCATAAGAGTGTAGTCTGCTTCATGGCAGGACACGACCATGATGGAGGGTATCACAGAGATGACTTCGGAGTGCACTACCTCACACTGGAGGGGGTGATAGAGACCCCCCCGGACAGTGACGCCTTTGGTACAGTCTCTGTGTATGAGGACGGGATGTTTTTAAAAGGATATGGAAGGATGTCTGATAGACTACTGATGTATCCATGATAATGCCAAAGATTCTACGGCTAAACGGAATCTGGGGAGGGACAATTCCTTGGGTCCTCATATACACTGAGTATACAAAATATTAAGGACACCTGCTCTTTCCATGACATAGATTGACCAGGTGAAAGCTAAGATCCCTTATTGATGTCACTTGTTAAATTCACTTAAATCAGTGTAGATGAAGGGGAGGAGACATGTTAAAGAATGATTTTTAAGCCTTAAGACAATTGAGACATAGATTGGGTATGTGTGCAATTCAGAGGGTGAATGGGCAAAACAAAATATTTAAGTGCTTTTGAACGGCATATGGTAGTAGGTGCCAGGCACACTGGTTTGTGTCAAACTGTAATGCTGCTGGGTTTTTCACACGCAACTGTTTCCCATGTGTATCAAGAATGGTCCACCATCCAAAGGACATCCAACCAACTTGACACAACTATGGGAAGCATTGGAGTCAACATGGGCCAGCATCCCTGTGGAACGTTTTCGACACCTTGCAGAGTCCATGCCCTGACGAATCAATATTAAGGTGTTCCTAATGTTTGGTATACTCAGTGTGTGTGTGTATAAATACACTGCTCAAAAAAATTAAGGGAACACTAAAATAACACATCCTAGATCTGAATGAATGAAATAATCTTATTAAATACTTTTTTCTTTACATAGTTGAATGTGCTGACAACAAAATCACACAAAAATTATCAATGGAAATCAAATTTATCAACCCATGGAGATCTGGATTTGGAGTCACACTCAAAATTAAAGTGGAAAACCACACTACAGGCTGATCCAACTTTGATGTAATGTCCTTAAAACAAGTCAAAATGAGGCTCAGTAGTGTGTGTGGCCTCCACGTGCCTGTATGACCTCCCTACAACGCCTGGGCATGCTCCTGATGAGGTGGCGGATGGTCTCCTGAGGGATCTCAGGATCTCATCTCGGTACCTAATGGCAGTCAGGCTACCTCTGGCGAGTACATGGAGGGCTGTGCGGCCCCCCAAAGAAATGCCACCCCACACCATGACTGACCCACCGCCAAACCGGTCATGCTGGAGGATGTTGCAGGCAGCAGAACGTTCTCCACGGCGTCTCCAGACTCTGTCACGTCTGTCACATGTGCTCAGTGTGAACCTGCTTTCATCTGTGAAGAGCACAGGGCGCCAGTGGCGAATTTGCCAATCTTGGTGTTCTCTGGCAAATGCCAAATGTCCTGCATGGTGTTGGGCTGTAAGTACAACCCCCACCTGTGGACGTCGGGCCCTCATACCACCCTCATGGAGTCTGTTTCTGACCGTTTGAGCAGACACATGCACATTTGTGGCCTGCTGGAGGTCATTTTGTAGGGCTCTGGCAGTGCTCCTCCTGCTCCTCCTTGCACAAAGGCGGAGGTAGCGGTCCTGCTGCTGGGTTGTTGCCCTCCTACAGCCTTCTCCACGTCTCCTGATGTACTGGCATGTCTCCTGGTAGCGCCTCCATGCTCTGGACACTACGCTGACAGACACAGCAAACCTTCTTGCCACAGCTTGCATTGATGTGCCATCCTGGATGAGCTGCACTACCTGAGCCACTTGTGTGGGTTGTAGACTCCGTCTCATGCTACCACTAGAGTGAAAGCACCGCCAGCATTCATAAGTGACCAAAACATCAGCCAGGAAGCATAGGAACTGAGAAGTGGTCTGTGGTCACCACATGCAGAACCACTCCTTTATTGGGGGTGTCTTGCTAATTGCCTATAATTTCCACCTGTTGTCTATTCCATTTGCACAACAGCATGTGAAATGTATTGTCAATCAGTGTTGCTTCCTAAGTGGACAGTTTGATTTCACAGAAGTGTGATTGACTTGGAGTTACATTGTGTTGTTTAAGTGTTCCCTTTATTTTTTTGAGCAGTGTATATATATTTCATTTTCTGAGTTAAAATGACCAGTGATTAAAATAACTTTATACCACTTTATATTGACTGCTGACATGCAAAACATTTTGGGACTGTATCAACAGTGGACTAATAAAAAATAAATAAAATAAAAATACAGTTTTTGAGTGGATTTTCCCTTTAGGGTTGCTTGATTACTATTCCTTCAGGAGAGCATGTCCCCATGCTTCTCTACATATCAAGTCCCTCGTGTACACGCCTCTCGGACACATCCCACTTCTGACACCAACATAGTGAATTTAGGGTATAGTCCTGACTGGGACTCGATCCCGGTACATGTGACTGTCAAGCCAACACCTTAACCATTACACCAAGAAGTCTGAACCTCTTGACAAAGTTGCTAGCTGTTGTGTTAAGGTTGCTACACAATATTTTATCTTCCCACTGACCTTTCCTACCTTGCACCAGCCTCAGACAAACGCCCTGCCCATGGCAGATCATAGGAAACAATGCACTGAGCATTACTTACAAGCCACATACTGCTGGCCCTGGGCCAACCTTACAATGTCTCTATTACCCCCATTAAATAAATTATCATGTATATAGCCTTTCCTGTAGCCATATCAACTGGATTCCTCAACTCAAGAAGATGTCTGGCTTCAGTAGCCTATAGTATTTGCAGTACTCAAAGCTGAAGCTGGGCGTACCATTATACCAGGCCAATGGAAACCCCCGCCCTTTCTGGCGTAGGCTAAATGTTACGCACTGTCTTCCGTGACACAGGAGTGTCCATAGCCCGCCCATAGCCCATCGATAGACGTGGCCGTCCTATGCTGTGCTGCGTTCGCTTCGCTGGCGCAGTGTCCCGTGTGGAGCGAGAGAGGGCGAAGTTTACTTTGCCTGCATTGCAGCCTGAGCGCTGCTGGAATCGAACACAACAATGGCGTCTCCCAGTTCCAACAGCAACTCAACAACCTCCAACAGCAACATCGCAGGATCCACCTCGCACCACCATCACCCGCAAACACAACACATGACCACCGTCAGCAGCATGCAAGGTAAGAGCAGATGGCCTAATGTCGATTTTCTACTTGATCACAGCTATTTAGCTGTTGAAAAACATGACTTGGCTAGCCTACCTACCATTGCCCGGAGAGGCTAAGCTACATAGCAGAGATGCAGCTAGCTATATGCTGCTAAATGTAGCGCCTCGGCCATTTGTTGCAACATTGTAATTTTCTACACGGTGTACTCTTACAATGTTACAACCACTGAAATGTGATCGCGCCATCTGAAAATGGTTACATTGTAGTTACGGACGTTCCACTGCAATTGAGTTTCCATCAATCGATTTTAGTCGAGTTAGTTGCTGCATGCACAACTAAAGACAGGGCCTAGTACCATATTGAGAAATTTATGTTTTCCCTTTCACGACATTTGCATAGGTAGGCTATTTACTACTCTATTGTTAGTAAATACATTTTACATATAAATAATGACAATTTTAATTACTTTGTTTCTATGTATATTTTACCTTGGAAACATTGACACATGATTGGCATTGCAATGTCAGTGCTATATTCTTGATTATAAACTGGGCGGTTCGAGCCCTGAATGCTGATTGGCTGACAGCCGTGGTATATCAGACCATATACCACGGGTATGACAAAACATTTATTTTTACTGCTCTAATGAAGTTGGTAACCAGTTATAATAGCAATAAGGCACCTCAGGGTTTTGTGGTATATGGCCAATATACCACAGCTAAGGGCTGTATCCAGGCACTCCGCTTTACGTAGTGCATAAGAACAGCCCTTAGCCGTGGCATATTGGCCATTTACCACACCCCCTCATACATTATTGCTTAATTGACACTGTCATTTAATGTTGCAATATGTGATCAGTGTTTTAGTGCTATAAATGTAGGCCTACTTTCACAAATGCAATTGTAGATTTCTGTAGCAAATTTTCAGCTTCAAATCTTTATTTTAAACATTTCAGAAACCAACACGTGCTGGAGGTGTCAAAACGAAACAGGTACTATTGATTTTTTAAATAGGATTTCAGTAGAATATTACTAGGTTGTTGTTGATGCGATATTCTGTTAATCTTAGTGGAATATGATTTACCATTGTTTCACTCCCTATTTCCCTTTTTGTTTTTAATTTCCTCATTGAATTCCCCATTCTGTATGTTTTCATTCACTGGTACAGGTTCTAGGTTAGAGATTTCCCACCATTCCTTAGCTACTGAAATAAACAGATTATTGTAGCCTAATATGAGGCTCAATATTTTAGACAGCCAAATATTTGGAGGGTAGCATAAATACACATAAATAACATAACCAGCTCTCACTTGCCCTTGAAAGCTAGGGTTGCACAGTCATAGTAGATTGACGACTTCCATCCAGATGACATAGTGACTAGACAACAGGAATATCTATCTATCCACCTGTAAATCACACAGAATCAATGTATTTATCTTCAACTACATGCTGCGCCTATATTGCACTGTTGCGGAACAGCAACTTTTGCTAAATTTAACTTGCTAAATTCATAATTACAGAGAACCAGATTAGCCTGTTTTCGAAACCTATTGGAAAACACTCACGTTTACAGTAGAAGAGCGCAAAGCCAAAATGTAGTAAAATGTCTTTTCTTTACCTTAGGGTTTCAGATAAGCCTGTCTGGAGTGCCCCAAAGTAAGCATTAGCATTCTCTCAGCACAACAACCCTCTCTCTCTGTGGGTGCATCCCAATAGTCTGAAGTGTTTCCTCTCCTTGTCTCCTTTCCTCCATCTGCACTGACTGGACAGTTGAAAGCAAATATTTGTTGGGCATCAACCAAATCTCTTTCACCTAGTATGTGTTGTCAGAGCAGTGAAGGATAGGATACAAGGTAGGTGGGGGAGGAGACAAGGAGAGGAAGCCACTCTAGACTATTGAGATGCAGCATGTGTGGTTCTCTGGTAGTGGGGGTGGTCTGTCTACTGTTCTCTGTTGACTAATCTAATCCAAGGTGGAGCGTTTGTTTGGGTGAGGATTCATTTGCACCTGGGCATAATGGTTAACGGGACCACTAGTACTGCACTTCTGATTTGGGCCTGTAGGCCACTACTCTGTATGTCAAAGAAGACCCCATGCTCCCATCTCATTATCATATAGTTGAGTACTTAACAGTTATTCTGTTATGTATTTCTTGATGAAAGACCATGATAGAAACATTTTGCACTTAAAGAGTTAACAGATATAGACTACGTTAGTATGGAATAGATTGTATCTTGCTGTCTTGTTTGGACGTCAAATAATGTTTTGAGGGTGTTGTTGGGTTTCCTCTTTGACAAGTCTATTACTATAGCTACTGCACAATGAAAACAAACTATGGAAATGTCTTAAATGGATTCCCAGTGCATGCAGGTTTGCATTGCAATCAATTCATGTTGGGTTAATTTTGTAGTGGTAATTCAGTAACGACACTGGGGCGTTGTCTGCATTTCCTGGCAATTGGGAACCCCTGCATTTGTGGGCACTTTGCTTGTGTTTATAATGCATCATACTTGTGTTCTGTCAATATCAGGCAAATCCAAGCCTGAAAGGTATAGGGGAGACTGTCTCTCTGAGCATGGAACAATGACACTATAATTACACCAAAAGTATGTGGACACCTGCATGGGCATTAATATCATGGGCATTAATATGGGGTTGGTCCCCCCCTTTGGTGCTATAACAGCCTCCAGTCTTTTGGTAAGGCTTTCCACTAGATGTTGGAACATTGCTGCAGGGTCTTGCTTCGATTCAGCCATGAGCATTAGTGAGGTCGGGCACTGATGTGGGCCATTAGGCCTGGCTCAATGTCGGCGGTCCAATTCCAATTCATCCCAAAGGTGTTTGATGGGGTTGAGGTCAGGGCTCTGTGCAGGCCAGTCAAGTTCTTACACACCGATCTCGACAAACCATTTCTGTATGAACCTCGCTTTGTGCACGGGGTCATTGTCATGCAGAAACAGGAAAAGGCCTTCCTCAAACTGTTGCCACCAAGTTGGAAGCACAGAATCATCTAGAATGTAATTGTATGCTGAAGCGTTAAGATTTCCCTTCACTGGAACTAAGGGGCCTAGCCCGAACCATGAAAAACAGCCCCAGACCATTATTCCTCCTCCACCAAACTTTACAGTTGGCACTATGCATTGGGGCAGGTAGTGTTCTCCTGGCATCCGCCAAACCCAGATTCATCTGTCGGACTGCCAGATGGTGAAGTGTGATTAATCTCTCCAGAGAACGTGTTTCCACTTCTCCAGTCCAATGGCGGCGAGCTTTACACCACTCCAGCCGACGCTTGGCATTGCGCATGATGATCTTAGGCTTGTGTGCTGCTGCTCGGCCATGGAAACACATTTCCTGAAGCTCCCGGCGAACAGTTCTTGTGCTGACGTTGCTTCCAGAGGCAGTTTGGAACTCGTTAGTGAGTGTTGAAACCAAGGACAGATGATTTGTACGCGCTACGCACTTCACCACTCCGCTGTGTGCGTGGCTGTGTGCTCGATTTTATACATCTGTCAGCAACGGGTGTGGCTGAAATGGATCCTCAGATCCTCAAAACGTTCTACAGCTGCACCATCGAGAGCATCCTGACTGGTTGCATCACTGCCTGGTATGGCAACTGCTCAGCCTCCGACCGCAAGGCACTACAGAGGGTAGTGCATACGACCCAGTACATCACTGGGGCCAAGCTTCCTGCCGTCCAGGACCTCTATACCAGGCGATGTCAGAGGAAGGCCCTAAAAATTGTCAAAGACTCCAGCCACCCTAGTCATAGACTGTTCTCTCTGCTACCGCACGGCAAGCGGTACCGGAGCGCCAAGTCTAGGTCCAAAAGGCTTCTTAACAGCTTCTACCCCCCAAGCCGTAAGACTCCTGAACAGCTAATCAAATGGCTACCCAGCCTATTTGCATCCCCCCCCCCCCCCCTTCTCTTTTACGCTGCTGCTACTCTCTGTTTATTATCTATGCATAGTGACTTTAACTCTACCTACATGTACATATTACCTCGACTAACCTGTGCCCCCACACATTGACTCTGTACCGGTACCCCCTGTATATGGCCTCGCTACATTAATTATTTTTTACTTATTTATTTTTTACTTAACACTTATTTTTCTTAAAACTGCATTGTTGGTTAAGGGCTTGTAAGTAAGCATTACACTGTAAGGTGTACACATGTTGTATTCGTTGCATGTGAAATAAAATTAGATTTGATTTGAAATAGCTGAATCCACAAATTTGAAGCGGTGTCCACATACTTTTGGCCATGTAGTGTATTTTCCAGTCTCCTGAAACATCATTGATACTTTAATTTACTGAATTTCTCACTCAATTTACGCTGAAACTAAACTTACTCTCAGGGACTTCTCTTACAACCCCATATAATTTTTTCCCGTGTCCCATCCACCAATGTAGCATTACCTGCTCCCCTTGTTTCCTCACCCTAACCAGCATGTGTTGTGTACAAACATGTCTGTTTCCCCCTGTCTCTCTGCCAGGTAAACGTAAAGCCCTGAAGCTGAACTTCGCCAACCCTCCAGTGAAGCCAGCTACCAGGTTGCCCCTCAACCCCTCCCCTTCAACTGCCCCCTCCTTCCAGAACCCACACATGTAAGTACTGTGGAGAGCAGGTCGAAAACACACCCTTATCCTAGTGCTAATCTAATGGTCAGTAAGAGGGCTGTTTCGAAGGGTTGTTGGGTCTTGATAGTGCTAGTTTAGAACTAATTGTAATGTTAGGTTTATAACAGGTTATGTATTTCTGTTTGGCGATTATGTTAGCTTTATTGTTGTAGGGAAACATAATCTTCATACACACTGTAGGGTACTGTTTGTGTGCAGGTATAAACCAGGTTTTAAAGCACTCTTATTCTCAGCCCTGAGAATACAGTAAAATGTCTGTGCAGGATGAGTCAGCATCTTGAGTCTCTTCTTCAGTATGGTCTGCTCTGCCAAGACGTTATATCTTATTTCTCGTGTTTTTTTTATTAGTTATACTTTTTGGATATTGAATACTGCACCGTTGGGTAGGGCTTGCGTGTGAAGCATTTCACTGTACTTGTGCATGTGACAAATAAAACGTGAAACTTGAATGCCAAGGAGCGAGGTGGAGGCATCCTCTAAATATGATTAGCGGCTCAGGGACTTGATACATTATTTATCACTTCCTCATGTATGTATAATGTATTCTCCCCTCTCTTCCCCAAACACTCTCCTCTTTATTCTCTCTCTTCCTCTGTCTCCCCTCTCTGTCCTGCCACCTTCTTCCTCCTCTGTCTCGATTCCTCTTTTCCCCCTCCTCCCTCTCTCTTACCCCATCTTCGTCCTTCCCCACATTTTCCCTCTCTTTTTATCCTCTCTCTCTTCCTCCACCCTCTCCCTCTCCTCTCCCTCCCGTAAAGAGAGCGTATGAGGACACACAGTATCGAGTCGTCGGGGAAGCTGAAGATTTCTACGGAGAATGCCTGTGACTTCACGGCCGAGGACCTGAGGGACCTGGGGGAGATCGGCCGTGGGGCATACGGCTCCGTCAACAAGATGCAGCACAAACCCAGCGGACAGATCATGGCCGTCAAGGTGACCACACCAGCTGCTCTCATCCTCACTGACTGAGCCATTACAGGCTGAATGCTAACTTTGATATACTGTAGTCTACCCACCTCGTAAATCGCTCTGTCATGTAAATAAATAATGTATGGATGTTTATGTGTGTGACAGTTTGCTTTAGATGTGCGCATCTAATGAATAGGAGAGCTTATAACATATTGTCTTGATTCTTGGTGGATGTTAGACCTAGTAATACAACAATGTTTTGACCATAATGGTCTTCATCAGGTGATGGCTAGTACGCGCTATGAACTGATCTCTCAGCTGTTGGTAGTTTCCCCTATTTCTGTTGAACATCTTTTGTTGTTGTCACTGTCCCCCTCAGAGGATCCGCTCCACGGTGGATGAGAAGGAGCAGAAGCAGCTGCTGATGGATCTAGACGTGGTGATGAGGAGTAGTGACTGTCTCTATATCGTCCAGTTCTACGGAGCTCTCTTCAGAGAGGTGAGACTGTTACATTATACACTACATGGCCAAAAGTATGTGGACACCTGCTCGTCGAACATCCCATTCCAAAATCATGGACATTAATTTAGAGTTGGTCCCCCCTTTGCTGCTATAACAGCCTCCACTCTTCTGGGAAGGCTTTCCACTAGATGCTGGGACATTGCTGCGGGAACTTGCTTCCATTCAGCCACGAGCATTAGTGAGGTCGGGCACTGATGTTGGGCGATTAGGCCTGGCTCGCAGTCCGTGTTCCAATTCATCCCAAAGGTGTTCGATGGGGTTGATGTCAGGGTTCTGTGCAGGGCATTCAAGTTCTTACACACCGATCTCGACAAACCATTTATGTATGGACCTCGCTGTGTGCACGAGGGCATTGTCATGCTGAAACAGGAAAGGTCCTTCCCCAAACTGTTGCCACCAAGTTGGAAGCACAGAATCATCTAGAATGTCATTGTAAGCTGTAGCATTTAAGATTTCCCTTTACTGGAACTAAGTGTCCTAGCCCGAACCATGAAAAACAGCCCCAGACCATTATTCCTCCTCCACCAAACGTTACAGTTGGCACTATGCATTTGGGCAGGTAGCATTCTCCTGGCATCCCCCAAACCCATATTTGTCCGTCGGACTGCCAGATGGTGAAGCGTGATTCATCACTCCAGAGAACGCATTTCCACTGCTCCAGAGTCCAATGGCGGCGAGCTTTACACCACTCCAGCCGACGCTTGGCATTGCGCATGATCATAGGCTTGTGTGCTGCTGCTCGGCCATGGAAACCCATTTCATGAAGCTCCCGACGAACAGTTCTTGTTCTGACGTTGCTTCCAGAGGCAGTTGGAACTCGGTAGTGAGTGTTGCAACCAAGGACAGACAAGTTTTACACGCTACGTGTTTCAGCACTCGGCGGTCCCGTTCTGTGAGCTTGTGTGGTCTACCACTTGGCGGCTGAGCCGTTGTTGCTCCTAGACGTTTCCACTTCACAATAACAGCACTTACAATTGACTGGGGCAGCTTTAGCAGGGCAGAAATTTGACGAACTGACTTGTTGGAAAGGTGGGCATCCTATGACAGTGCCACGTTGAAAGTCACTGAGCTCTTCAGTATGGGCCATTCTAGTGCCAGTGTTTGTCTATGGAGATTGCATGGCGGTGTGCTCGATTTTATACACCTCTAAGCAACAGGGGTGGCTGAAATAGCCGAATCCACTCATTTGAAGGGGTGTCCCTTCACTACATACTTTTGGCCATGTAGTATATATTAGTAGTAGTGACTGTCTCTATCGTCCATTTCTACGGAGCTCTCTTAAGAGCAGTTAAAATATCTCATTAGAGAGGTTCAGTTCTGGGGCAGCAGTAATACTAAAATTTTGGGTCGGGACTGGACACATTATTTTGTTACAAGTATATTTCTGTGGCATACTTGTGATCAATAATGAAATCTCTTTCTTTTTAGGGCGACTGTTGGATATGTATGGAACTAATGTCTACCTCATTCGACAAATTCTACAAATATGTATATTGTTCGTTAGATGACGTCATTCCAGAGGAAATATTAGGCAAAATTACATTAGCAGTGATTTTTATTTATTTATTGTGATTATAATCTGTTTATAACATATTTATATGAATGCAGTTGTTGGTCACAGATACAGTACATTGTAACAATGTTTATGTTTCTTTGTACAGACCGTTAAAGCACTGAACCACTTAAAAGAAAACTTGAAAATAATTCACAGAGGTAAGTCTTGGTTGTCAGATACATCTTTTGCAGTTTGGCCATATTTGTACGAATTATTCTCACAGCTATGTTTGGTGCATGAACTCCAAAACCTTCTTTATGTTTGTGTGCTCCCAGACATCAAACCTTCCAACATTCTCATGGATCGTAACGGCAACATCAAGCTGTGTGACTTTGGCATCAGCGGTCAGCTGGTGGACTCAATAGCCAAGACCAGAGACGCAGGCTGCAGGCCCTACATGGCGGTAAGTCTGGTGGAGACGGGTGTCATGTAAAAATCTTCCCAGCATGACGTCACAATCAGAACGATTGGGAACTATTTCATGCTAGTGAGATTTGCAGTAAAACTCAAGTTACCCATGCATCTCACTACTTAGTATTTGTTCCAACAATGTAAAAGCAGTGCCCATTATCATGTAAAACTTCTCCCAGCGTGAAAATGTTCCCAGTTCAATAATTGCACGAGCATCTCTTTATGTGGATGGCAGAGCTCTTGCGGATGTTTCTCACTCCCTTCCTCGACCTCGAAAAACTGTTCTGTGTGCACACACATTTGCTTCACACATCTGCCAGTCAATAGTGGCCAGGAGTATTGACACTGACCAATCAGACACCCAGACTCACGCGTCAAAGTCCTGAGGGTTGGTGTGAGGAGAGATTTTTTGTGATTGCAAAGACTTGGGCGTTACGGGAGGGTGTGAGAAACATCTGCACGAGCTCTGCCATCCACATAAAGAGACGCACGTGCAATTATTGAACTGGGAACTATTTCACGCTGGGAAGATTTTTTACATGATAACGGGCACTGCTTTTACATTGTTGGAACAAATACTAAGTAGTGAGATGCATGGGTAACTTGAGTTTTACTGCAAATCTCACTAAAATGTTAGCTAGGATTCGGTTCCTGAATTGTCCGGTGCTGTTGGTTAAATTGTGTTTTTGTTCTCCAGCCGGAGAGGATAGACCCCAGTGCTTCCAGACAAGGCTACGACGTCCGATCTGACGTGTGGAGTCTGGGGATAACCCTGGTAATTATCTCATTCAGTTGATTCATACATTGATTTGATGTTGACCAATGGGACAGGAGAAAAACAACTTTACTATATTGCCAAACATATGTTATAACCTGGCTGCACTGTTATTGAGTATTACTGTTATTAATGACAATCTATTAAAGCTGCAATATGTAACTTTTTGGGTGACCTGACCAAATTCACATAAGTATGTGTTATAGATCTGTCATTCTCATTGAAAGCAAGTCTAAGAAGCGGTAGATCTGTTCTATGTGCGCTATTTCTATGCTTCCCGTTCTTAAATTCGGTTTTTGCGTATTTTTCTTTCGGTTTTGTAGACCAGCTTCAAATAGCTATGATTATGGAAATGATATTTCACAGCAGTTTAGATGGTACAATGATTCTCTTGACTATACTTGCTTGTTTTTGTCACAAACTGAAACTGTTATAATTGTAGGAAACAGGAAATGGCGGAGCGATTTCTGCATAGTGCATCTTTTAACTAATTCTAAACCCTTGGTGGTGGCAGTCAATGAGTAATACACATTTTCTTTGTCTAATGCCCGTCTCTGTGTGTCTTCAGTATGAGCTTGCCACCGGCAGGTTCCCGTACCCTAAGTGGAATAGTGTGTTTGACCAGCTGACCCAGGTGGTGAAGGGTGAGCCGCCCCAGCTCTGCAACTCTGAAGACAGGCAGTTCTCCCCCAAGTTCATCAACTTTGTCAACTTATGGTGAGTATGACCTCTGGTGAAAGCAGTCTACCAGTGGATATGCTATTGCACAATGACTCACTCCTAGAGGCTTTTTCATTTATGCCCTCTGCTGGTAGAATGGGGATAAGGCAACAGTGCTGTTTATCCAACAGGAGTATATTGCTGTTTGCTGAATTGCTAATTGCTTCACCCCCCCCATTTTTCTACAGCCTTACAAAGGATGAGTCAAAACGGCCAAAGTACAAGGAGCTCCTGGTAAGTTTGTCTTTCTATGGTAGGACTTGAGCTGTTATATACCTTTTTGGATTTCACTGTGTATTGGCTGCTATGTGGGAAACTGTAAAGCTTGATCTATACTGAACAAAAATATAAGCGCAACATGCAAAAAAGGTCAAAGATTTTACTGAGTTACAGGTCATATAAGGAAATCTGTCAATTTAAATAAAGTAATTAGGCCCTAATCTATGGATTTCACATGACTGGGAATACAGATATGCATGTGTTGGTCAGAGATACCTTTTAAAAAAGAGTAGGGGCGTGGATCAGAAAACTGGTGTGACCACCATTTGCCTCATGCAGCGCAACACATCTCCTTCAGAGTTGTTGGCTGTTGATTGTGGCCTGTGGAATGTTGTCCAACTCCGAACTGCAGTCAGGTTAAGACCATGGTGAGGACGACGAGCACGCAGATAAGCTTCCCTGAAACAGTTTGTGCAGAAATCCTTCGGTTGTGCAAACCCACAGTTTCATCAGCTGTCCGGGTGGCTGGTCTCAGACAATCCAGCAGGTGAAGAAGCCGGATGTGGAGGTCCTGGGCTGGCGTGGTTACACGTACTGCCAAATTCTCTAAAATGAAGTTGGAGGAGGCTTATGGTAGAGAAGTGAACATTCAATTCTCTGGCAACAGCTCTGGTGGACATTCCTGCAGTCAGCATTCCAATTGCATGCTCCCTCTACTTAAGACATCTGTCATTGTGCTGTGTGACAAACGTCACTTTTTAGTGGCCTTTTATTGTCCCCAGCACAAGGTGCACCTGTGTAATGATCATGCTGTTTAATCAGCTTCTTGATATGCCACACCAGTCAGGTGGGTATTTTTGTTCAGTATAGTTTCTCAGTGGCCATATTGAACATATGTGACTGAGGTAATGTTTTTGTCTCCTCCAGAAACACCCGTTCATCCTGATGTACGAAGAGAGGTTTGTGGATGTGGCTAGCTACGTGTGTCGCATCCTGGACCAGATCCCAGCCTCCCCCATCTCCCCCATGTATGTGGACTGACGGGGGGGGGGCACACCTTACACCGCGACACACATGCCGGGGGGAAACAGTACACCGTGACACACGACGCATGACATCTTAGCCCTCAGATGCACAGAGTTACTATAGTATCAGCTGTTTGTTTCCATCTTCCAAAGAACACGAGAACAATTCCATATAAAAAATTAATCGCCCTGTGCAATACGATAATACACACTCACTCATGCTTGTTCAATGTCAATTAAAATATCTAGATTATCCTCCCATCTTCAGACAGCTAAACTTGAAGACATTCAATTGGCTCAACGTATATACAATGTTCATCTTTTTTGTGCTAGAAAAATGGGTTATAGTACATATACTGTATGTGTATATGTACAGTGTGTGTGTATGTGTGTATATATTTATATTTACGCGCACATATACATACACTTGAAAATAGATGTAAACAAATACAGAAGTTACCAAATAAACATGTTGTTGGAAAGTGATGCTCATGACATTATGAACAAAATAGTATTCTATTTGAATTGTACATTGTGGACTGTTTGTGTGCTCACTTCTATGTCGTCAGAAAATGTACAGATGTATGCAGACAGACTTGTCTAAGCGTGACACTCGTATCACACAGTATGTTATGGGCACCTATACTCATTGTAAATGAATGGGTCTGATGATGCAAAAGTGTGAAACCCAAATCGATGGTGTTAATGTGGCTTTATTTTCTTAATATGCAATTTACAGTATGACTGTTTTCTGTCTCATCGCATAATTCACGTTAAAAAAAAACATCTAAATGTTGTTCACTCTGCAAAATGAAAAATGTACAGTAGGATTGTAAGACTCCACAATTGTATATCTGTATGTATATGTACATCTCAAAACAGTCTGCTATTATACACCGGTTCTCTTCAGTAGTTAGTAGCGCGGATGCACACGGCAAAGCCTGCTCAAGCAGTTAGAGTACATCATTCTCAACCTGCCACTACTAAGTGGAGCAACTTACAACCAGCCGCCATGGTCCGATCTGCATGGCCACTAGCTATTAAACCTCTCACTTTGCAGGGCGTCACGTTGAACATGTCATATATACATTGATTGCTTGACCAGGCCCGTGCTGTATCGGTCTGTGGAAAATAGTTCCTAACTCCCGCCTCGACAGTCACGTTATACTATAGCACTGTACAGTTCATCTGCCCATCCCTCCTGATCAAAGAGCTGTAAGAGTTCAGTAATAGATCAGTCAGCATGTTCTTCAGTGGCTCGGGCTGCTCGGAATGATACTCGAGCCTCGCACTAGATGGAATGTTCTGTTTCCCTCACTAACCCTTAGGCATCACGTAGGGCGGATCTCAATAGTGTACTCTTTCTTTCGCTCAGAAATCCACATTCAGTGTATAATAATGTAGCGAAGCAAAACGAACACACGATGGAGTTAGCTAGTGAACCAAACTGTTGTGTGTATGTGGCGTTGAGGAGGGATGACACGGCAGGCGTTCAGCATCGGCATGTCAGCCGTGTTAAATGACAACCAACCTGGGTTGTGCTTCACTAAGCACAGTCAATGTGTTTGCCAGATAACTTCGATAAACTTTCAGATGTAACTCCCAGGTTACTGTATGTGATATCTTTAAGAACTAGAAAACGACAGTTGTTCCTGAATGTTTAGGAAAGGTAGCTGGCTATCTCATTGATTGTGCTTCATGAAATGCCCCCTTGGAATTATGTCAGGGGTCAGTACAGAAATGTTGCTTACATATGCAACTGATTCAGGAGCGTGGAACATTACAGAACATTCCGATAGAAAAGTACTACATAGACCTGACCTGATTCCCTGTTATGTGACGTATGGAATCGAGTTGGCTCTATTCATTCCATTTCTATCTGCATTGTTCCAAATGTTGCATCCCTCTGGAAAAGCATATGCTCTTATCAACTAAAGTTTGGGTGAGAAGATTTTATTGATGGTGCACCGATGTGTTCTATGGATGTGGGACACTTATGGTTACCTGGTGAATATATTATCTTATGGAGGGGTACATGTTGTATAAATTGCAATTTATTAGAATGTTGATATTAGATTATAAGATGATAAATGGCAATGAGTATTATATTGTATCTTTATCAAGGGTTAAAAAAATGAATAAAGTTCACATTGAGAAAATACAAACGCTGTATTGAGAAACTGGGTGATCTGTCTGTCATCATAGATAAAGGTACAACATAGAAACGTTGATTATTTGTGTTTCAGTTTATTGCTTTCTCTTCTACAATAATGCAGTGGTGTGGACACATACTGGTTTACATGGTAAAGCTGTTCAGTGGCCAAGCAACAAGGAAGCTTTTTGTCAGATGTAAAACGTTGATTTAAAAGAAAGAGAGAAAGGAAAATCGCCCCGCAACATTAGGTAAAGCTGCTGTAGAAGCACATTACCTGCCATCTGCTTGAAATGCCCAATGGCCGGGTGAGAACATAGACATGTATAGTCTTCTGTGCTTGTATTGGTTATTTGTTTATTTTACCTTTTATTTTAATATATATTTTATATGGGAGTCATACTGAGGCCAAGGTCCCTTTTACAGATGAGGCCTGAATTAAATAAATTATAGGAACTGATACAACTGAGTATAACCAAACCATTGGGGACACCCCTTCCTAATATTGAGTGCGGCCTCCCCATCCCGGCCCTGCTTTTGGCCTCAAACAGCCTCAATTCGTTGGGGGATTGGACTCTACAAAGTGTCGAAAGCGCTTCACAGGGAGTAACATGTGACGCCAATATTTTGTCGTTGCCCATTACCCCTCTTGAATGGTCAACCCCCCCAAGCCTCAAGGCTTAAAAATCCTTCCTTCTATACTGATTGAAGTGGATTTAACAAGTGACATCAATAAGGGATCATAGCTTTCACCTGGATTCACCTGGTCAGTCTGTCATGGAAAGAGCAGGTGTTAATGTTTTGTATACTCAGTGTATATATACCCAACAAACGTCTTAACTGATCTGGGGTGACAACATGGGTGGTTGCAACCACATAAAACGTATACACAAGGGTGCCACAGCTTACTTCAGAAGTAACAGAGAAAAAGGGTGTTCTACTTCAACTATATTTTTAAAACAGCATTTGAGGGAAATTATCCCACTTCTTTGGTCAAAAGAGCAATAATACTGAACCAAATCTGACAGATGGCTAGACTAAGTCCAAGTTAATGTTTTGAAAGTTCTTCCCCATTTCAGTGTCATCACAAAATCTCAGACAATCTGGTAGTCACATGATTAAAATCATACCCATAGTTATGCTTACATATTCTAACATCTCAATTTGTATCCTTACAAGAACAGTCCCATTAGTTTAGCTATAGACGTCATATACATGTATTGCAGATGGGTAGTTATTTTTGCTATATTCACAGTTTTCATGAATACATCTCAGTAAACTTGTTGAAAAATACATGTTTATCCTTCCTGATTCACAATCATTGTACAGATCCTACCCCAAACCTCTACAGTGTAATGGTGGCTTTAGTACCAAGTTTATAGAAAGGTTACACATACTTTATGTAACATATTGAACACTGATTATTCTCTGCTAGAGTCACAGGATAGTCAAAACTCTGTATATATTACATTTTGATATTCACAAGTGCTGGTAAGAATGGATATTTACTCTGCATATGCAGTACTTTTATATCATATTGTTCTCCATGGAAAACTGGTAACACTGTTTTTTGAAAATATTTTTTCTTTGTAAATTATTTGGTTCAATTCATATACCATTTCAAACAGGCATCTTTTTTCAACATTTTGGGAAGAACAATGCAAGATCAAAACAGCCCCATGAGTTTTCATGTAAATCAAGAATCCCATTTTATCATAAAGGAATGTCAAATATAAATATATTATATCAACATATAAATAAAAATGAAAAAATAAATAACTAAGTGATGCTCTCTAATATATAAATTGGTGAATTTTCCGAAGGTCAAATACAAAACAATTAATTTATTGTAGATAATGAAAAGAAAAAAATAGAGATGAAATTTAGACTGATTTTCTTGCCATACTTGCGACTTTTCTAGGTAGCTGTAACTAAAAATATGGATCCTTGCGCTAAAAATGTAATATGATTTATCAAAGCAGTGTGATAAAAGTGGTGAACCATGCACTGTGGAGTACCAAAGCATTCCACATCAATGTTGTCTTGAATTATTGTGGATGCTTTGTGTGGCCCGAGTAATGGCTACATTGTTTGGTGTGATGGGACATAGTCAGGAAATGCTTCATTTGAAATGCCAAGAGCTTTCTTGTTGTGAAGTGTTTAAGGCACAAACTGAGTGAAATATTGCTGTCTCTTCCTACAATCCATGCATTTCTGCATCTGAAGACACTGCCCCTTTTATCGAAACTGTGAGACAAATGGGTTTTCAGACTAAAGGTAAGTATTAATCTTAATATTATAATTTTGTGAATAAATATACCAGTTAAGCGTGAGACGAAACCTACGCAAGCACTTGCATGAAATGGCAAACTAAATGCTTTCCCTGCAAATAAATTCTAGGCTTAAGCAAAGTGTGACAATCTATGCTAATCAAGGTGCAAAATGTGAGATTTTAAATATTTACATTGAAAATATCAAACTACATACTAAAATGATACATTTGATTTTGTGATAGTTTCTAAAGTGTTCTCTCCCACACCACTGACAAATATGCAGACCTAAACTTGTCTCTGTCAGTAACAATATAATATTTACAAATTTGGCATTCGATTTCATCCAATTAAGCTTTTCCTCTTTTGGTTTCCAGTAATACAAACATAGACAGTCTCTTCACAAATAATACATTGATTGTCGAAATATGTGTCTTCAAGTCTAGGTGGCATAGCACTTACAACTGTAAGAAACTATTTGCATATATTCTATAGACTTCTCATAAGGCAACGTTGGAATATTTTTTCGTCCATAACATTCATTTAATGAACAACCGTCAAGGATCTATCCAGAGTCATACTGCTTCGGTAGTTGTGCGCATCGTTGTCCAAGAAGACAAAAAAAACGTTTCAATGTTCGTTATCAACAAACTATATGGCATTTCTGTGTGATTCTGTTGTTGTATAGTCCTTTGCAGGGCCGTGGCTCTGCTTGTGTTCTATGGTAAATCGTTGCACTTAAAATCCCATTGTAAGGTTACCTGGAACCGGTTTTGGTACCAAGGCAAATTTGGTGTGATAACTACAGCTGGTCTCCTGCTGTGTGTTTTTGGTTGCTGGTCAGTGCTGTCTCTGGTCGGTATCTAATCTAGCTAATTTTTTGCTAGCTGGATGCTAGTTGCTAGCTAGTCTTCTTCTGTGTCTTTTGGGGAGCTTGCTAGACACGATTGTCTTGTGGGCGGCAGGTAGCTTAGTGGTTAAGAGCGTTGTGCCAGTAACCGAAAGGTCGCTGGTTCTAATCCCCGAGCCAACTAGGTGAAAAATCTGTCGATGTGCCCTTGAGCAAGGCACTTAACCCTAATTGCTCCTGTAAGTCGCTCTGGATAAGAGCGCCTGCTAAATGACGTAAATGTAAATGTAAATGTTTTCTAGGTAGCTAGCTAGTCGTCTGCTGTGTTTTTCTTTTTGTAGGTACCTAGCCAGCTAGTGGATAGCTGATAGTGGCTAGCTGCTCCATAGTCAGTCTCTGATGTTTCACCAGTGCTCTAGATGAAGGTCCATGGCTGTATTCAGGTTGATGTCTGTAACATCCAGGAACTCTGTGTTGAAGATGCTTGGCCCGGCGGGCGGGACGGAGTTGAACCCCGTAGCCGAGCTCGGGGGTGTCAGGTCCAGCCATTCCATCGTCTCCCACGGCGACTCGCTGAACGTCATGCCGACCATCCCCTGCGCCTCAGCCACGGACGACACTTTGGCGTTGATGGGGTGGATGGCAGATAGAGGCGTTGGCGTTTCCATCAGGTCCCTGTTGGGGAGCAGTTTATCCTGGTGGGGGTGTTGGTGAGGGTGGTGGTGGTGATTGGGGCTGGGGTAGGTCTCTGGTCCATCACCCCCCTCCTCCCCCTCCCCTGCTTCCTCGGCAGCCATCTTGAGAAGGGCGACCTCGCCCCCTCGGCCTAAAGGGCTTCCCAGCAGGGTCTCCAGGTGGCTGTCTGCAATGTGATTGGCTGTGTGGTCATAGTTGAGCTGGGAGGGGGGCAGGTGTTCGTAGTGTCTTTGGTTGAACTTTGGGACAGCTAGGCCGGTGGTTCCGGGGGACACTGTAATGTGAGGCACAACTTTGGTTACAGAGGACCTCTCCCTCGCTTCTCTGGCGTTAGCTGGCATCTCTTGAAGAGAAGAGGATGGGGGGAGGGGGAGTCACAGCACAGAGTGTGATTTAATACCCATGTAAGAGGGAAATCTGGAGTTACTTAACTAAGCGGTGATGGATGGTATGTAGGCAGGCAAACTGACTAGTACCTTATGCAGGGGATTGAAGCTAAATTGCTTGCAGTTACAAATCCATTACTCATTCATAACCATGGAAACAACATGCACTGACAACTATATCACCTTCCAATTTCTAAGACAATACATTACAGTGGGGAGAACAAGTATTTGATACACTGCCAATTTTGCAGGTTTTCCTACTTACAAAGCATGTAGAGGTCTGTAATTTTTATCATAGGTACACTTCAAATGTGAGAGACGGAATCTATAACAAACATCCAGAAAATCACATTGTATGATTTTTAAGTAATTCATTTACATTTTATTGCATGACATAAGTATTTGATACATCAGAAAAGCAGAACTTAATATTTGGTACAGAAACCTTTGTTTGCAATTACAGAGATCATACGTTTCCTGTAGGTCTTGACCAGGTTTGCACACACTGCAGCAGGGATTTTGGCCCACTTCTCCATACAGACCTTCTCCAGATCCTTCAGGTTTCGGGGCTGTCGCTGGGCAATACGGACTTTCAGCTCCCTCCAAAGATGTTCTATTGGGTTCAGGTCTGGAGACTGGCTAGGCCACTCCAGGACCTTGAGATACTTCTGTTCAAATATTTTTTATTGAACACACACAACAATGGTGTATAGGTATGAAAGACATGTGTACAGTTCTTATCTAAACATAAGAGAACAGACATGAACAACAAGACCCAGAGTTCTGGACACAAAACAAATATTACAAAACACGACATACAGAACAGGGACAGGTAGAAAGAAAAAGGGTAGATGTAACCCCCCCACTTATGGACCTTGAGATACTTCTTACGGAGCCACTCCTTAGTTGCCCTGGCTGTGTGTTTTGGGGTCGTTGTCATGCTGGAAGACCCAGCCACGACCCATCTTCAATGCTCTTACTGAGATAAGGAGGTTGTTGGCCAAGATCTCGCGATACATGGCCCCATCCATCCTCCCCTCAATACGGTGCAGTCGTCCTGTCCCCTTTGCAGAAAAGCATCCCCAAAGAATGATGTTTCCACCTCCATGCTTCATGGTTGGGATGGTGTTCTTGGGGTTGTACTCATCCTTCTTCTTCCTCCAAACACGGCGAGTGGAGTTTAAACCAAAAAGCTCTATTTTTGTCTCATCAGACCACATGACCTTCTCCCATTCCTCCTCTGGATCATCCAGATGGTCATTGGCAAACTTCAGACGGGCCTGGACATGCGCTGGCTTGAGCAGGGGGACCTTGTGTGCGCTGCAGGATTTTAATCCATGACGGCGTAGTGTGTTACTAATGGTTTTCTTTGAGACTGTGGTCCCAGCTCTCTTCAGGTCATTGACCAGGTCCTGCCGTGTAGTTCTGGGCTGATCCCTCACCTTCCTCATGATCATTGATGACCCACGAGGTGAGATCTTGCATGGAGCCCCAGACCGAGGGTGATTGACCGTCATCTTGAACTTCTTCCATTTTCTAATAATTGCGCCAACAGTTGTTGCCTTCTCACCAAGCTGCTTGCCTATTGTCCTGTAGCCCATCCCAGCCTTGTGCAGGTCTACAATTTTATCCCTGATGTCCTTACACAGCTCTCTGGTCTTGGCCATTGTGGAGAGGTTGGAGTCTGTTTGATTGAGTGTGTGGACAGGTGTCTTTTATACAGGTAACGAGTTCAAACAGGTGCAGTTAATACCGGTAATGAGTGGAGAACAGGAGTGCTTCTTAAAGAAAAACTAACAGGTCTGTGAGAGCCGGAATTCTTACTTGTTGGTAGGTGATCAAATACTTATGTCATGCAATAAAATGCAAATTAATTACTTAAAAATCATACAATGAGATTTTCTGGATTTTTGTTTTAGAATCTGTCTCTCACAATTGAAGTGTACCTATGATAAAAAATTACAGACCTCTACATGCTTTGTAAGTAGGAAAACCTGCAAAATCGGCAGTGTATCAAATACTTGTTCTCCCCACTGTATATACATCGCACACATCGAGACTGATTCAGAGTCAGTTCACTCACCTCCACTCTCAATGAGCACATCCAAAAGCTCATCCATCTGCTGACTCCTGGTCAGTTGCTAAAAAAATTATAAGAATGTGATTAACAGACTTGTTCCAATACAGTCATGCTTTATCAATACTTTACAAAAAAAAACAAAAAATAACATCTGAAAAAAATATCCCCAGTTTCAGCACCATGTTGGGGATTTTTAATACTATCAATGATAATGTTTCATGATTTTAACATTATGATATTGATATATTTGCTGTCCAATATTATACAATGTTCTACAAGGCACTTGGGGCAACCACAATTCTACATAACACAACCACAAAGCAGTCAGCTCTGAAGAAACCCAGTCAAACTTGGTCAAGGGTGCAAAGTGTGGGATGGATAAAGCAATGGATGGATGAACAAAGAGGTGCAAAGCAGGTGAGAGAGAGAGAGAGAGAGAGAGAGAGAGAGAGAGAGAGAGAGAGAGAGAGAGAGAGAGAGAGAGAGAGAGAGAGAGAGAAGGAAGGAAGGAAGGAAGGAAGGAAGGAAAATAGAGGGAAAGTGGGAATCGAAGCGACACCACAGAGGTTACAACAACGAAACAAAAAGCGTTGGCCGGCCATGATCAGGAGCAGAGTTTGGTGTATAATTTAGTTTACCTGCTTGACTGCATCCTCATAGCAAGGGGGCTGTCTAGAGTCGAATGCAGTTGAATCTGAGCTACAGAAGGCCGGGGACGAGACCGGGCACTTTTGGCCAACGTGCCGGGGAGAGGGCAATATAGCCATCTATATGAAAAAATAGGCGAAAAAAATTGTATTACTGATTTGAAAATGGAGCTGGAATTTTAGTGTAGTGTGGTAACTTATATGTAAGAAAACCTCTATGCATCCTGATAAAAACAAGATGCTTTAAAAAAAAGTTTGGCCTGTAGAGTTCTTGTGAAATGAGCTAGCTAGCTCATTGGAGAGATCTGCTTGAATTAGAACTGCTAAGTTTTTCTCAAAGGATGGAGTTGTGAAGATTAGTACCATGAACCTCATGATGGAAGTTTTAGAGAGAAGCAACAAATGAATGGAAAGCAGAAAAATGGTTAAGTGAATGTGATGGTGGATACCCAGTCATGTGACACATAACTATGTTAAACCGCTTCAGTTTAGACAGAATAATAGCTCTTGCCTTCTGCTGCATGTTTCGGTTCTTGCCCTTAGTGTTGACCCTGTGGTTCAGGCAGTTGTCGGCCGAGTTGGGGAACGCTGACTGAAGGCCTCTCTGGTCAGAGGGATAGGCGCAGTTCACAGCCTGTCCACCATTCTTCTGCTGAATCTGTTAGGAGGGAATACATAATTATCATGACCACCGAGCTATCAATCAATAATCGTGTGAATAGAGTCACAACAGACACAATATAAAGAACATTTTAGACCCAACATATAAAGTACATGTACAGTGGCTTGCGAAAGTATTCACCCCCCTTGGCATTTTTCCTATTTTGTTGCCTTACAACCTGGAATTAAAATGGATTTTTTGGGGGGTTTGCATCATCTGATTTACACAACATGCCTACCACTTTAAAGATGCAAAATATTTTTTTATTGTGAGACAAACAAGAAATAAGACAAAAAAACAGAAAACTTGAGCGTGCATAACTATTCACCCCCCCCCCCCCCCCCCCCCACAATTTTTTTCCCCAATACTTTGTAGAGCCACCTTTTGCAGCAATTACAGCTGCAAGTCTCTTGGGGTATGTCTCTATAAGCTTGGCACATCTAGCCACTGGGATTTTTTGCCCATTCTTCAAGGCAAAACTGCTCCAGCTCCTTCAAGTTGGATGGGTTCCGCTGGTGTACAGCAATCTTTAAGTCATACCACAGATTCTCAATTGGATTGAGGTCTGGGCTTTTACTAGGCCATTCCAAGACATTTAAATGTTTCCCCTTAAACCACTCAAGTGTTGCTTTAGCAGTATGCTTAGGGTCATTGTCCTGCTGGAAGGTGAACCTCCATCCCAGTCTGAAATCTCTGGAAGACTGAAACAGGTTTCCCTCAAGAATTTCCCTGTATTTAGTGCCATCCATCATTCCTTCAATTCTGACCAGTTTCCCAGTCCCTGTCGATGAAAAACATCCTCACAGCATGATGCTGCCACCACCATGCTTCACTGTGGGGATGGTGTTCTCAGGGTGATGAGAGATGTTGGGTTTGCGCCAGACATAGCGTTTTCCTTGATGGCCCAAAAACTCAATTTTAGTCTCATCTGACCAGAATACCTTCTTCCATATGTTTGGGGAGTTTCCCACATGCCAAACGTGTTTGCTTATTTTTTTATTTAAGAAATTGCTTTTTTCTGGCCACTCTTCCGTGTAGGGCTTAAAGCGGTCCTATGGGCAGATACTCCAATCTCCCTGTGGAGCTTTGCAGCTCCTTCAGGGTTATCTTTTGTCTCTTTGTTGCCTCTCTGATTAATGCCCTCCTTGCCTGGTCCGTGAGTTTTGGTGGGCGGCCCTCTCTTGGCAGGTTTGTTGTGGTGCCATATTCTTTCCATTTTTTTATAATGGATTTAATGGTGCTCCGTGGGATGTTCAAAGTTTCTGATATTTTTTTATAAACCAACCCTGATCTGTACTTCTCCACAACTTTGTCCCTGACCTGTTTGGAGAGCTCCTTGGTCTTCATGGTGCCGCTTGCTTGGTGGTGCCCCTTGTTTAGTGGTGTTGCAGACTCTGGGGCCTTTCAGAACAGGTGTATATATACTGAGATCATGTGACAGATCATGTGATTGCACACAAGTGGACTTTATTTAACTAATTATGTGACTTCTGAAGGTAATTGGTTGCACCAGATCTTATTTAGGGGCTTCATAGCAAAGGGGGTGAATACATATGCACGCAACACTTTTCCGTAATTTATTTTTTGGAATTTTTTGAAACAAGTTATTATTTTCATTTCACTTCACCAATTTTGACTATTTTGTGTATGTCCATTACATGAAATCCAAATAAAAATCAATTTAAATGTCAGGTTGTAATGCAACAAAATAGGAAAAACGGCAAGGGGGATGAATACTTTTGCAAGGCACTGTAGACCATTATGTCTTGTAACGTTCTGCCTTAGGCCTACCTGCATGTTTCGGGGCCTGGTGCTGGCCTGGTTGAGGGGATGGCTACACCCGTCTCTGCCCAGCGGCAGTGATAGCAGGTAGGGGTTGTTGGGAGAGGAAGGCTGGGAGCTACTGGAGGTCTTGGCGATGGGCGAGTCTTGAGGAGAGCACTGGGGGCTGAGGAAGGCAGACATGCCTGAGGGACTTCCAGAGGAGGGGACTGAGTCCAGGCATCGTTGCCCACCAGGGCCCCCCATATTGGGCAGGGAGGCACCGCAGTGGCCCATCCCCTCCATGCAGCTTCCTGGAGGACTCTTCAGGTGCTTGGGGGAGGAGAGGGGGCAGCTGGAGGAGAGGGACATGGGCTCCTGTTTGACAGTCACCCCAAAGAAGTGCTGCCCCATCAGCGAGGGGGATTGCTGGAGGTGCAGGTGGTGGGGCTGGGATGGATCCAGGATGCCCTCATGTGTGGCGCCATGGCAACGCTTCCTCTTGTGCAGCTGCATCTTGAGCTCCTCCACCTATTGCGAAACAGGGTGTTAACAGTACGTAAGCTTAGTCTTGAATGGCCCTTTAAGGACAATAACATTTTATTGAATTGAACAGTGCGGTTACCCACCTGTCTCTGTTCCTGGTGCAGCTTCCACGTCAGCTCCTCGATCACTTTTTGTTTCTCCACCAACATCTTATCCTTCTCTTCCTCCAGACCCTCCATCCCTCCACTTTCCCCTCCCCGTAGTCCTGTCCCACTCAGACCTCCTCCCCCCAGGCCTTCTTCAGCGCTGAGCTGGGCTGGGGACGGCTGGAGGCCAAACTGTGGAGGGGAGGACATGGGCACGTCGCTGAAGCTGTCTGGGAGCGAGCCACTACGGGAGATGTCTGAGGAAGCGGGGGAGATGGGTGGGGTGGAGGAGGTGCTGGGGTAGGGGTAATACCCCCCTTGGGAGAGGGCACTGGAGGAGGAGGGGGACTGGTAGGAGGACAGGGACCCTGTGGGGGTGACAGGGAAGGTGACCGTGGTGACGTCATTGGAGCCAGAATGGGAGGGGCTTGAGGTGGGGTCCTTAAAGGGGCGGAGTCTCTCGATGAGGGCCGTCTTGGTGCCTGAGACGGGCATGCCCCGGATACGAAGCTGCTGCCTGAGCTCTGACACCTGTAAGATGGAGGGAGAGAGAGAGAGAGATAGCGAGGGATAGAGGGGTAGAGGAAAGCCATTAGATGCTTGCATTTTTTAAATCTTATACTTACAGTATGTGAGTTCTGTTTACAGCCCGTACTAAGGAATATATCCCTCACTTTACGGACGGAGAGTACCTACCTTCAGGTCATCCAGGTTAGCTGGCAGAGGACCAGGTTTGACTGGTGAGATGCTGGTTTGACCAGAGTATGTGGTCTTAACTCGAGACGAGGAGCTACTGTTGATCGTGTTAGTAGTAACACTGGAGCTACCCACCGTCAGCTGCTCACTGCATTGTCTAACGATTGGAAAACATTCGATTTTTGTGAGATAAAGACCACAAAAGACAATATTAAGGAACATTTCTCAACATTTTGTACATTGAAGGCCAGATCGGAGACATGGGGTACTCACTTCTGGGCTTGGACTGGCTGGTGCAAGGGCTGGTAGCTGAAACTAGGCTGCCGTTGATGTGCATGGGCCTGTGTGTGTTGGGAGTGTGTATGCTGGGTGTGTGAGTGTGTGTGTGCGTGTTTCTGCTGGCTGAGGATCTGCAGCTGTAGGAAGAGCTGTTGTTGCTGCAGGAGCCTGGCGTAGGCTGAGTCCATGGGAGGGGGGGACTTCTCAGCCTTCTGGTCTGGAGGGATGTACTGGTGGTACTTCAGCTTCTTCACCTTGGGCTTCACGTCTTTGGGCTTCTTGTGGCGGTTCTTGTCCGATGTCTTGGACTGTAGAATCAATGGGAGAAATAGTGAGAACATACAATATATGCAATACAAGCTGATGTTCTCTTATGGGATGCATCTTCTTGGCTAAAGTGTTTGTTCCTACCTTGACTATGGCAGGGACAGGTATGGGTGGGGTTGCAGACAGCCCATTGTTAGCCGCAGACAAGCCATCTTCCTTGCTCTGATCAGACGGGTCCCTGTTCTGACACCCCTGGAACACAAAGGCAGACTGGGAGTCAGTAGAAAAATATGAATGCAGGAAATGTCAACTACATTCACTGGTTGGCTAACCATAAAACAACAACATGAATTCAAAGAAAACCTAAATTAATTGATTTATTTAAAAAAAAGTTTATATTTGAAAATAGGAATTAGGTACTAAATCCAAGCTGACTTTTGGTAAACACTTAAAATAGAAAACGGTTTATGGCAGAAGCTTCCAGTGACCGTTTGGAATGATGTCATCATTTCTGTCCACACAGTGAGGGGAGAGTGGTGCAGAATGCAGGAAGTCACTGAGATGATAAAACACAGGAAGCAGTAGCGTTCAGCATACTGTGTCTGTGTGAGACAGACTGGCATGGAGGAATGTGACACGTGCCAAAGAGCAGTCACACGTTCCAACGGTCACTAGAGAACCCAGGGGAGGACGCTGTAGTTCTCCCAGCCATCACAAGATGGCGGACTTAACCTAGCTCCCTGCTTGAAATGACTCAATACCACATAACTGACTGGGATATGTTTGTGAAGGCATAGGGGAGACTTTGGTGCACCTATTGTTCATAGTGTGTGGATAATTTATGTTATGATACATTATCAAGAGGGAGGAGGACAATGAGGAGATGGGCAGGAAGAAGAGGGAGTAGGTGATGGAGGGGAAATGAGAGGATGATGGGCCTATTTGGGGCTGGTAAGGAGAGAGGTAAGAAGGAGGAGGAGGAGTATTACCTGTATAGGGCTAGTGAGGGCTGGTGATGAGGAGGAGGAGGGGGTGCTGCCCATGGCCTCAGAGGAGGGGCATGCGGACCCCTGGGACTCGTCACTGTGGTGTTGCTCTGGAGACAGACTGTCACTGCTGCTGTCCTCCTCGAACGCATACGAGTCCTCCTGCTTAGGAAACTTCCCATGGTTCACTGGAGACAGAGAGAGAGAGAGAGAGAGAGAGAGAGAGAGAGAGAGAGAGAGAGAGAGAGAGAGAGAGAGAGAGAGAGAGAGAGAGAGAGAGAGGGAGAAAAAGAGAGGAGGGAGAGAGAGAGGAGGGAGCGACAGGGATGGAGAGAGGGAGGGGATGAGAACTTGATGTGGTTCACTACAGAGAACCACACAGGAGGCAGTTTAATCACACACAGAGAGACAGAGGACTGAAACCTGACACACCACAAGATACTGACAAAGAGGGTTTAGAATCTTTAAATATTTCCAGAGGTTCAAACATAACATTCCTTGGACTTTTGCAGGGTGGTGTATTAGTGAGAGAGATGTGAATGTTTGTCTCTGTATTAATGTGTGTCTCTGTATGAATGTGTGTGTACAGTATGTGGCTGTCTGAGTACTGCCTACGTGTGACACCACTGCACGGTGCTCTGTACAACGCAGTCCATATCTGTTCCATTGTATAACATCAGTATTCACACACTGCTCTTCTGTCACTGTCACCTAGTCCAACACTTAGCCCTGAGGTGCTACTCAACAGTGGGCAGAGATTGACATGGCCACTTTACAGTGAACACAGCCCTGATTGGCTGAAGTGATAGTGGACAGAGCCTTGATTGGTTTAGCTGTTAGAGGCTGTGCTATCTGGAGGAGCAGAGCCTGAGGTTAACAAAGGGACAGAGCCAGGAGAGGGGAGGAGTGGTAATGTGTGTGCGCGTGCCGGTGACTCTCTTTTAGAATGAGAACATGTGACCTTCCAAGAGCAGACCCTGGTTTCAATCACACCATCAGCCCTCTGGGCCTGCACACACAGCCCTGGGTGTTATCTCTCTCTCTCTCGCTCTCTCTCTCTCTCTCTCTCTCCTCTCTCTCTCTATCCTTCTCTATCTCCTCTCTCTCTCTCTCTCCAATCTCATCTATCTTCTCTCTCTCTCTCTCTTCTCTCTCTCTCTCTCTCTCTCTCTCTCTCTCCCTCTCTCTCCAACTAATCACATCCTGAGTTCCTCCACATAACATTTCTCTGTCAGCAAGGACTTCAACTGAAACTGGATGTTTTGAAATGTCAGAGATCTAATATTTTCAAAGATGATAAAGAAATGGAAGAGGTAATCGCATCCGTGATATATAAGGTTTGTGTGTGTGAGGGGGGTGAAGGGGAGGTGGCAGACAGCTGAACAACAGCCTTGTCCAATCAGAGACCTTCGTAGGTGACTCACTGGAGCCATATAAATCAGACAGAGTTAAAACACAGAAGCGGGGGAGGGACACACACACACACACACACACACACTCCTCTTCAGAGAAAGGTGGACCCAAATACAGCTGCTGTTTGTCTCAATAAGCATCCTCCCTGTTCGTAGGGAGGTAGAGTAAACCTCGCCGCTCCAGCCTCGTGTTGACCTTACGCAATATGTTTACTGAAGAGCCCGAGGAGGAAAACATAAAACCAGCATATACAAAAACCCTGGCTGGACAGCGAGCCAGTCATGATATAGAGGGGAGGACTAACATACTTTGGGTTAAGGGATCCTTATTTGTTTCCAAAATGGGTTTTCCAGCTAGTATAGAAAATAGTACGCTTTTATAGTGTGCTATGGTTGCCACATATTTTCAATAGGGAAACTATGATGTTGCAAAATATACCACCAACTCTATGGAAAGCTGAACTGCATGCAATTCAATACATGCTGTCGGTTGCTTGGGGTTCACACTAAACTTAAAAGGCCCAATGCAGCCACTTTTATATACTGAAGAAAAATATAAATGCAACATGTAAGGTGTTGGTCCCATTTTTCATAAGCTGAAATAAAAGACCCCAGCAATTTTCCATATGCACAAAATGCTTATTTCTCTCAAATGCTGTGCACAAATGTGTTTATATCCCACATTTTAGAGAGCATTTCTCCTTTGCCAAGATAACCCATCCACCTGACAGGTGTGGAATATCAAGAAGCTGATTAAACAACATGACATTACACAGGTGCACCTTGTGCTGGGGACAATAAAGGCCACTCTAAAATGTGCAGTTTTGTCAAACAACACAATGCCACAGATGTCTCAAGTTTTGAGGGAGCGTGCAATCGGCATGCTGACTTCAGGAATGTCCACCAGAGCTGTGGCCAGAGAATGTAATGTTCATTTATTTATCTTCCATAAACCGCCTCCAACGTTGTATTAGAGAATTTGGCAGTACGTCCAACCGGCCTCACAGCCACAGACCACATGTAACCATGCCAGCCCAGGACCTCCACATCCGGCTTCTTCACCAGCCACCCAGATAACTGCTGATGAAACTGTGGGTTTGCACAACCGAAGAATTTCTGCACAAACTGTCAGAAACCATCTCAGGGAAGCTCAACTGCGTGATCGTCGTCCTCACCACGGACTTGATTTGACTGCAGTTCGGCGTCGTAACCGACTTCAGTGGGCAAATGCTGACCTTCGATGGCCACTGGCACGCTGGAGAAGTGTGCTCTTCAAGGATGAATACCGGTTTCAACTGTACCTGGCAGAGAGCAGACGGTGTGAATGGCGTCGTGTGAGCGAGTGGTTTGCTGATGTCAACGTTGTGAACTGAGTGCCCCATTGTGGCTGTGGGGTTATGGTATGGGCAGGCATAAGCTACGGACAACAAACACAATTGCATTTTATCAATTGCAAGTTGAATGCACAGAGATACCGTGACGAGATCCTGAGGACCATTGTCGTGCCATTCATCCGCCTCCATCACCTCATGTTTCAGCATGATAATGCACAGCCCCATATCGCAAGGATCTGTACATGATTGTACACGATCTAAGCTGGAAGCTGAAAATGTCCTAGTTCTTCCATGGCCTGCATACTCACCAGACATGTCACCCATTGAGCATGTTTGGGATGCTCTGGATCGACCTGTACGACAGCGTGTTCCAGTTCCCGCCAATATCCAGCAACTTCGCACAGCCATTGAAGAGGAGTGGGACAACATTCCACAGGCCACAATCAACAGTCTGATAAACTCTATGTGAAGAAGAAGTGTTGCGCTGCATGAGGCAAATGGTGGTCACACCAGATACTGACTGGTTTTCTGATCCACGCCCCTACCTTTTTTTTCCTAAGGTATCTGTGACCAACAGATGCATAGCTGAATTCCCAGTCAAGTGAAATCCATAGATTAGGCCCTAATTTATTTATTTCAATTGACTGATTTCCTTATATGAACTGTAACTCAGTAAAACCTTTGAAATTGTTGCATGTTGCATTTATATTTTTGTTCAGTGTATCAATATCAAATCATTTCTGGGTAACAATTAAGTACTTTACTGCTATATATAGAGAGAGAAGTGAGAGAGAGAAGTGAGATGTTTGTTTCTTTTTGACAATTTTTTGATAAAAATTTTTTATATATATATATATATATATATATATATATATATATATATATATATAAATAATATTTTTTTAATCAAAAATTGTCAAAAAGAAACAAACATTTCTCCAGCAAGCATTTTGCTAGGACTGTCTGGGAGTGGTCTGTGAGGGGCCTAATTGGACCAGCCTAATGGGTGGAATATGTAACCTGAGGGGCCTGATTGGACCAGCCTAATGGGAGGGATATGTAACCTGAAAACTAGCTGTTATTGGCAGAGGTTTGAAACTCAATTTGTTATTGTCTATTAACTTAGGGGTTCTCAAACGTTTTGGGGCTGGGGACCCCTTTTGTGATAGCAAATTCATCAGGGATCCCCTCATAATCAGAACAAAACCTGTGTGAGAAAAAAAAAAAATATATATACAAAGAGTTTTACTATGACTTTGGCAGTGCATGGCCGAACGAACCAAGTCTCGGGCCCTGGGAAGAATCATTTTAAAAGCCCGCCTCTTGGCATCGAAGAGAAAATTGTGCAGTTCAAGGTAATTTCCTACAATTCTACACATTTTGTCAAGGGGCAGAGGGATTTTGCTGTAGCTTTAACCTCCTAGGGCTTAGTGGTCACATACGTGGACAGCACTTTTTAGCTCTTATGTCCACAATTGTGTAGAAGTTCTGTCATATTTCATGGCTTATTCTGATTTAGATATTTATAAAAGCCTTGTATATTTGTCATGACATGCAAATTTGAAAAAAAAAGTGTAAAACTAGCAACTTTGTAGGTCGCTAAACATGAAGTACACGTAAGTGTACTTATGGACTGAGGCTCCTCGAAACAGCTAATATGCTTGTAAACAGCACACACGTTAAAATGGGAAAAAGCTAGCTCTGATGCAGCTAAAAACTCTACATGTCCCAATGAAATAAAACAATTATACTAAATAATACTCATATTATTAGTTGTGTGAAATGTAGCCAATCAATGACATGAATCACTATGAATCATTTCTCAAAAGAGACACACAAAATTGAACTTAGTTTTTATTTAATTAGTTCTAGCCCAATAGCAAAGGAAATAAAAATGCATGTAAAAAACAGCTTGGTGCCTTAAGAGGTAAAGCTTAACCTCACAAATGTGCCATAAGGCAGAGAGAACACATTGCAGTTTTAAAGCTTTAAAGCTTGGGTTTGATTCCCACGGGAGACCAGTACGAAAACGTTCCAAAAAAATTATACACTCACAACTGTAAGTCGCTCTTGATAAGAGCATCTGATAAATGATGTAAATGTAATGAATGTATGTTTTAAAAAATGGGGGGAATAGAAAAAGTATTGTGGTGGAGTGGATACTAATATCCCTGTGAGCCTCCCAGGACCATGTTACCCAGCGTTAAGAACATACATTGTAGATGAATAATATTACATTGTATTGTATTGTATTACACCCTATAAACTTATTCCAGGGATCGCTTGTCCAAAATGTGTTTAATCTGTTGTTGCTATTAATATTCATTAAAAAAATATATATACACTACCAGTCAAAGTTTGGACACACCTACTCATTCTATTTTACCAAGAAGAAGAGTGATGGAGTGCTGCATCAGGTGACCTGGCCTCCACAATCCCACGACCTCAACCCAATTGAGATGGTTTGGGATGAGTCGGACGGCAGAGTGAAGGAAAAGCAGCCAACAAGTGCTCAGCATATGTGGGAACTCCTTCAAGACTGTTGGAAAAGCATTCCAGGTGAAGCTGGTTGAGAGAATGCCAAGAGTGTGCAAAGCTGTCATCAAGGCAAAGGGTGGCTATTTGAAGAATCTCAAATATAAAATATATTTTGATTAGTTTAACACATTTATGGTTACTACATAATTCCATATGTGTTATTTCATTGTTTTGATGTCTTCACTATTTTTCTACAATGTAAACATTTTAAAAAGAAAGAAAAACCCTTGAATGAGTAGGTGTGTCCAAACATTTGACTGGTACTGTATATATATGTAAAAAAAGTAATAATCTTTCAGCACCCCTGTATTAACTTGCTAACACTTTACTTGACACCCAGCGTCATAACACATTATGACACGGTCCTAACCATGTCATAACAACTGACATAACTTGTCATAACCTGTCATAATATGGTCATAACACTGTCATGACCCATATATTTACACCTGTTGTGACATATATTCTGTTATTTTATGGCTGGTTATGACACCTACATAAGAGTGTCAAACCCCACATTTATCAAATGTGTTTTTTCCCTGCCAAGAAATGTCCTTTCGTTTGAAAGTTTGTTTCTTAATTCCTTTGTTGTTGTTGTAATGAATCTTTACAATCATGTTTTTTTTTTAAATCACTAGTAGAAAATACATTATGACCATCCTGTGTCACTTTACTTGGACTAAGAAAATGCACTTTATGACACTGTCAAGAAGCATTAGGATCATCCTGTGTCACTTTACTTGGACTAAGAAAATAAACTTTATGACGCTGTCAAGAAGCATTATGACCATCATAATCATATAAGCCAGATAGGCCTATCACGTACATGCCCTTATGTCAGTCATCAGTCACAAAGAGGGTGTTTTGTCTTGCTCCTGAAATCTCTTCCAGCATTCATCCCAGTCATCAGCAACAGAGCATTTGGGTAGGTGTAGGTATGACATCAATGTGTGCACAATTACAATGATAATTTAATATGTTCAATTTCAGAAAATGTTATATAAAATAAACATACTGTTGACAAGTAGGCTATGGTGTAATTGAATGTTCTGCCTTGTGTGGTAGGTTCCGTGGGTATTCACACTCTTATGTAGGTGTCATAACCAGACATAAAATCATGTTTATTTTTTATATTTTTTATTTTTTTTTAGTCATTTAGCAGACGCTCTTATCCAGAGCGACTTACAGGAGCAATTAGGGTTAAGTGCCTTGCTCAAGGGCACATCGACAGATTTTTCACCTAGTCAGCTCGGGGATTAGAACCAGCAACCTTTCGGTTACTGGCACAACGCTCTTAACCACTAAGCTACCTGCCGCCCCAATGCAATATACTGTATGTCACAACAGGTCTAAATATGTGTCATGACAGTGTTATGACCATATTATGACAGGTTATGACCATGCCATAAGGTGTTATGACTCTGGGCATCAAGTAAAGTGTTACCATTAACTTATACTGCCTGGTGATGACGCCAGGCAGGCCAAAACTCCCTCCCACCAAAACAGGCTGACATTTCAGGCAGTCTTTTCAAAAGCTCTTACACTAAAACGGCATTATCATAAATTTCACAATTTCACAGTATTATTCCAACCTCATGTTGTGAAATATATACTGAGTGTACAAAACATTAAGGACACCTGCTCTTTCCATGACAGACTGACCAGGTACACCAGGTGAAAGCTATGATCCCTTATTGATGTCACTTGTTAAATCCACTTCAATCAGTGTAGATGAAGGGGAGGAGATTTTAAGCCTTGAGACAATTAAGACATGGATTGTGTATGTGTTCCATTCAGAGGATGAATGGGCAAGACAAAATATGTAAGTGCCTTTGAACAGGGTATGGTAGTAGGTGCCAGGAGCACCAGTTTGTGTCAAGGACTGCAACAGTGCTGAGTTTTTCACAGTCAACAGTTTCCCGTGTGTGTCAAGAATGGTCCACCACCCAAAGGACATCCAGCCAACTTGACACAACTGTGGGAAGCATTGGCGTCAACATGGGCCAGCACCCCTGTGGAACGCTTTTGACACCTTGTAGAGTCCATGCCCCGACGAATTGAGGCTGTTCTGAGGGCTAAAGGGGTGGGGGTTCAACTCAATATTACGAAGGTGTCCTTAATGTTTTGTACACTCACACACAGGAAATCACGGTTTTGACTGCACTTGGCCTTTAAAAGGTTGACTACTTTTAGTCTGTGTCCATCGGTTAGTTTTTCACCGCAGCTGTATAGCCTCATCTCCAGGTCACTAAAGAGTTAAAACACACCCTTTTCAAACTCAAAAACAAATTTAAAACCAAACTCACACGTTTATGTGTCAAAAATCACACACCGGTGCTTGTGAGTCACACACGTCAAGATACAGGCAGATAGGTGTTACGTGCAAAGGGCATCCGATCCCTCAGTGATACCTGTCATGGCGGCTGCCTGTCTGAAGGCAGCAGAGTCTAGGGGAATTATATTCTTGTGCACCAGCTCCATGGGGCCAGGTCTCAGGGCCAGTTTGTCATTGAGGTCGTCTGCCAGGCGGGCTCTCTTCAGCCTCAGCTGAGCCTCCACAGACGATACGTCCCCTGCCGAGTCTAAATGTACACAGCAAGCAAAACCACACTATTAACTCCCTTGACTATTAACGTTTTTGTATATGAGTTGATTAAGGCCAGTAGGGCTCGCTCCTCATCTGAATCTCCAGATGCGAAACATCCACAGATGACTTATACGTTTCCTGGTCCGAGCCCTGTACCAAGCAGCTCTCCCAAAATTGCAGCCGTAATGCCTAAGTGTCAGAGCTGGTGAGCTGGCTGGTGCCAGGTGCTCATAAAAGGTCTACATCTATATGGTTGAATCCTTTTTCTCCTCTCATGGAAGGCAGACAGACTTCCTCCACTGGATAAATAAATGGGTTAGAGATAATTAAAATGGATACTGTGATATGGGTAAGACTGCCTTGCACACACACTGCCCATTAATCCTATACAAATAATCCTGGGTTGGGTTGGCCCAATATCCATGCTTCTTTTAGGATGGATAACCTGCTGATGAGCTGTAGCCTGAGCTAGCTTGATTAATCAGCTGAGAGAAATAGTAACAGCACTTATTTGGTCAAATCTTTCATCGATGGCTGAAATCTAGACTATGTGATGGGAAACGAATGAATTGAATGATATTAAGCATATTTAATTGGCTCCTTTTAAGAACTATTGCTGTCTCATTAAGTCGCTTACATCTGTTGAACAAAAGCATCATAATTTTGTACAGACTACAAATTATAGCTACATCTAGATAGTCCAGAGTATTGCTACTGGTTACGATCACTGATCAAGATCATTTCCAAATATAGCAACTACTGGACTACTTTAAGAGTTAATGACCTTCATGAGTGAATATCCAAATACATGCCTAAAAGACAAAAAGTGAAGAAAGAAAGGAACACAGCAAAATTCGATCTGTAAATTGAACACTGTGGGTGTTAAATCTAACACTTTTGAAGTGTTTATATGAGAACTACCAGAAAGTATTGAATTTACACTTTTCAAAGTGTTTACCTTTTAACACCGATACTTTCCAACACCAGTGGCATTAATATGGAACACTAACTCAGTGTTAAAGGTACACAGTTATGGGTTTCACTAATCCCTTGTATTTAACACTTTAGAATTCGATTTTTACACTAGGTCAGTGTTAAAGGTACATCAGCCGCGTAGGTACGGGCCCGGGCCCACCCAATCAAATTGAGCAAAAAATAATATTATAATAATATTTTTTTCTGCTCTCTTCTTGTCAGTGTTCCAAATAGGCAGAGGTGGGTAGTAACACGTTACAAGTAATGCGTTACATGTACTTAAGTAAATTTGTGCTTGTAATGGCACAACCGAGGGGGAGGTGAATGGGCCAGCCAAGAAAAGAAAAGACCCTTCAAAGTGTAAAGGAGCGGTTCGGAAGAGAAGGAGAATGGAGGGGAAATCCTACCTTAGCAGGAAAAAGATGATTGAGTTGACTATGGCAATTGATATTTGCACTATTTGATTATTTATTACTTACATGATTCTTACCTGAATACCTACCTTGATGTTTAATTCCATGCTGAAATGTGTCTGATTTGCATACTAGCAACATGATTGATAGTGACATTTCGATGTTGTTTGACTGTTGTAACACCTACCTGATCCTCCTTGATCCTTCATTCTGAGTAGAAAATGTAACATCACACTTGGTGTAAATCTTTTTAGTACGCATTCACCATCACATGTACTTGAAATTATATTGTGAAATAAATGTTCATTAATGATATTGAAATGTTGAAATTATTCCAAACTCTCGAGTACCATTTACCTTTCTATGAAATTGAACACATTGATTCAGTAAATATTAAGTAATCTTTGAAAAGCACCATCATTGAAACTGTACAGCCTATGGACTTTGTTTTATGTTAGTCTTCATTGGAGACTACCTGTGCTGGAGGACATCTGCAATTTAGCATTTTTATAAGGATCCCCATTAGCTGCTGCTAATGCAGCCGCTACTCTTCCTGGGGTCCACAAGATGTTGCTGGCTTAAATAATAGTTTAATGTGAAATCAATTGCACTAAGTTGTTGTTCTTTTTGTTTGCTGTCACAGTTTACCAGGTGTAAAAAATATCCAAACTAAATTTGTAACTAGTACTTACACTATATATACACAAAAGTATGTGGACATGCCTTCAAATTAGTGGATTCGGCTATTTCAGCCACACCCGCTGCTGACAGGTGTATAAAATCGAGCACACAGCCATGCAATCTCCATACTAAACATTGTCAGTAGAAAGGCCTTACTGAAGAGCTCAGTGACTTTCAATGTGGCACCGTCATAGGATGCCACCTTTCCAGCAAGTCAGTTTGTGAAATTTATGCCCTGCTAGAGCTGCCCCGGTCAACTGTAAGTGCTGTTATTGTGAAATGGAAATGTCTAGGAGCAACAACGGCTCAGCCGCGAAGTGGTAGGCCACACAAGCTCACAGAACGGGACTGCGAGTGCTGAAGCGTGTAAAAATTGTCTGTCCTCGGTTGCAACACTTACTACCGAGTTCCAAACTGCCTCAGGAAGCAACGTCTGCACAAGAACTGTAAGTGCAAGAACTGTATGCACACATGACCTCATGTGTTCTCGCATACCCCGAGAGCATCTGGTCAGCGGGGTGGTGGCACAGGAATCCTCATCTCTCCCAAGTTGACATTCTCTCTTTTTCCGCTGACCCATCTGTCTATTTCCTCATTTGAATTCCATGCTGTCACAGTCACTAGCCCATTCAAGCTTAACATCCTTATCATTTATCGCCCTCCAGGTTCCCTTGGAGAGTTTATCAATGAGCTTGACGCCTTGATAAGTTCCTTTCCTGAGGATGGTTCACCCCTCACAGTTCTGGGTGACTTTAACCTCCCTACGTCTACCTTTGACTCATTTCTCTCTGCCTCCTTCTTTCCACTCCTCTCCACTTTTGACCTCACCCTCTCACCGTCCCCCCCCTACTCACAAGGCAGGCAATACGCTTGACCTCATCTTTACTAGATGCTGTTCTTCTACTAATCTCACTGCAACTCCCCTCCATGTCTCCGACCACTACTTTGTATCCTTTTCTCTCTCGCTCTCCTCCAACACTACTCACTCTGCCTCTACTCAGATGGTAATGCGCTGTCGCAACCTTCTCTCTCTCCCGCTACTCTCTCCTCTTCCATCCTATCATCTCTTCCCTCTGCTCAATCCTTCTCCCTCCAATCTCCTGATTCTGCCTCCTCAACCCTCCTCTCCTCCCTTTCTGCATCCTTTGACTCTCTATGTCCCCTATCCTCCCGGCCGGCTCGGTCCTCCCCTCCTGCTCCGTGGCTTGACGACTCATTGCGAGCTCACAGAACAGGGCTCCGGGCAGCCGAGCGGAAATGGAGGAAAACTAGACTCCCTGCGGACCTGGCATCTTTTCACTCCCTCCTCTCTACATTTTCTTCCTCTGTTTCTGCTGCTAAAGCCACTTTCTACCACTCTAAATTCCAAGCATCTGCCTCTTACCCTAGGAAGCTCTTTGCCACCTTCTCCTCCCTGCTGAATCCTCCTCCCCCTCCCCCCCTCCTCCCTCTCTGTGGATGACTTCGTCAACCATTTTGAAAAGAAGGTTGACGACATCCGATCCTCGTTTGTTAAGTCAAATGACACTGCTGGTCCTGCTCACACTGCCCTACCCTATGCTTTGACTTCTTTCTCCCCTCTCTCTCCAGATGAAATCTTGCGACTTGTGATGGCCGGCCGCCCAACAACCTGCGCGCTTGACCCTATCCCCTCCTCTCTTCTCCAGACCATTTCCAGAGACCTTCTCCCTTACCTCACCTCGCTCATCAACTCATCCTTGACCGCTGGCTATGTCCCTTCCGTCTTCAAGAGAGCGAGAGTTGCACCCCTTCTCAAAAAACCTACACTCGATCCCTCCGATGTCAACAACTACAGACCAGTATCCCTTCATTCTTTTCTCTCCAAAACTCTTGAGCGTGCCGTCTTTAGCCAACTCTCTTGCTATCTCTCTCAGAATGACCTTCTTGATCCAAACCAGTCAGGTTTCAAGACTGGTCATTCAACTGAGACTGCTCTTCTCTGTGTCACGGAGGCTCTCCGCACTGCTAAAGCTAACTCTCTCTCCTCTGCTCTTGTCCTTCTAGACCTGTCTGCTGCCTTTGATACTGTGAACCATCAGATCCTCCTCTCCACCCTCTCCGAGTTGGGCATCTCCGGCGCGGCTCACTCCTGGATTGCGTCCTACATGACAGGTCGCTCCTAACAAGTGGCGTGGCGAGAATCTGTCTCCGCACCACGTGCTCTCACCACTGGTGTCCCCCAGGGCTCAATTCTAGGCCCTCTCCTATTCTCGCTATACACCAAGTCACTTGGCTCTGTCATATCCTCACATGGCCTCTCCTATCATTGCTACGCAGACGACACACAACTAATCTTCTCCTTTCCCCCTTCTGATAACCAGGTGGCGAATCGCATCTCTGCATGTCTGGTAGACATATCAGTGTGGATGACAGATCACCACCTCAAGCTGAACCTCGGCAAGACGGAGCTGCTCTTCCTCCCGGGGAAGGACTGCCCGTTCCATGATCTCGCCATCACGGTTGACAACTCTGTTGTGTCCTCCTTCCAGAGTGCAAAGAGCCTTGGCGTGACCCTGGACAACACCCTGTCGTTCTCCACTAACATCAAGGCGGTGACCCGATCCTGTAGGTTCATGCTCTACAACATTCGGAGAGTACGACCCTGCCTTACACAGGAAGCGGCAGAGGTCCTAATCCAGGCACTTGTCATCTCCCGTCAGGATTACTTCAACTCGCTGTTGGCTGGGCTCCCTGCCTGTGCCATTAAACCCCTACAACTCATCCAGAATGCCGCAGCCCGTCTGGTGTTCAACCTTCCCAAGTTCTCTCACGTCACCCCGCTCCTCCGCACACTCCACTGGCTTCCAGTTGAAGCTCGCATCTGCTACAAGACCATGGTGCTTGCCTACGGCGCTGTGAGGGGAACGGCACCTCCGTACCTTCAGGCTCTGATCAGTCCCTACACCCAAACGAGGGCATTGCGTTCATCCACCTCTGGCCTGCTGGCCCCCCTACCTCTGCGGAAGCACAGTTCCCGCTCAGCCCAGTCAAAACTGTTCGCTGTTCTGGCACCCCAATGGTGGAACAACCTCCCTCACGACGCCAGGACAGCGGAGTCACTCAGCACCTTCCGGAGACACTTGGAACCCCACCTCTTTAAGGAATACCTGGGATAGGATAAAGTAATCCTTCTACCCCCCCCCCCCCCCTTACCCCACCCCCCAAAAAAAGAAAAACATATTGTAAAGTGGTTATCCCACTGGCTATAAGGTGAATGCACCAATTTGTAAGTCGCTCTGGATAAAAGCGTCTGCTAAATGACATATTATTAAGAACTGTTCGTCGGGAGCTTCATGAAATGGGTTTCCATGGCCGAGCAGCCACACACAAGCCTAAGATCAACATGCGCAATGCCAAGCATTGGCTGGAGTGGTGTAAAGCTCGCCGCCATTGGACTCTGGAGCAGTGGAAACGCATTCTCTGGAGTGATGAATCACGCTGGGTTTGCCAGGAGAACGCTACCTGCCCGAATGCATAGTGCCAACTGCAAAGTTTGGTGGAGGAGGAATATGGTGTGGGGCTGTTTTTCATGGTTCAGGCTAGGCCACTTAGTTCCAGTGAAGGGAAATTTTAACGCTACAGCATACAATGACATTCTAGATGATTCTGTGCTTCCAACTTTGTTTCAGCATGACAATGCCCCCGTGCACAAAGTGAGGTCCATACAGAAATGGTTTGTCGAGATCAGTGTGGAAGAACTTGACTGTCCTGCACATAGCCCTGACCTCAACCCCATCAAACACCTTTGGGATGAATTGGAACGCCAACTGCGAGCCAGGCCTAATTGGCCAACATAAGTGCCCGACCTCACTTATGCTCTTGTGGCTGAATGGAAGCATGTTCCCACAGCAATGTCCCAACATCTAGTGGAAAGCCTTCCCAGAAGAGTGGAGGCTGTTATAGCGGCAAAGGGGGGACCAACTCCAAATTAATGTCCATGATTTTGGAATGAGATGTTTGACAAGCAGGTGTCCACATACTTGTAGTCATATAGTGTAAGTAGTTTTCTGACCGGATACATTTTCTCTTACTTGAGTAGTTTATTCAGAGGGCTACTTCTACTTTTACTTGAGTAAATTACAATCTAGGTAACAATACTGTATGTAAATTTACTTACATACAGATTTTCAGTACTCCACCCACCTTTTCAAATAAGACATTATTTGTCTTTTTACCTAAACATGCAAACACCATCAGATAGAATTCATAGCAAGCAGTGGACTGGAATGACATTCAGATTAACTGGAATGACATTCCCTCTCATGTGATGGGTGGCAAAAAAGAACTAACTGAAAGCAAGACCCCCAATAAGCCATGAATATGACTGCATTGAGGCATATGTCACTGTGCTTCTATGGCTATATGCACCATGCCACTGCCTACTTCATTAGTTCATTTAGCAAACAAGTCAACACACCTATATTTTAGTCTCATGGCAAAATGTGCAGAATAGCATGATATTAGCAATAAAACTGAACATTTGTATCTTTGCCCCATGGCAAAATGTGTAGAATTGCATAATTGCAACACATGTCTAGCTACACTCATGAGGTACACTTATGGTGTTCACTGATACCTTTACAGCAAATTATCCAGTGTTAAATCAGCAGAGTTCATTAACACTGGTTCATTATCTATACGGGTCCACACTTTTCAGTGTTAAATTAGCAAACTGTTTAGTGTAAAGCCTTATTTGCATATTTCCCAGAGTGCCTTGCCTTTCGAGTGAATTGTAGAGTTACCACCCATGACTGTTTTTGTTAGTGACAGGGACATGGTTGTTTCATTCATCAATTTTCAGTCCAGTGGCCTTCACCAAGTGTGATCCTAAGCGAATATGTTATCATTAAATTGTATTCCTTAACACAATACAACACATAATTTATAAGGCCTTATTTTGAGGGTCTAGTTTTACCCTAATACAGTGGCCTGAAACTCATGGTTTACAGGTCACATCAAGCCTGCAAGTCACATTATTCTGGCTTGCAAAGTGATGTGTAATTCCTATTGAAATCCAGCCAGAGTGGGGATATCCAACATTCAGAATGACTGCCGGGAAGACTAAGATATGAGACTAATATAAGCATCTAAACTGGAAACAACCATTTCAGTAACGGGTGCAATAAGTCCAAGTAACATTGGATTAGTTTATTAAAATGTATGTTATTTATAATTGAGTAGCATAAGATGAATCAATTAATCAATCAATGTACATGCAAAAGCATAGATATTGAAACAAACAATTCTAAAAATCAACCTGCAATAGCGCATGCTGGGAAATATGATAATGATGGCCATGGTTTTGGTTTAACACTGGTTATTAACAACAACACTGGCGTTCTTTTACAACAATGAGTGTTAATTTCACACTTACAAAGTTAATTTAACACCTAAATCAACACTAGAAATGTTACACTGAAAATTCAATACTAGGTCAAATTTGACACCCTGACTGAACAACAGTATTTTTAAACAACATCTTAAAAAGCAATACCAGCTGGCATTCATAGTAACACAAAGTAACACCACATCAACACCAAAACTGCCCTCACCAGGATATATGAACACTGGCGATTTTGCTGTGAAGGAAGGCAGTAAGAAAGGAAAGATAGAAAGAAGGGAGGAAGGAAAGATTTATGAGTAATTGACCGGGGCCTTCAGTGTCCTTCCCTAGAGGATGCAGGGATCACCTGCTGTCCTGGTCTGTCCGGGCAGGGTTTGTCCTGGCGTAACAGTGGTCATGTTGCTAACCAGCCACATGGGATGCGATGGTGAGATCACTGTCTGTTAATACACCATCTGCCCCGGCCTGTCACTCACTGTGTCCGTTTCTCTCACTCTGACTCGCACATGACTCTAACCTGACGTAAGGGCTGCAGAAGCTTTATAGAGATGCATAGAGACTAAATAAAAGTCTCTCCAGCACAACACTGTCCTGATATAAGGCCTGCACAGCTACTTCCTATCAACTCTCCACGTAATATACAAAAAACATATAACAACACTCTCCATGACATTAGAGCTGCACAGATTACATCACTCTCCAATGCAACAATGTAAGCGCTGTCCAGACACTGAATAACAACACAGCAGGACATTAGTGTTTTTACATAGTTCTCCAGACTATTATCTCTAATAGAAACATACCCTGTAGTATGAGTCAGTCTACTTTACAGTTGGCACCAAGTTAAAACATCCTAAAGCTAAACTAAAACCCACTATTTACTTTCTGTCTAATGTAAACCTCACTTCATATCTCAATCCTATGTACAGTATATGGTGCATTAATGCAGTAGAATAAACTATACAGTACTATTCATCGTTTATCCATTGGCGCTATGGAATAAAGAAAAAGTACCACATCTAGGGGAATGGAGATTTGTGGTGAAACGACACACTTATCGTGTTAGAGTAGAGGACTTAGAGTGTGTTGTGTGTGTGTGTGTATGTGGACCCTTCCTTCTCCGCCAACCACACGTCAGAGTTGAGAGGCAGTGTCTCACTCTCTGTGTGTGTGTGTGTGTGTGTGGGTGGGTGAGTGAGTGCGTGGGTGTGTGGACTCTTCTTCAGCCAGCCACAAGCCAGAGAGCCCTGAGAGGCCGAAGCAGCACTAGAGATTCTAATAAACACCAGATGTTCTCTGGGTAATATATACACACACCCTACGCCATGTCCATCTCACACACACACACACGCACACAATACTGATAATGGTATTCTGTCAAACATTGAAAAACAATATTAGTAAAAATGAGCCTTATTTACGTACTAAAACTGCACAGAATGGGAAATCACATTCTCTCTCCATCACACCGTGAGAGGCTTGGCTTTGACTGCCCAGTCCCCTGTCCTGTGAAGGATAATAAAATGTGTATGTGTGTTTGTGTGTGTGTGCAACCAGTGTTAAGTGTGCGAGGGAACGGAATCCAGAGGCCCGGCATGGCCTATCAGTTTCTGGGAGTCTGCCGGAGATAAAGCAGCAAGGGGCAACGTGATTGGTCGACAGGGCAAATACTATTTTAGAAGAATTTTTCGATTGGCCGTTTATCTGCTGATTGTATGCGAGAGGTCCGCAGTACACATGGAAAGGGTTTTTGAAGATTTCTCTGAGTGCCGTCTATTAACACACATACAGATGCATGGGCACACGCACACACTGTGGCTAGGCCTCTGGATTGCATTCCCCCTGCACACACACTTACCACTGGTTATCTCACTGCTGGAGCCCCAGTGAAACGAATGTCAAACCGTGCCAGAGAGATAGCATTCAACAACCTTCCCTACTACACTACAACCCCCTAACCCCAGCCTGCAGCCGTTTATAAATACTCAGGCTAGTGCACTCACACAGGCTACAACTCTGGACTGTATTGTGGAGATGACTCGTGACTGGCTTCTCTCACAGACGTTAGCCAGTTTGTAATATAGCCCTAATTATTATGAGCATTAAATGCAGATTAAATATACCTGTTTCGTGTGTGCATGTGTGTGTGCGCGCCTTTCTACCTAGCTGTCTCCCTGCCTGTCTGTTTGTCTGATACTCCCTTACTGTCTCACTGTGCAAGATGATTCAAGGCTTCCACATAGATCACAGACCATAGATCAGCTGTAATATGGTGTTATCGGGATAGAGGTGATCATAGATCATATATCAGCTATAACATATTATGGTGTTAGAGGTATAGATCCTAGATCAGCTTGAACATGGTGTTATCAGGATAGATGGGTCTCTGGTTACATTGTTAAGGACTACGTTTTGTTATCATGAGGTAAGTGTGTCGGCTCGTAGAAGCGAGGGCCATGTAGCACGTCGTGTTTCATCGCCGTCGTCAGTTGCAAGTTAAATCTCTCTCTTTTTTTCTCTCTCTCTCTTTCTCTCACTCGCTCTAGTAATACAGTACATGGTGTCACACACACTTATGAGCTGTGTGTGTGTGTGTGTGTGCGTATGCATGTGTATGTGTACATATGCATGTGTCTTCATGTGTAAAAGAGTGTTACTCACGAGGCATGATGCCTTGGTCTGCAAGCTGCTCTCGAGTCCTCCTCTGCTGAAGTCTTAACTGCAGAACTACAGGGGGAGAGATGGAGAAGGGAGGGAGACAGAGAGATGAGGGAGGGCAGAAAAGGGCGAAGGAAGGAGATACAGAGGAGGGGTAGAGAGACTGAGTATGCTACTAATGTCAGATGACTACCGTAGCAGCAGAGAAAGTATTGTTATGGTTGTGTGACGGTGAGAGAATCGGGTTTGACAGTTTCATGAACCAACATCAATGAAGTTTCAGTGATAGAACACACCACTGTTTAAAAGTTCTCAAAGTTCTGATGCTACCGTCCTCAAAACAAGCTTCATGCCAATCTCTCTGTGTGCCAATCTTTCTGTGCGGCAATTACGTAGAAGAGTTGCACAGACACACAAAACAAGGAAGAAATGGCGATGTGGGCTGACAAATATTTCTGTGAACAGGATGTAGGGAATGATGAACACAGCTCCTGGCCTTTAAACAGATCTGCTAGGCAGTGTGTGGTCTGGGAGGGCGTGCATCTGTCTGCGTTCTGACAAACACACTGGCCCATGTCTCCCGAGCTCCCCTTAACCTCTATCCAAAGCCCCTTGTGTCTGCCAGAATGTGTGTGTGTGTGTGTGTGTGTGTGTGTGTGTGTGTGTGTGTGTGTGGGGGGGGGGGGGGTTATCACTCTTAGCTGCTCTTTGGTTGGAGTGGACCGCTGAATGGACAGAGCTGCTACGTAGTCTAAGAGATCTGTTTCATCAATACGCCAGGGAAACACTGTGACACATACCCATTGATGTTTAAGGAGTACTGTATGTATTGGTCTGTGTGTGTGTGTTGGCTTTATCTCTCCCTCCTCTCAGGCCATCTACCTCTGTTTCATAATGACACACACAATTCTCTAAACATCTGATTGAGTTTACAGCCCCGAGCCGTGACCTCCTGCCCTGTACATCAGATGGCAGCAGCACAGCCATTCACTCTGACTCGACACTGGGACAAAAAAATGCAAACCATTTTTCAGTATAGTACTCAAATTCTTTGAATCTCTCTCTTTAGCTCTTCTCTTCCTCTCTCTTTCTGTCAATGGATATGTTACCCACCCCACTGGATCCCAGCCAGGTTTAATACAATTATTCTTAATACCTTATGTATCTATAAATATGTGATTAATATCTTAAACAGCTCATAAATAGCCCGTCCAGTTGTCAAAAGGGCCTGTGTCCCATGTCAGGAGAGTCTGCTCACTGCTCTGGTGATATCAATTACTGGTACAGCAATTAACATTGACTGTCCAATAATGTCTATCAGTCTAATCAAATCAAAATTATTCCTGGAGCAAAAAGACACGGCAACACAGTCACAGCAACTCACAGTCATAACGACTATGGCACAGCTGTTGTCAAAGCAGCTGCGATGCTCCTGGAGAGGTCAAAGGGTATATAGTTAGGGGTTTCCTCTAAAGAGGAGTTCCCCAAACAAGACTAAGATTTCTAAAATGCCACTAACCTGAGAGATGATTCTCTCCATCTATCTCTCTCTCTCTCATCTCCCACACATTCACTCACAGCGCAAATAAACACACACCCTTGCGCCTCCACACACTTACATTTATGGCATTAGGGCAAATCATTTTCAGATCCATCCTCACCCTGTCCTTCGTGATTCTTGGAAGTGTGGTGCCTGTCAGTGTGTAACAGAGTTGGCTCTGAGCTGATTTATAGTTACTACCCTGCTTTAATATTACCACCAACTGGCCCTCTGAAATCAGACAGAGATAGCACAGACACACCAACACTACTGTTAATCACAACTAAATTCAGGGAGAGAGCTATAGAGATACAATAACCCTTGTTTAAGTAGGAAAGCTTGGTATTCCATATAATAAAAACATGCTAGATGAACACTACTGGGAGGTTATATCAGGGTTTATAACAAGGTTATGTTTATAACAGAACCTACCATTTATACCTCCATGAAACTCTCCAGAGGCAGAAGGCATGGACAAATGTAATAAAATACAAAAAATCTAATTCAACACGTTGAGCCTAGATTTTGTGTTGACATAATATACAACTCCAACATCTCTGTCCTGTACAGTTATGTAATGCTAGTGAGAAGCATGCGTGCACACACACACACACACACACACACACACACACACACACACACCCCTGGGACCCCTCTGAGATTCTTATCCCTCGCTGCTAGAATATCTTACCAGTTGTAGTTCCCATAGCTTACTCTCTGTGACCCAGCATGTAAGACTAAACAGTCTCCCCACATCAGCAGGGCATTAATAACCAGTCTATCAGCCTAATGTGTGTGTGTCACAGCAACACCAAACACCAAATCCATGAGCCGCTGCCGTGTGAAAGTCTCTCTGTCTGGCCATACCACTACAATGACTCCAGCCCTTACATCTCTCTCTCCTTCTCTCTCCATCCCTCTCTCGCTCTCCCCCCAGAGCCCAGAGGTAATTTCCCAGTGCACAGTTGCTGGTCTAAACAACACAGAGGAAAAGCACAATTTAGCCTGCGATTGCTGGTAAGCAATTACCGCGCTGAGTGCAGAGAGATTGCACTGAAGTCAAATAAAGAGAGAGAAAGAGAGCTGGTCAGAGCCTTTCAACTATTGTGGTTCCCTACGTTTTGTTCACAGTGAAATGAATCACTGGATAAAATGCTGGTTGACTGTAAACCGTGTGTATCAAACTGTGACTGAGCAGGACAGGGAGAAAGTCCCAAGCATTAGACTGTAGCTCTGGCTGTCAGTAACATTCCCTTCAGGGAGGGGGCAGTATTGTTCACAGTACAGACATCTACATAGAGACAGAGTTGCAAGATAAAGAGTAGACTGTATATATACACGAGACATAGACAGAAGAAGAGAGAGAGATCGAGAGAGAAGTTTGTGTGTGTGTGTGCGCGCGCATGTGTGTGTGTTTAAGTGTATGAGAAAGAACAGAGATAGAGGGATATACAAGAAGAAGCCCAAACAGCTGCTGTGTGTTAGAAGGGTTTATATCAGTACTGTAGTCCAGGCAGGTAAGGTCACCAACACACCACACACACACCGCTCTCATCACAGCCTAATTATGATAACCTTTAACCTTGCACTATTCTCTATCAGAACCTTGAGGGTTTAAGTGTCAGAACGTCACTTGCTGCTTTTCTTCAAAAGCAAACAAGTGCATGAACCTGTACAAGAGAACTCTTGGAAACAAGTGTACAAGGTTGGGGTCGATTCCATTTCAATTCAAATATTTTATTTTCAATTAGGATTTTAGCTGTTCTTGAACTGGAATTTTAGTTCACTTCCCGAATGAACTAAATCTAAATGGGATCGACCCCCAACCACACACGTACCCTCAGTCACGTGTTTTCACTTTTACGACAAAGCATCTATACACCATAGCATCCATAGAGCAGAGCAACGTGATTAAAGGGTGGCACCACTGATGGGTGGTATCCTCCATGAACTCTGTGATGACGGAGTCTCTCTGCTCCTCCTCAACAACATTATCAGCTGGCCCTACTAAATTACACACACCTGTCATCCAACCTCCCTCATCCTCTGTGCTCTGCTGCACGGGAGGCAATGCAAATCATACTCTACCACAGATGAAGGATAAAGAAAGAGCATGTACCGGTACTACTGTACACTATCAACAAAATACAAGTATTGACGGTTGGACAAACGGGATTGAACAAATACATGTTTCTTATTCCACGCAAGTGCAAACATTGTATCATACATTACATCAACAAAGTGCCAGTCCAAAGGGTTGAATGAACAAATGACTGGACAATTGCATAGGTGATTACCGATAGGTGAGTAGAAATGAAAAGAGACACACACACACAGTATAGGATCTTACCTGATCTAAACTTGCTTCGTATCAGTATGGAGTGTTCAGAGCCAAGTAGAGTCATAATGCTCACAGTATGGTTCCAGTGTTCAGGAGGGAAAAATAAAACTGGCACAAGCGACAGGACAGGACACACACTTTCACTTCAATGACCCTGCCTCTTCCTGGGACCAGAGACCGAGACCAGAGCTGGCCAAACGCTCGTCATCAACAACACAACATCTATTACAAGAAAATAAGAAAAAAGGTGGTGTATCTCTTGTATCGCTTCACTCCTCTCTCTCTCTCTCTCTCTCTCTCTCTCTCTCTCTCTCTCTCTCTCCTCTTCTCTCGCTCTCTCTATTCTCTTCTCTATCTCACTCCTTCGCTCTCCCTAGGGTAGCTGTGGGAGTCGGACAGTGAGGCAGACTTTGGTCCCATGTAGCTCTGAGCTCTGAGTCCACGCCAGAGAGAGTAGAGTGATATGCCATCTGCTGGGAGGAGCTAACCACTGAGGCTTCCCATAGCCCCTCCCACAGTTCCCCTAACCCCTCCTCCAGTAGGTAATGATGTCCTCTGCACGGACTAGGAGCTAAAGGTTCTGGTAGCTCCTCCTCCTAGGGAGAGGGAGCCAAGAGGACTGCAGGCTGGAGGGCTGGACTGGAGACTCCCCCAGACCTTCTGAATATGTTACTAGTCTGACACTGCACACACAGAGAGATTCAGACACACACATATACATACACAGACAGACAGGCTGATATACTGACTGTACACAGACACACAACCCCCACCCCAACACACACACTTACAGAATATACACAATTCATTTAGACTATCACACGGGACAAAAAGAAAGCTTTTAAAAAAGGCACACTACCTGTGTCAAAACGACTGGCGTTGATGTGTACAGTGAGTAGTAGTATAACTCTCCAGTCAGTAATCAACAAGGCTTCCCTTTCTCCATCTCCCACATACCAGCCTAGCATTTGTCAGTCTCTCTCTCTCTCGCTCGCTCTCTCTCTCTCTCTCTCTCTCTCTCTCTCTCTCTCTCTCTCACCAATCTGCTCTGCGTGTCTGCTCTCCTCAGAGACTACAAGAAAAGCTCCATAACAACTGTTTTACAGATCAACCAGGGCTAGTTTTACACATCTCTCAACACTCAACCCACTCACATCATCACTCAACTCCCAACTCCTAACTGCTCAAGGCCTCTTTCAGTTCAGATAACATAAACCGACATACAGCTACGAAACATACTTTACTATACTCAACTACACTCACAGAGGCCTTGCTTTGGGAACTTTAGCTAAAGTCAGAGTCCTATAACATCTTAGTTCAGTTCCATGGGGTCTTACCTGGTGTCCATGGCTGCTGTTGGTCTGACAGGGCAGCAGGTGTAAGTGTGTGTGTTGTTTCAGAAGGCTACTGTTCCCAAATAAACCTTCACCAGCTACAGCTGGGAATGTGGCTGAATGCTCTTGATGTCACTGTCACTGTCCCTTAGCCTTGGCTGTTCCCATCACCATCCCTGGGTCCTACAGTATCTGGCCCAATTCTTACACAGGAGCAAGATGCACACATCAAAACTATCCAAAGTAAATAACACAGTGTCTGATAGTATACGTCTCCTCACGTTAAAACTCCTATAACCTCGGCTGAACATGGTACACTAAAGCCTACTTGGGTTTAATGACTAAGGAATTCATACATATAAAACATATAATAATTTAAAACAATAAATGACATCCAATTGAAATGAAAATCGTAACTGCTCGCCATGGCTATGACGTGTGTTGGACTGGACTCTCATAGACTTACAATAGTAAAGTCAAATATTTATGTAAGGACATCTTGGCCTGCAAATCCACTGAGTCCTCTCTGACAGTCCTGGGCACTCAGTGCCTTACACACACACGCATGCACACACGGCTCCTGGCCTCCCTAATTAGCAGGTGAGAGTGCTTAAAGGGAGGGTTGGTGGTTGGGTCTGACAGTGTACACACACAGCATGGGAGGGAGATTCCTGGGGAGGTCACCCAGTCCTGGACTAATCCTCCCCTTTAATTGGGCCGTGTGTCAACGGACGTGACAAGTCTCATCTGAACTGTCTGGAGCCTCCGTATACTCTATGTGTGTGTGTGGTGTGTGTCTCCTCAGGAAGAGATTCATTACCTTAGGGTTATGATTTATGTTTGTGTACATAGTACAGCATTAACTGGCCCCCATACCCTCTACACAGTATAATGGTCATTTTAGACACGCTACACCGTCATAATAAAAGTAATGTGTACTCAGTGCCAATAACATACAGTACTGTAACTGTAGTTTTTTTTCTCGTTTAACTCATCAGCAAGGTTAACCAAGAACTAGACTGTTGTTTACTGGCCAACTGTGCAGACAGCTTTATCAAAACATTAATATTGTGAACATTTAGTGTACACTTGCTTTCTAGTGTTACAGATACAGGGGGAAATGTCTCATTTAAGAGTTGGGAGATCAAAAAAATGGAATAATATGAAGTGAAAATGATGTACAGCGCATTCAGAAAGTATTCAGACCCCTTTACCTTTTCCACATTTTGTTACGTTACAGCCTTATTCTATAATGGATTAAATCGTTTTCCCCCCTCATCAATCTACACACAATACCCCATAATGACAGAGCAAAAACAGGTTTTTAGAATTTTTTTGCAAACGTATAAAAAAACAAACACCTGAAATATCACATTTACATAAGTATTCAGACCCTTTACTCAGTACTTTGTTGAAGCACCTTTGTCAGCGATTACAGCCTCGAGTCTTCTTGGGTATGGCGCTACAAGCTTGGCACACCTGTATTTGGGGAGTTTCTCCCATTCTTCTCTGCAGATCCTTTCAAGCTCCATCAGGTTGGATGGGGAGCGTTGCTGCACAGCTATTTTCAGGTCTCTCCAGAGATGTTAGATCGGATTCAAGTTCGGGCTTTGGCTGGGCCACTCAAGGACATTCAGAGACTTGTCCTGATGCCACTCCTGCATTGTCTTGGCTGTGTGCTTAGGGTCGTTGTCCTGATGGAAGGTAAACCTTTGCCCCAGCGCTCTGGAGCAGGTTTTCATCAAGGATCTCTCTGTACTTTGCTCTGTTCATCTTTCCCTCGATCCTGACTAGTCTCCCAGTCCCTGCCGCTGAAAAACATCCCAACACCGTAGGGATGGTGCCAGGTTTCCTCCAGATGTGACGCTTGGCATTCAAGCCAAAGAGTTCAATCTTGGTTTCATCAAACCAGAGAATCTTGTTTCTCATGGTCTGAGAGTCTTTAAGTGCCTTTTGGCAAACTCCAAGCGGGCTGTCATGTGCCTTTTACTGAGGAGTGGCTTCCATCTGGCCACTCTACCATAAAGGCCTCATTGGTGGAGTGCTGCAGAGATGGTTGTCCTTCTGGAAGGTTCTCCCATCTCCACAGAGGAACTCTGGAGCTCTGTCAGAGTGACCATTGGGTTCTTGGTCACCTCCCTGACCAAGGCCCTTCTTCCCCGATTTCTCTGTTTTCTCTAGGAAGAGTCTTGCTGGTTCCAAACTTCTTCCATTTAAGAATGATGCAGGACACTGTGTTCTTGGGGACCTTCAATGCTGCAGACATTTTTTGGTTGTAGGCCTCCAGGTGTCTTTTATACAGGTAACAAGCTGAGATTAGGAGCACTCCCTTTAAGAATGTGCTCCTAATCTCAGTTCGTTACCTGTATAAAAGACACCTGGAGGCCAGAAATCTTTCTGATTGAGAGGGGGTCAAATACTTATTTCCCTCATTAAAATGCTAATCAATTTATAACATTTTTGACATGCGTTTTTCTGTATTTTTTTGTTGTTATTCTGTCTCTCACTGTTCAAATAAAACTTCATTAAAATTATAGACTGATCATTTCTTTGTCAGTGGGCAAACGTACAAAATCAGCAGGGGATCAAATACTTTTTTCCCTCACTGTATAGACAGGTGTGTGCCTTTCCAAATCATGTCCAATCAATTGAATTTACCACAGGTGGACTACAATCAAGTTGTAGAAACATCTCAAGGATGATCAATGGAAACAGGATGCACCTGAGCTCAATTTCGAGCCTCGTAGCAAAGGGTCTGAATACTTATGTAAATAAGGTATTTCTGTTTTTTCAAAACAATAGCACTAACCCAGCTTTTGTTTATTTCACTACACTCTTAGAAGTAAAGGTGCCTGGAAGAACCTATTGGGTTGCCACACCGGCTGTCACGCCCTGGCTTTGGGGACTCTTTAATGTTGAGCCAGGGTGTTAGTTTCTATGTTTAGTTTTCCAGGTTTCTGTTCTAGTATGTTGTATGTTCTATGTTCAGGTTCTAGATCATGTATTTCTATGTTGGCCGGGGTGGTTCCCAATCAGAGGCAGCTGTGGCTTGTTGTCTCTGATTGGGCACCATACTTAGGCAGCCTGTTTTGCACTTGTCATTTGTGGGATCTTGTTCCGGAGAGGTTTGTGTTTGTTAACCTTAGGACTTCACGTATCGTTTTGTTGTTTTTGTATATTTGTATAAGTACTCATTAAAAGATGTACGCATATCACGCTGCGCCTTGGTCCACTTCTTACGACGAGCGTGACAGAAGATCCCACCAAATAAGGACCAAGCAGCGTGTCCAGGAGCAAACGCCGGAGGTAACGCTAGTGGATGTCCTCCTCGGTTGGGGGAAGATCACCGAGGAGGAGGCCGTCCGCTACCGGAGGGCGATGAGGGAGGTTGCCCAGACAGGCGAGAGGCAACCCCAATAAAACATTTTGGGGGGGCACACGGCATGGACGACGGGGCTGCGGGAGGCAGCTACAGGGCGAGTTTGTGGATTAGGAGAGGAGGCCACCAGGTTTGGGGGGCTGGAAGGGAGGTTGGCGGAGCCTAGAGGTACAGCAGAGCCAACTCCCCGTACTCAGGCTAGGCAGCGTGAGACTGGGCAGGTTCCGAGGTATGCGGAGCTGCGTACTGTGCCGCGAGTGGTCCGGCACAGTCCTGTACGTCCTGTGCTAGCACCACGCACGTGTCGTGCTAAGGTGGGCATGCAGCCAGGACGGAGTGTGCCGGCTCAACGCTCGTGGCCTCCAGTACCCCTCCTCGGTCCCGGATATCCTGCGCCAGTGCCACCTGCTGTAGTGCCAGTACGAGTGCACAGCCCTGTACGTCCTGTGCTGATGCCTCACACAGAGTGTGTAAAAATAGGCATTCAGCCAGGACGGGTTGTGTCAGCTCTTTGCTCCAGACCTCCAGTCCGTCTCCACAGCCCGGTCCGGCCTGTTCCTGCTCCCCGCACCAAGCCTGTGGTGCGCGTCGCCAGCCCGGCCCGGCCCGTCCCTGCCCCTCGCACCAAGTCTGTGGTGCGCGTCGCCAGCCCGGCCCGGCCTGTTCCTGCCCCTCGCACCAAGCCTGTGGTGCGCGTCGCCAGCCCGACCCGGCCTGTTCCTGCCCCTCGCACCAAGCCAGTGGTGCGCGTCGCCAGCCCGGTCCGGCCTGTTCCTGCCCCTCGCACCAAGCCTGTGGTGCGCGTCGCCAGCCCGGCCCGGCCTGTTCCTGCCCCTCGCACCAAGCCTGTGGTGCGCGTCGCCAGCCCGGCCCGGCCTGTTCCTGCCCCTCGCATCAAGCCTGTGGTGCGCGTCGCCAGCCCGGCCGGGCCTGTTCCTTGTCCCCGCACCAAGCCTGTGGTGCGCGTCGCCAGCCCGGTACGGCCTGTTCATGCTCCCCGCACCAAGCCAGTGGTGCGCGTCGCCAGCCCGGTCCGGCCTGTTCCTGCTCCCCGCACCAAGCCTGTGGTGTGCGTCGTCAGCCCGGTCCGGCCCGTTCCTGCTCCCCGCACCAAGCCAGTGGTGCGTGTCGTCAGCCCGGTCCGGCCCGTTCCTGCTCCCCGCACCAAGCCAGTAGTGCGCGTCGCCAGCCCGGTCCGGCCGGTTCCTGCTCCCCGCACCAAGCCAGTGGTGCGCGTCGTCAGTCCGGCACAGCCCGTGCCTTTTCCACCGGTGCCTGGTCAGGTACCGGTCAGCTGCTCCACACCGGAGCCTAAGCAATCCGCTCCACCGATGTCCAGCTCCAGCCAGCGGGACCAGACCAGGGGCGCTACGGGGGGGTAGCTAGAGAGTGGTGGTCACGCCCAGAGCTGGATCCGCCCACCCGGCCCCTCCCCTGTTGGATTTAGTTGGCGCGGTCACAGTCCGCGCCTTTGGGGGGGGGGGGGGGGGGGGGGGGGGGCGTACTGTCACGCCCTGGCTCTGGGGACTCTTTAATGTTGAGCCCGGGTGTTAGTTTCTATGTTTAGTTTTCCAGGTTTCTGTTCTAGTATGTTGTATGTTCTATGTTCAGGTTCTAGATCATGTATTTCTATGTTGGCCGGGGTGGTTCCCAATCAGAGGCAGCTGTGGCTTGTTGTCTCTGATTGGGAACCATACTTAGGCAGCCTGTTTTGCACTTGTCATTTGTGGGATCTTGTTCCGGAGAGGTTTGTGTTTGTTAACCTTAGGACTTCACGTATCGTTTTGTTGTTTTTGTATATTTGTATAAGTACTCATTAAAAGATGTACGCATATCACGCTGCGCCTTGGTCCACTTCTTACGACGAGCGTGACACCGGCGGAAACTTTCCAGTTGAAAAGGGGTCTTTGAGGAACCCTTGTATAAAGGTTAGAACTGGAACTTTTTTGTGATGGGACGGGTTTAATTTTTAACCTTTTTAATAATATAGAGGTGGCAGCCTATCAGATTGGAGGCATGGCTTTCACATAGTTATTTTTAAACGTCATCATGTTAAGTTTGTACACTGCAAATTAAAATGTTCCTTGAATATTTATGCATATTACATATTCCAATATAATATTAATAATATTAACATTGCTGATTCCCACTTTGGGATTTGAATAGGCTCTTGAGGAACTCATACAACTCTGTCAGCCTCATTGAAGCTATAAAACTATCAGTGTTTAACCTTAACATGTGATGACAATATAACAGAACAGATGAACAGGAATTACATTTACTCTAACGGATGGCCAAAAAAAGCATATCTTATAGCCACGCTCCTACTAAGCCACGCCTCAACTCAAGGGTTCCTCCAGGAACGCGTTGCTACATTGAACCATTAAAGGTTCCTCCAAGAACCCCTCAACTAACCGAAGGTGCAAATATGAACCATTGACAAGCAATGGCTTCTTGAGGAACTCCAGGGGTTCCTTGAGGATCTCCAGGGTTTCTCGAGTCACCAACATTTCTAAGAGTGTACACTGCACAGTGCATTACTGGTATCCAGTTTTGTTTCCTCAAAATAGCCACTGATAGGAAGTCTTGCATGCTTCGCATGTTTGACATACAGTATCTCTGTACATGTGCCATGCATGGAATCCAGTTGTCCCTTGGCCATTTGTTAATCAGGGTGTGTAGAGGAAGTGTTGTGGAATGTAGTCTGAATCATATTAGTGTTTTATACTATGGTAACTATCCTCTCCCTGCTCCCCATCCTCCCTCCTTCTCTGGTCCACCAGGCTGAGTGTTCCAGGGACAGGATAGACATTCTGCGTCTGGGAGGAGAAGCAACAGTCTGCTGGGCTGTGAGGCAGACTGGAGACTAGAGACAGACAAGAAAAGGAAAGCACTGTGTCTCCCCTAGAGCAGACCTGGGCCAGAGTGATGAGGAGAGGAGACGCAGAAAAGGAGAGAGGAGGGGGAGATGATGGGAAGTGAGAGGAGGGGAGAGAGGGGAAGGAGAAGGAGGAGTGAGGGGGATGTTGGAGTTCGCGGGCCACTTCGTTTTCTCTTCTTTCCTTCTTCTTTCGCTTGCGTTGCCTTTTCTCTTGTCTCATCTGTTGCTCCGTTCTCGCGCTTTCTCTCTCGCCGTTGTGCCGGGAGTCCTCTCGCTTGCGCTTTCTGGGTAGTCGTGGTTCCTATCCCTTTTCTCTCTCTTGTCCATTCTTTGTCCCTCTCTCTCGCTCTTCTTCTTTTTCGTCTTCTGTGGGATGTCGCCTTTCTCTCTCTTGTTTCTTCTTTTCTCTCCTGTTTCTCTCGCTTGTTCGCGTCTTTCCGTCGCTCTTGCCTCGCGGTGTGGCGTCTTGTGCCTGGCGTCCTCTTTCCGCTTCGTGTTGGCGCTGTGTCTTGCGCTCGTGCTCGCGGCTATGGGTGTTTCCGGCGTCTGTTGGTGCCGGGGTCTGCGATGCGGCTTCTCTTGCCGCGAGGTGAGAGACCAGGAAGAGGTTTTGTCATGGCAGTGCGTGGCAGAAGTGGCCTGGAGACGGTGGGGGGTCTGAGGTGTGTATGTCTGTCTGCAAGCGTGTGTCTGTGTGTGTGCGTATATATTTCCAACTGCTGTTCATGCATGTGTGTGTCTGTGTGTATGTGTAGGGGAGAGCAGACATAGCAGCCGTCCCAGCCCTAACAGCAGCAGCTGGCTCTTATCTGTCTGAGAGCCGTAGGTCTCCGTTTCAGACGGGACTCTTTTAATGGCTACACCCCCCCTGCTTACTGTCCCTGGCCAGGTCCAAGGTACCAGAGAAACTTACACTCTCCCCGTAACACTCCCCAGGAGACCAATTAATCATATCAACACCAAGCCACGAGGACTACCCGGACGGCCTGGTTTACTAGAGCTACCGGACTACCCAGGCTGGTTTACTGAAGCCCACAGGCTACCAGTAGTTTACATAGAAGCCACACAGGACTACCAGGCTGGTTTACATAGAAGCCACACAGGACTACCAGGCTGGTTTACATAGAAGCCACACAGGACTACCAGGCTGGTTTACAAAGAAGCCACACAGGACTACCAGGCTGGTTTACATAGAAGCCACACAGGACTACCAGGCTATTTTTTCTAGCTTTGTACCTACACAATGGCTGTGAAATGAAATGCCTGCCTTGTACCATCACCATTGCTAATAACATGGTTAAGAAAGAAAATCACAGACAATTGTGTTTTAGAGTCTCCTGTTACTCCAATTATAGTACATGTGTTATCAGGGAAGAGAGGGACACTGCAGGGGGATATTGATAGGCATGAGAATAATTTATACTTTTATCAGAGCAAATCAGCCTTATCAGAGAAACAATGACTTTCTCACGACCAGAGGGAAGAAATGGGGAAAAATAAAAAGAGAGAGGGGGAACATCAATGACTGAGTAACACAGAGACTGGGGGAAAGGTGGAGAGAGTAACAGAGGGAGGGAGAAAGAAAGAAAGAAAGAAAGAAAGAAAGAAAGAAAGAAAGAAAGAAAGAAAGAAAGAAAGAAAGAAAGAAAGAAAGAAAGAAAGAAAGAAAGAAAGAGTGTTTGAGACAGATTCAGTGCCAATAAGGGTTAAACCCCAGTCTGGCGCTGTTCTGTGCTGGGTTCTCATTAAGGTTCCAGAGGGAACACACAGAACCCAAACTAGACGTGACAGATAAGAGGGCTGGGGCCAACAGATTCCCAGGACCACTGTAACTCTCTCTCTTTATTTTTGTCTCTCACTCCATCTTTCTCTATCGATGTCTCTTTGTCCCCCTCTCTAACAACATTTTGGAGTCGTTCTCAACCCGCCCCCCTCTCTCTCTACACTCGGTCAATCTTTCTATTGCTCTCCCTCAACCTCACAGACCCTGGGATCAGAGGGTTGAACGTGTGAGCTGGGGCTCTCTTTCCCTCCCCATTATCTATCCTTATCTCCTCTTTCTCTCTCCATCCATCTCTCTCTCAGTCCCTTGGCTGCAGCCTATCTGAATGGAATCCCAAAACACAAAAAGGGGTGCGATCACACTGTCCCGGACCCAGATTGAAGCCATATCACGCTAAAGCAAAACAGCAGGGATATTATTTGTTGTCTTTGTGGTTGTTTAGATTTCGGCAATTGACTTTGCCTCCACTTCAGTCTGGGACGACTGGCATGTGGCCACAAGGAGAGGAGGGAGAGCAGCGAGATATGCCTGGAGGCATCAGTAGAGAAGGCCCTGCTTAGGCCTAACTCCTGGTTATTATCGCAGGCTTTGCGAGGTATTCCCAAAAACTTCTGTACCCTTTAATATCTGAAAATGTAATAACTCCCGGGCCACTTTGTTGTTGTTAATGTGTGTCTATGACTAACAGTTTTGATGGATGGAAAGCACTTCAAAAATAGATATATTTAAAGAGACGATTTAGGTTATTCCAAAATGAGATTCCTCTGGCTTTAACAAGTGAGTATCAGACAGTCATATTTAGAGCTGCTGGATCGTGAGTCATTAGATATGACTTAAAGCATGATGCTTCCAGTCAGTGTCATTCCTGTCACTCTCACCAGCCCTCACAGACATATGTTGGATGGAAAGGAAAGAAAAACTCTCCAAACAAGGAGAGACTGGATAGAAAGGATGGATAGACTAGAAAATAAAATATATAGAAAGAGTGGATAGAAGAAAAGGATTGTAGACAGCGGCTAGAGAGAAAGCATGGATGAAGAAAAATAATTTATAGAGAAGATGGATACGGAGAAAGGATGGACACCCAATTGTGCACTAAATATACAAAAGTATGTGGACACCCCTTCAAGTGAGTGGATTTGGCTATTTCAGCCACATCCGTTGCTGACAGGTGTATAAAATCGAGCACACAGCCATGCAATCTCCATAGACAAACATTGGCAGTAGAATGGCATTACTGGAGAGCTCAGTGACTTTCAACGTGGCACCGCCATAGGATAACACCTTTCCAACAAGTCAGTTTGTCAAATTTCGGCCCTGCTAGAGCTACCCCGGTCAACTGTAAGCTCTTTTATTGTGAAGTGGAGATGTCTAGGAGCAACAACGGCTCAGCCGTGAAGTGTTAGGCCACACAAGCTCACAGAACGGGAGCACCGAGTGCTGAAGTGCGTAGCGCGTACAAATAATCTGTCCTAGGATGCAACACTCACTACCGAGTTCCAAACTGCCTCTGGAAGCAACATCAGCACAATAACTGTTTGTCTGGAGCATCATGAAATGGGTTTCCATGGCTGAGCAGTTGCACACAAGCCTAAGATCACCATGCACAATGCCAAGCGTTGGCTGGAGTGGTGTAAAGCTCGCCGCCATTGGACACTGGAGCAGTGGAAACGCATTCTCTGGAGTGATGAATCACGCTTCATCATCTGGCAGTCTGAATGCCAGGAGAACGCTACCTGCCCGAATGCATAGTGCCAACTGTAAAGTTTGGTGGAGGAGGAATAATGGTCTGGGGCTGTTTTTTAGATCCAGTGAAGGGAAATCTTAACACTACAGCATACAATGATATTCTAAACGATTCTGTGCTTCCAACTTTGTGGCAACAGTTTGGGGAAGGATCTTTCCTGTTTTAGCATGACAATGCCCCTGTGCACAAAGCGAGGTCCATACAAAAATGGTTTGTCGAGATCAGTGTGGAAGAACTTGACTGCCCTGCACAGAGCCCTGACCTCAACCCCATCAAACACCTTCAGGAAGAATTGCAACGCCAACTGCGAGCCAGGCCTAATTGCCCAACATCAGTGCCCACCTCACTAATGCTCTTGTGGCTGAATGGAAGCAAGTCCCCGCAGCAATGTTCCAACATCTAGTGGAAAGCTTTCCCAGAAGAGTGGAGGCTGTTACAGCAGAAAATGGGGGACCAACTCCATATTAATGCCCATGATTTTGGAATGAGATGTTTGACGAGCTGGTGTCCACATACTTTTGGTCATGTAGTGGATTTGTTTTTCCGTGTCTCCTGAGCGAGTCCAACACTTCCAAACGGCCTGGCTGAAATGAGCTGTCAACCGGGACATTCTCTCACTCAATGAACAGAGACCAGGGCCATGTTATTGTTGGTAGACGTACACATGAGTATAGAGAAGGAGAAGCCCCCACTAACTTCTGATTCAGGGTCAGATCTTCACATTCGCCTAATAGTTAAGGTTTTGATTGACAGTCGGGGTAACCTGATCCTAGACCTGTGCTTAAGGTTGCTGATTATGTTTCTTTGACAGATCGATGTAGTTAAAATATACCCTAAGGCACAGATCTAGGATCAGCTTACCCCCCCAGAGCCATTAAACCGACAACAGCGAAACTGACCCAAAATCAGCATATAGGGGGGAGGTTAATCTCCATCCTGGTTTTGCCAGAAAACCAATGCAGGAATATGGCAGCCACGGGCCACAGACAGCTCCCTGAGTCGATCACTGTTATCTGTTGGAACGGATTCCACTTGACCCCTCAGGACACACACACACTTATTAATAGGTTTGGAAGGGTGTGTGTGTGTCTCTGTCTGTGTATGCGTGCCTGTGTGCACCTGCATGTGTGTGTTCTTATCTTCACTCTAAGGCATTCATCAGGAATGACACCTTCTGCCATTTTGCATTCAAACTAAACACACAGCTCCATGTTCTGTCTCTGTTCCTCAGGATGTTGAGAGGCTTGACTTATGCAAGTTGTCAGTAAGAAATTACACTATCGTCACGCTGCCCGATTGATTTGGTACATTGCGTTTTTATTATTTTTCCTGCGATAGGTAATATGGTCAAACAAACCTCTCTTTCTCTCCTGATTCCAAAACCTGAAACAACAAAGGAGGACCAACAGCTACAGAGTCATGCTTGCTTTTACCTCCCAGGGGACAGTCACTGCACTTTAAAAAATGCTGGTTTTAAAAAAAACAATTTGTGTTCTTTGGTAACCCAGCGCTGGGTAAATATTGGACAGAACATTATTTTGACCCAGCCAGTTGGGTTGCATGAATAACCCAACATGTTGGGTTGTTGGGATTCCCCAAACATGGGTTAATTTAACCATTAGTTGGGTGTTCTTTGTTTCCATGCTGGGTTTTGAACAAACTCCTTAGGTTATTTTCAGGAGGTGTGGCTTATTAGGGGCATGGCTTTCAGATAGCTCTTATTTGCTACCCGTGAGAGTAAATGTCATTCCTGTTCATCATGTTAAGTTTCCATACTGCAAATTGCATTTTTCTTTATTTTTCTTCTAGAATTTTAAGATTATGTATTACATATTATAATAAAGTGGTATCTATCCAACAATGGGATATCTCAATAACCCAGCACCAATAACCCAGCATTAACAACCCAACCTTGCTCCTTTTAAAGAAAACAACCCAACTAAGTGACCCAACACCTGCAACCCAGCAGTTGGGTCAACCAAACAACCCAGCATTTTTTAGAGTGTGGGTTCTGATCAACTGTTGTTTGAGGGTCATGAAAAAACTGTAATAGCTCTCAACTCCAATGCGCATGCTCGCACGCACAGACACACACACACACACACGTCCTCACAAAAGAAGCAGTAACTGTATTAACCTCTGCACACGTCTCTTGCCAGCGTGGTTTCGGAAACTTGCATTACCGTGTTATTTGAAGGTAATTGGATAAACTGAAGCTGATTATGTGTACTCGGAGATTCAGATTATGAACCACAGCGTAAATGTTGGTTTTGACCTCAGTGGCATTGACAGTATCCATGTCCAGGAGGCATTCTGCCTTTGGGACCAGATTCAGGACCAGTTACCCAGTAAGTATGTAGAGGTTAACATGAAAAATTATAATTAATGGATTAATTATTTACATTTAGGCATTCTACTTTAAAACAGCTCCTAAACGCTTAGGTATACAGTTGAAGTCGGAAGTTTACATACACTTAGGTTGGAGTCATTAAAACTCGTTTTTCAACCACTTCACACATTTCTTGTTACCAAACTATCGTTTTTGCAAGTCGGTTAGGACATCTACTTTGTGCATGACACAAGTAATTTTTCCAACAATTGTTTACAGACAGATTATTTCACTTATAATTCACTGTATCACAATTCCAGTGGGTCAGAAGTTTACATACACTCAGTTGACTGTGCCTTTAAACAGCTTGTAAAATTCCAGAAAATGATGTCATGGCTTTAGAAGCTTCTGATAGGCTAATTGACATCATTTGAGTCAATTGGAGGTGTACCTGTGGATGTATTTCAAGGCCTACCTTCAAACTCAGTGCCTCTGCTTAAGATCATGGGAAAATCAAAATAAATCAGCCAAGACCTCAGAAAAACAATTGTAGACCTCCACAAGTCTGGTTCATCCTTGGGAGCAATTTCCAAACGCCTGAAGGTACCACGTTCATCTGTACAAACAATAGTACGCAAGTATAAACACCATGGGACCATGCAGCCGTCATACCGCTCAGGAAGGAGACACGTTCTGTCTCCTAGAGATGAACGTCCTTTGGTACGAAAAGTACAAATCAATCCCAGAACAACAGCAAAGGACCTTGTGAAGATGCTGGAGGAAACAGGTACAAAAGTATCTATATCCACAGTAAAACGAGTCCTATATCGACATAACCTGAAAGGCCGCTCAGCAAGGAAGAAGCCACTGCTCCAAAACCGCCATGGAGAAATGTCCTCTGGTCTGATGAAACAAAAATAGAACTGTTTGGCCATAATGACCATCGTTATGTTTGGAGGAAAAAGGGGGAAGTGGCAAGCCGAAGAACACCATCCCAACCGTGATGCACGGGGGTGGCAGCATCATGCTGTGGGGGTGCTTTGCTGCAGGAGGGACTGGTTCACTTCACAACACAGATGGCATCATGAGGAAGGAAAATTATGTGGATATATTGAAGCAACATCTCAAGGCATCAGTCAGGAAGTTAAAGCTTGGTCGCAAATGGGTCTTCCAAATGGACAATGACCCCAAGCATACTTCCAAAGTTGTGGCAAAATGGCTTAAGGACAACAAAGTCAAGGTATTGGAGTGGCCGTCACAAAGCCCTGACCTCAATCCTATAGAAAAGTTGTGGGCAGTACTGAAAAAGCATGTGCGAGCAAGGAGGCCTACAAACCTGACTCAGTTACACCAGCTCTGTGGGAAGCTTGTGGAAGGCTTTCCGAAACGTTTGACCCAAGTTAAACAATTTAAAGGTAATGCTACCAAATACTAATTGAGTGTATGTAAACTTCTGACCCACTGGGAATGTGATGAAAGAAATAAAAGCTGAAATAAATCATTCTCTCTGCTATTATTCTGACATTTCACATTCTTAAAATAAAGTGGTGATCCTGACTGGCCTAAAACAGGGAATTTCTACTAGGATTAAATGTCAGGAATTGTGAAAAACGTTTAAATGTATTTGTCTAAGGTGTATGTAAACTTCCGACTTCAACTGTACATGTAATGTACTTAGGTCTATAGAGACGTCATGCAGTAAGACAAAAGAGGCCCCACCGCAGAACAAAGCATGTAACAGTTGCTCCGAGATCAGACACACACCTTCCCTAAACTCTGCGCTCATCTGATCACACACATATATTCCATTAGCTCAACGGATCACACACACACAATCCCATAGCCGTGCTCAGATCTGACTCACAATGCGGGCCGTGTGGGGTGAGATAGTGTAGTGTGTCACCACGACCAGCGGTGTCACACTGTCTCCCTCTCCTCCCACCGCCAGGGTGAGGGATGATATTACTGGACGCCTGTCGGCTGAGCAGTGGACCAAAGCCATGATCAGAAACCAGAGGACTTACAGACGCCACATGGGAAGGAGGGAGGAGCAGGGGGAAGAGGGGAAAGAGGAGGAGGGGAAAGGGGGATGAAACAACAACCAAAGTTCAGGCTAGAGCATAGACTAATGATGTTCTAGGGACAAGCTTACATTTCAGGTCATCATTACACACTAGGCTGCCTGAATTAACCAAATAGGCTAAATAGATTAAAAAAGGACTGTTACCTTCCCAAAAGGCCTACAATACAGTAGATCAGACATCCCACTGGTAGTCCAATGAATGCCACACACAATACACAACCCAACCCCCAAACACACACTCTCCAGCCCCTCTCTGATAAGCCCCTGGCAGGTGTCAGCTGTCTGAGGAGGCTCCTGGGGGAGAGACTCCCTGATTACCCCTCTGACTGACTGACTGATTTGACAGCCATGTTGTCTGTTTTTCAGTCTCTGGTGGGGTACACCTAGCCACAGTGTTGACAAGGAGGCCATTCACTAACAGCATACTTCACACAGACCTGCTAACTGACTGCTGTGTGTGTGTGTACGTCCGTGCGTGTCAGTCTGGCCGACTGAAAACTTGACAGTTAAAGAAATGTCTCTCGAGACCCTGTCTTGGCCGAGGTAGCACTTCACATCAACTTTATCTACCGACTCTGACTTGGAATCAGACAGCAAGTGATTTATAAGAGGAGTAAAAGATACTGGATTAGTGAGACAGAATCAGAGACGCAAGTTGTTATCTGTGTGAATGTGTCTGTTTTAGTAATGGAGCCATTAGCAGAAGAGATAACATACAGCTTGCGCTGGGAGAGTGTTTTCACCTCTTGACTTCCAGGGGAAATCTACCGCCTGGGTGCAACAGTCAAACCAGGCCCACCACTGTGACAAGAGGTTAAACACACATAGTGCCATACCATTTCCAGGGCCCATTGTACAAAATAGAATGTTCCATTTCCAGGTGAAGAAAAACCATCTCATCAGCTTGGCCCAATGTACTGGTATGCCAAAACGTAATTTATTCATATTACAAATACCAAAGCCAGTCTGCTGTATTCTTAGTAAATATTGAGTTGTGTCCAGCACAGTGAAATCTAATTAAAACATGGGTGGTTTTCAGTGTGGGAGAGGTTGTAGTGTACACTGAGAGACAGACTTGTGAGTGAGGTGGTGTGTTTGTGTGTGTGTGTGCACGCGCGCGTCCGTGTGTATGTGACCTTGTGTTGTAGGGCTTCGCTGTGTATTTAGGTGGAACATTGAGCAGCGTGGAGGTTCTTATCACCCCTGTCTGTTTTGGAGGGGAACACACATCGCCTGCCTGGAGGGATCGCTGCCTGGCCTGGCCTGGAATGTCCTGCTGGAAACATCTGCTATTGGCTGAACACGACAGGTCAGAGGTCACCTGTCAGGATGCTGGTCAAACTCTACGCTGACAGGAGACGTGAGTGTAGAGGAGATAGATAATAAGATATTCAGTTGGTTTCTGGACCAGAGAGATGAATGGGGAGGAAGATAAGAAAAATTCAAGAATACGAGATGTTCAATTCCTGTGTGACAGGAAGAGAGAGAACAAGTCCTCAGGTGTCAGCCAAAATTGCTCATCAAGCAAGCTTGGTTCATTGAACTGCCTTCAGTGCAGTGGGTCTACATTTCTGTTTTGATGTACTGTATCGCATGCAGCTAAGATGATAATTTGCAAACAGTTTCTTCCTCACTCCTACCCTCCTACTCCTAATTTCATTGGAATGCCCACTTGCAAACAGTTCAATATCACAAGACAGTGGTCCATATAAAACAAAAGCAAACCTTCGACCCAAAACCCAAATCCTTCTTAAACTCTTCTTCAATTTTAATGAAAATTCCACTCAGGTGTGTTGGAGATGATGGACAATGTAAAATAAATAAAGACATATTATCGAAGTACCAGAGTCTTCCCAAAGATTTAATTGCAGCCGTTTTTGACCTGTGATGAACAGTCAGCTGCATGCTTCACTGATAGGATCTCCAAAGTAATGGCTCGGGCCGACCAAAATCTCAATATGAGTTGGTATTCTGTTGTTTTTGCTCTAGCCAATTCCCATAGTCAAGCGGCTGGTATGTCAGCTGAAACCTTTAAAAATACGAGCCTTGCAGCCTCTCTGCTGTGTTTTGTTTGGCCTATGGGATAGACAGCTTTCAGGAGGAGACATCTGAGGCAGCATGTGATGGATTCTCTGCTCTCCACTTTAATGAAGACCACATCCATAACCAGACGAGGAGGCTGGGTCTATTGGACTGACTGGGTGTGTAGGCCTACCAACCACTGCACTGGTTCATTCTACTGTCTCTGCAGGTGAACCACACTTTGGGTCTATCGTTTATTCACATGACCTCGACTAACCTGTACCCCCGCACACTGACTCGGTACCGGTACCCCCTGTATATAGCCTTGTTATTGTTATTCTATTGTGTTACTTTTTTTTTTTTTTTTTTACTTTAGTTTATTTAGTAAATATTTTCTTACCTCTTGAACTGCATCGTTGGTTAAGGGCTTGTAAGTAAGCATTTCACGGTAAGGTCTACACCTGTTGTATTCGGCGCATGTCACAAATACAATTTGATTTGATTTGTGGGAGGTAATAGATGGCTTCGACATTTCACTCAATTGTCTCCCAAAGCACTTTGTGTTGTGTTAGTTTTTTTTTTACAAGTGAAGCACTCCATTATGGTCTTTCTTGAGTTTGCAACTACATCAAGAGAATAGAGGTAAGGAGCAAAACTGGGATATCTTTCTATTAAACACAATCAAGCTTTTAAAACTTCATTTTTGGAAGAACAATTTCCAGACTTATCTAACCGCAGTAAGTCTTATTCCAAACACCTGTTGAGGTTTGGTTGCCTGAAAATCAAATGGAAACCTTGTTGTGCGTTCCGCCCGCCTCACTGACTATGTTAGGTCCCCAGGACAGGTGAGAAGGTTCTGAGGCATACATGCCTTCATGCTGGGAGGGAAATCATAAAACAGATTATATTACTTTTTTATAGATTAATAAAGTGCCTTGATGTTGAGAGTCTGTGTTGCTGTCTACCACACAAATCACATTGCTTCAAAGTGCTTCAAAAGGAGGCATGTGGGACCTGGCGACTCCATTTTGTGTTTGTTGGCCTGCTTGTTGATATGAGTTCTTTATACCCTATAATTGTTTTGATTTACTCATCATTGTCCAGGGTACCGGGCTGTCTCGGGCCTGGTCTCTGTTTGCACTCCTATCATCCACAGCATGTCTATAATCACAACCATGTGCTTTCCCATTCAAATTAACATATGGTTCTAACTTTCCCCCTATTTTGACTAATACATACCTGGGTTGCTGACTAGTAAAACTGTAAAATGAATTCTTCTTTTGTTATTTGCAACACATGAGGATGATTTGGGAGTGGGGAGTGGAGAGGGAGGAATGTTACTGAGAATGATTTCACCTTGCATGCAACCCGACTCCATCCCTCTACCCTTTATTAATAGTCTGATTGTGTACCTTTGTTACATAGTTGGTACCACAAAGATGTTTATATTCTCCTCTGGTTTTCTCTGTATCTTTGGTTTTAGCAGGTGTACCTCTCTATCATTCCAACATCTTTATCAGGCTTGTATGGCAGAGAAAAGCTTTAGAAACAGTGAAGAATGAAGCCCCACATCTAAAACAGACAGAAGATGCAATCAATTTCATCTGAGAACTTCCTCATACAGCATTCATCCCATTCACATACAGTGCATTCGGAAAGTATCCAGACCCCTTGACTTTTTCCTCATTTTGTTATGTTACAGCCTTATTGTAAAATGGATTAAATACATTTTTTTCCTCATCAATCTACACACAATACCCCATAATTACAAAGCAAAAACAGGTTTTAAATGTTGAAATTTTTCAGCCATTCCTGAACCTGCGACAAAAAACAAGCTACATATGGACAATACCAAAACAAATGATTTAACGATTGTCTCTTCACAGCAAAATCTGCAGAGCTGGTATGGTTGTATCCCCCATATACAGTGTATTTTTCCAAATTTTTTAACGTTACAGCCTTATTCTAAAATGGATTAAATTAAAAAATGTCCTCATCAATCTACACACAATACCCCATAATGACAAAGCAAAAACAGGTTTTTAGACATTTTTGCTAATTTATTAACACTAGGATGCATATGCCGGGTCAAAATGACCCGGCCTAATGTTTTTTTTTTTTGCTGTATTGATCCCCCCTCAAAATGTAAACATCTAATATTCCAGGAGTTCCTTAAATAATGTGTCTTTAATGTTCTAACATCCTAGTTTTGTTTTTTAATTTCTTATTTTAAGTAAAAATAGTTTTTGCATCACTACGCCAAGTTTTCATATGTGGGTCAAATATGACCCGTATGCATTTCCTATGGAATTCACTGCTGTGCACTCATCAACCTTACCTTTCTTTTTGCTACAACAATAAAATAAATGTAATTAATAAAGTATGTATTAAATATCTTGTTTTTAATGTTCATTAATCCATTGGTGTCATCCAATTCAGATGACACAGACTATGTGCCTGTTGGTCAAGTTGGAGTTGTGGATGCACCTGGTAGTCCAGCTATCCTAGATGATTCTACAGATGGAGCGGACTCCTCCTCTGAGGAGAGTGAAAACCAGTCAAATAGACTGAGTAAAAAGGGGTCTTACTGAAGGGAATTGTTAGTGTTGTCGTTTATATTGATGATGAACTTTGGATTTTCAAATAAATGTTTTGAAATATTATAAAAGACGTTTAAGGTGGTTTTATTTTGTTCTTCACACTAAAAGGTTGAATGTGAAACTTTGACTGTAACATTGATTGTAAGAAAACTATGCTAATAATTTCAATAGCCGTCATGAATTTTCATAATATGTTATCATTGAAATGTGTATCAAACTGTTGAAGAGCGACTAAAAACATTTCAAACAAATCATCACTCAAAATAATTATGT